TTGTTGTTGTTGTTGTTGTTGTGATGGCTTCTCAGTTGCTAAGTGAACTGTTAGATTAGCCGCCAAGTGGAAAGCTCTGTGGATTTATTTCTTTATGACTGACTCGGTGACTCGGTCTGTGCTGTGCCTCGAGTCTCAATCAATTGTGTTGTTGTGGTCCTCCTGTGGAGCTGTGGTGGTTATCACAGAGTTGGATATCAATGTGGAGCAGCAAAACATCGTCAGGAGCTGCAGTAATGTCAATCCCTCTCCACTCACAAATCTGCCGCCCGTATTGTCAGCCAAACTGTACCCCCATCATATACCAGTCCTCCCTCAGCTCCAACAGAACTGATCGATTTACAGATCCTCTCAATTGTCGATAAATCCCTTTACTCCGGGGTATCCCTCTAACTTTCTGACCTGCTTACCCCCCCCACCCACGCTGCCTCCCCTCAGCCGGCTGTGGCCTCCTGGGAAGTCCTCCTGACATGACAGGCGTGACACATATGTCATTTTGTTGTTTTTGTTGCTTGTCCCCTCGGCCCCCCCACTCCACCATCGGCAGCCGCACTTTGAGCCAGGACACCCCGAAGCTTTGGAATTCTCTCCCCCAATCCCTCCGCCTTGCCCCCTCCCGCCCTCCTTTAGATCATGACTACTTAGTCAGTAGGTCGTGACTTCAGCATCCTTCAGAACAAAGGTTAAACTGGGTCCTGTCTGCCTGTTCTTTAGGTGAACATAAAACATCCCACAATACTCTAATAATAATAATAATCCTTGCATTTGATATTGCATCTTACCACATCATTGAGACAACTCAAAACGCTTCATAGAACATACTGTTAATCGCCCTGAGATGTGACCCTGTGTGGAGGGCACTATATAATTGTTGTTGTTTTAAAGTTAGTTGACTGTGTGTTTTGTGGGTGAAACGGCAACACAATGAGAAGGAGAAGGGTGATTGCACCAATGATGTGACCAACAATCCTCCAGGTAAACTAATCATTTTAAGTGAGTTCAGTGGCTCTTAAAACATTTTAAGATGTTTCAATGCCATAAAGAGCTATAAAAATGCAAATATCATACTCAACCCTAAAGTAGCATTGATGGTCACATAGAAGTGAAAACAGGAAGAACTGTCCCTCTTATTGTCACAATCTTCTGACTCAGTTGGAGGGACATTTGGAGGGAACACAGTAAATCACATTGGATCTACAATAATGTGAATGGTCTCTTTGTCACTGTCTGTTTTTGTTTCTTAATTAATTTGACCTGAGCTTTCCATCACAATGGAACATTGAGCAAAAATAGGACTTGACTCAGCTATGCCGTGACTCCCTCTTTCCAAAGAGAAAACTGCAAATTCACCATCTCATGACAAATGGTTGTTTTGGTGGGTACAAAAAGGTACTTGTTGAATTTATAACCTTCTGACCAAAGTACATGAGGATAAGACACTACAAGTCAAGCCAAGCTGGGATGTGCCAGAGAAATTCTACGTGAGGACAGACTTTTTTTCCTCATTATTTAAGTTCTACCCTCATTTTGAAGCTAGTTTTGAATAACAACATTAACAACAACAACATCAACAACAAAGAAGGTTTCCGTTTTGTGGACAATTGGGACCACTACTGGGGGAGGTGGGATCATTACCCTGCGGATGGGCGGCACTTAAGCAAGGCAGGGCTTATCTTCTTGGCCAAGAGATTATCGAATGCTGGGGGGGCTAATTTAAACTAGTGGCGAGGGGGGATGGGTATCCCAGGATAAACAATAGATTAGGGAATAGAGGAAAAAGACAAGTGGGAAATATAGAGCAGGTACATGTGGACAATTTCCTCAAATGCATGTACCTAAATGCACGGAGCTTAGGGAATAAGGTTGATGAGCTGCAGGTTCAACTGGCCGTAGGGGGTTACGATGTGGTAGCAGTAACTGAGACATGGCTCAAGCCAGGACAGGAATGGGAGATAAATATTCCAGGAAATAATTTGTTCAGGAAGGATAGAGAAGGAAGAAAGGGTGGAGGTGGCAATATTAGTTAAGGATACAATTGTAGCTGTAGAAAGGGACGAGACTCTGGAGGGCCCGACAACAGAATCGATCTGGTTAGAGGTCAGAAATAGGAAAGGAGTGGTTACACTGATAGGGGTTTACTATAGACCACCAGATAGCGGGAAGGAGATAGAAGAGCAGATCTGCAACCAGATCACGGACAGACGTAGAGCGAACAGAGTTGTCATAATGGGGGATTTCAATTGGCAAAATAGCAGCGTTAAGGGCAAGGCAGGAGAAAGATTCATCAACTGTGTACAGGAAAATTTTCTTGAGCATTATGTCTCCAGTCCTACAAGGAAGGAAGCATTGCTGGATCTTGTCCTGGGGAATGAAATAGGTCAGGTTGAACAAGTTTCGGTAGGGGAGCATCGAGGTAACAGTGACCATAATATTATTAGATTACTCATTAACAGGGACAAAGTACAGTCAAGGGTGAAAATGCTTGACTGGAAAAGGGCTAATTTTGATGGGCTAAAGAGGGACCTAGAGTTGGTGGACTGGCAAGTAAGAATGGCAGGTAAAACGACTCATGAGCAATGGGAGATCTTCAAAGATACGATAGCTCAGGGTCTAAATAGATATATTCCCACAAAAGGGAAATGTGCGAGAACCAAGCTGGCCTGGATGACCAGGGATATTCTGTCTAGGATGAAAAAGAAGAAGATGACGTACGACAATTGGCGGATGCAAGATACTGAGGATAGCAAAGCGCATTATAGAGAATGCAGGAGTGATCTTAAAAGAGTGATAAGACAGGCTAGAAGATCGCATGAGAAGAGGTTAGCGGGTAACATAAAGGGGAATCCTAAAATATTTTATAAGCACATAAAGGAAAAAAGGTTAGTTAAAGGTAGGGTGGGGCCAATCAAAGACAATGACGGCAATCTTGTTGTGGAGGCAGAGGCTGTGGCTGATGTACTGAACGAGTACTTTGCATCTGTCTTCACAACGGAAATGGATGCCCCAAATGCCGCAGTATTGGATGAGAGGGTAGAGGACATAGATCAGATTACTATAGACAGAGAGGAAGTTCTGAAAAGATTGACTGGGCTCAAAATTGATAAGTCACCAGGACCAGATGGGTTTCACCCAAGGTTGCTGTGGGAGATACGGGTTCAAATAGCGGAGGCTTTGGCCATTATATTTCAATCGTCATTGGACACAGGAGTGGTGCCAAGAGACTGGAGAGTGGCTAATGTTACCCCCTCTACAAAAAGGGGCAGAAAGACAAACCCGGAAATTACAGGCCAGTCAGCCTAACTTCGGTAATAGGAAAACTACTGGAGACCATAATCCGGGACAGAATAAATCTCTACTTAGAGGAACACGAGGTAATTAGAGACCCCCAACATGGATTTGTTAAAGGCAAATCTTGCCTAACAAATCTAATAGAATTGGGAAATGCGGTGGACATTATTTACATGGATTTCAAAAAGGCTTTTGACACAGTACCGCATAAGAGGTTAATAAAAAAATTAGGGGCCCACAGTATTAAGGGGACAGTGGCAGTTTGGATTAGGAACTGACTGAGTGACAGAAAGCAGAGGGTGGTGGTTAATGGGTGTTTCTCGCAATGGAAGGAGGTGTGCAGCGGTGTCCCCCAGGGATCGGTATTGGGACCACTGCTCTTTCTAATATATATTAATGATCTGGACTTGGGCATAGAGAGCACTATTTCCAAGTTTGCAGATGATACCAAGTTAGGTCGGGTAGTAAATAGTGAGGAGGACTGTAACCAACTGCAGCAGACATACACAGAATGGTGGGATGGGCTGACATGTGGCAGATGGATTTCAATGTGGATAAGTGTGAGGTGATACACTTCGGTAGGAAAAATGATAGGAGGCAATATAGACTTGGGAGCTCAATCTTAAGGGGGTGAACGTACAGAGATCTGGGTGTTCAAGTAAGCAAATCATTAAAGGTAGCGGGGCAGGTAGATAAGGCAGTAAAAAAGGCATTTGGTGTACTGAGCTTTATTAGTAGGGGCATAGAGTATAAGAGTAGGGGTTATGGTTAATCTATACAAAACACTGGTTAGGCCTCAGCTGGAGTACTGCGTCCAGTTCTGGGCACCTTACTCAGGAAGGACATTAAGGCACTGGAAAGGGTGCAGAGGAGATTCACGAGAATGATACCAGGAATGGGGAACCTTAGCTATGAGGACAGGCTGGAGAAGTTAGGACTTTTCCCATTAGAGCAGAGAAGGTTACGCGGGGACCTGATAGAGGTCTTCAAGATCATGAAAGGTTTCGACAGGCGAGATAGGGAAAAGCTGTTTCCGCTGGTAGGTGTGTCTGTGACCCGCGATCACACTCTTAAGATATCTACCAAAAGAAGCAGAGGGGAGGTTAGTAGAATTTTTTTCACTCAGCGAGTTGTTGGAATTTGGAATGATCCGCCCGAAAGGGCAGTGAAGTCCGATTCGATAACAGCTTTTAAGAGAGAACTGGACAGGTATCTGGGGAAGGCGGGTTTACAGGGTTATGGGGAGTGAGTGGGGTTAATAAAAGTCAGTTGCTCTGTTAAAGAGCCGCACAGACTCGATGGGCCGAATGGCCTCCTTCTGTGCCGTAACATTCTATGATTCTATGAACAAAATTACATTTATACATTTATATTTACATTTCACATCAAGAGGACGTCCCAAGGCGTTGGACCGTCAGGGGTCAGGACCCGAGCATAAGGGAGGGGTGGGGTAGGGGTGAGGGAAGGCAGAGAGGTGGGAGGGCGACACAATCGAAGAGGAGCATCTTGAGACCAGCCTTGAAGGAGGCAAGGGAGGAAGCGAGGCGAAGGGACCGTGGGATGGAGTTCCAATGTGGGGGCAGAGAGGCTGAAAGCCCGGCCACCGATTAGGGCGGGAGACATGTAGCAGACTGGAGCCCGTTGAACGGAGGGAGCGGGCAGGTTGGTAGGGGGTCAGCAGGTCAGAGAGGTAGGAGGGGGCGAGGCCATGGATGGCCTTGAAAGTGAGGACGAGGATCTTGAACTCGATCTTCTGGGGGATGGGGAGCCAGTGAAGTCGGGCGAGGGTGGGAGTGATGGTGTTGGGTGAGGGTGGGAGTGATGGGGTCGGGCGAGGGTGGGAGTGATGGGGTCGCGGAGCCTGGTGAGTGGGAGTACACGAGCAGCAGAGTTTTGGATGATCTGCTGCTTGTGAAGGGAAGAGTTGGGAAGGCCGATGAGGAGGGAGTTTCTGTAATCGAGCCTTGATGTGAGGAACGCGTGGGTGAGGGTTTCAGCAGCCTGAGGGGTGAGGCAGTGGCGGAGTCTGGCAATGTTGCGGTGGTGGTGGTAGGCAGTGCCGGTCATGGTATGGATGTGGGGGGAAAGGACAGTTCAGAGTCAAACAAGACCCCCAGGTTCCTGACTGGCTTTGTGAGGTTGAGTGTGCAAATAAGTTCTTTTAAGATTCAAATTCTTCCAAATTTGCTCGTTCTAAAATGCTAAGAAGCAAATTCCATGCCTCGAGCTGGTAGGGATGACTCCCCTGGAGAATAATATAGAATCATACAGTAAACCTCACATCAGTCGTATCAGTTGGGACGAGACATTTAATATGACTTGTGCAAAGTTATGTGAAACTTGTATAGAATATAAACTTTTGAATGGGACTTGAGCAGATGTAGCATTTTGGTCATTATACACTTTATACAGATCAGACTTTTGAGAGTTTTACTGTATTGAGTAAATCGGCACGGAAACAGGCCATTCAAGCCAACTAGTCTGTGATGGTGTTTACTCCACATAAGCCCCTGTCCCTCCTATTCCCTTCTTCTATAATCCTCTAATTCCTTCCCCTAACGTATGCAAAATATTTCCTTTTAAATACTCTGACATGTGATATTTGTTTATAGGACAGCTTGACGTCACAGCAGTGAGTTCTACATTCTCACCGCCCTCCATTGAAGAGCTTCCTCCTAAACTCAATTAAAACCATTCCGGCCTGTCTTATGTGATGTCCTCAGTGGTTAGAGCGATCGCTTCACTAGCGAGAGACCTGGGTTTGATTCCCGGGCAAAGGCAAAATGTTAGGCAAGTTTCCTTACTCCACACACCTGCAGTAAGCAGGAACCCGATTGTTAGACGATTGGTGGATCGCTTTTATGAGGTAGTAATCCCCCCCAAAAAATAGTAATAATGTGGTCACTCAAGCCACAACTGTTTGTGGGACGCTGCTGTACACAATTAGCTGCCGTGCTTCACCCACAAAATATACAGTTAATTCACTTTACAGTATATTTTGTGAAGTGCTTCGAGACGTCTAGAAGATGTGATAAGGCGCTATATCAAATACAGGGATTATTATTAGGATTATACATATATGCTCCTCATTTTGGACACACCAGCAAGTGGAAAGAGCTGCTCAACTTCCACCTTATCAAATACGTGTATGATTTCTGATCAGAATACTGCAAATATGCCTCACCCACTGCAAATAAATAATAACAACAACAACATTACATTTGTATAGCGCCTTTCACATTGGGAGGATGTCCCACATCAATACAACACAATATAAATTATGATGACAATTATGACCAGGAAATGATCAGTTACGACAGAAATCAACTACATGAACATTCCATTCATAACTCAAATAGGACAGACTTAATTGGTTGTTATCATTAAAATCAGCAATTGCAAGTGCCATAAAAAGATTTTATTGTGTGCAGCGGAAATGAGCCAAATAATACTCCTGAACAAGGCAAAGTGGTGAAAGTCACACACACTTACATACTACCTGCTGTTGCATTCACTGAATGAAGATAAGAATTTGCTAGACAAAAGAAGACCAAGGTCCTTCCAGTTCATCTTACACCATCTTGTCAGTCGCTTGCACATGTCACCTCCCAAACTATATATTTTATTGTGAGATATTAATAAATAAATCTGTCTATTTACTTTTGAAAGAATCAACACTTTCTGCTTCTGAATGAGCAACTGTTTAATGATGAAGAGCAAGTGAATCAAGAAATCAAACCCAGAAACATCAGTGTGGACAGCGGAGGGCGAAGGAGGGAATGACACCTGAACAGTTAATGAATGAGAGGAAAGAGGTCACCTCAGCTCCGATCATTTGGTAGCAGATTGCTAGTTCAAGCCAGAGAGGTAGAACAAGAGGATACAGGTTTACAGTAGCAAAGGCAACTTCAGGACCAACTCCAAAATGTTTTTCTTTTCTCAGAGGCTAATTAACAACTGGAACAGGTTGCCAGGAAGTGTAGTTGAAGCCAAGATACTGGACTCATTTAAAATGCTGTGCTGGAAACACAGTAAGGAGGGCGTTCTGGAAAATTAGATCAGATGGGGTGAAGAGCCTCATTTATGCAAATTAATCTTGTGATCAAGACAAGCTCATAGCATAGCCTGGCCCTCTAATTTAGTGCTGGGGGAGAGCTGCATGGTCGGAGATGCCGAGGTAAACCCATTTCTGTCAGACATCAAGTCCTGGATGAGAACTAACTTTCTGCAGTTGAAGTAAGTAGGAACCTGTTTTTTTTTTTTAGTCGATTGGCGGATCACATTTCCGGGGTAATAATTTCTTCAAAATATATAAAAAGAATTTGCTCACTCAATCTACAACTGTCTGTGGCACGCTGTTGAGCGCAATTGGCTACTGCGTTTCGTTCACAAAATATACAGTTGATTCACTTTACAGTGTACTCTGTGAAGCGCTTTGAGACATCTTGAAGACGTGATAAGTTGCTATATTAAATGCAAGGATTATTATTCTTATTATTGAACGTCAACAAGACCAAGGCTCTCCAGATCGGTTCCCATCAGCGCCTCCACACCTCAGGCTCTAACAGTATCACCATCCATGGTGCACACTCCCTCTCACTGAGCCAGAACGGAACATTGGCATCTTGTTTGACGCTCAAGTGTGAAAGTGTGCTGGGCCAATTATCAGACATCCTCCTTCGCTCCACTCGTAAATCCTGCACTTTTCCCTGATCCCTCGCTCACAAATAGGACAGGAGGCATCGGGAACTTGATCCTCAAGGACTCCATGAAAAGAGGGGAAACAAGGAAGTAAGAGAGATGAATGAGCCCAGCTGATTCTTAACCCAATTAATGCACTTAAATGTTTACTTTTCTAAGTGCGTAAAAACAAGATCTGTCTGAGCTGCCTCCTCCTCCGAGCAGAAAAACGAGCGTCAACGTATGATGGTTAATAATTGACTAACGTTCAGAAAATGAAATCAGTTTTTGAATTGTTATAAATAAATCTTGCTGAGTCGGTGCTTCCATTGTTCAGAGTTGCTGATCTGAGGAGATGGCTGTGTACCAGGTGAGGTTACACCTTGTGGGCTGAACTCTCTCTCTCCTTCCTGGGACATGGCAGTGGTTTCAAAGTCCATTGCAAAACTCCTCACTTGGCACTGGCCTCTGGCATTCTGCTGATACTGTTCTCTTTGGAGAGGTAACCCGAAGACATCTGATGTGGCCCTTTTTTTTCTTACAGCGTTTGTTTTTCAGGAATTCCTTTGCAGAACAGAAGCTTCGGCAAACTTTCCAGTGAATTTCACTTTAGAATTTCTTTTTTAAAAAACTTTTAATATTTTTTTTGCATCTTTTGTACATTTCTTTCCCTGAAAACTTTTCGGATTCCCCGGTTGGTGTTTGGAGATGGCTACCTCCAGGAGTTCAGTGGCTCAGTTTAATGTCTGGGATTATGTTGTCTTCATTGTGATGTTGCTCATCTCTGTCTTCATTGGGATTTACCATGCCATTATGGGCAGGAGGCAGCAATCTAACAGTGAGTTCCTGTTGGGTGGCCGGCAGATGAGTGCACTGCCAGTGGCTCTCTCGCTCACTGCCAGCTTCATGTCTGCCGTCACAGTTATTGGCACGCCAGTAGAGGTGTACCGCTTCGGAGCTATCTTCTGGATCTTCTGCATCAGCTACAGCATTGTAACCATCATCAGTGCCGAGTTCTTCCTCCCGGTGTTTTACCGACTCGGAATCACCAGTACCTATGAGGTAAGCAAATAATAATAATACTAACAATAATCCTTGCATTTGATCTAATGTAACATTTTGCCGCAAAGCTATACAGTCAATTCACTTTACGGTATATTCTGTGAAGCGCTTTGAGATGTCTAGAAGACATGTTAAGGTGCTATATCAAATGAAAAGATTATTATATAGCGCCATTGTCAGGTCATTCAGACATCTTAATGCACTTCACAGAATATACTGTGAAGTGGATTGACTGTACTTTGTGGGCAAAACGCAAATATTAATAATCTTTACACTTGATACATTACTTTTCACATCAGGAGACGTTCCCAAGTGCTTCACAAGATATACTGTAAAATGCAGTGACTGTGTGTTTTGTGAACAAACCCGACACTGATATCCCACAAACAGCATGAAGTGACTGACCAATATTATTTGGGAGATTGATGGCCAGGACATTCCCTTCTCTTTTCAAATGAATCAATGGGAACCTTAGGGAGTGCAAGAGTCTCCAACCGCAATGTCTGGCATATGTCCCTACGCAGGTCAGAAGATTGTGGGTTTGAGCCCCACACCAGGAGTTGGGCTCACAATGTAGCTTGTAGCTCCAGCACAGGAGTGCAATAGGATTTCACTGGCGGAGGTTCCTTCCATCAGATGAGAAGCTGAACCAAGTTCCCGTCTTATTGTTTAAGTGAAAGTTCAGACCTGACAGCAATCCTGCAGATCAATTGGTCATTCATCCCCTGATTGATTGTGAGACCTTCCTGGGCCAACAAAACGTCGGTCACTAAGCTTCGCAGCTGTCTGTGTGAACACCTTTGATACTGTATTAGGGGCTGTATTAGGTGTAAGGATTATTATACAGGAGTTGGCCTTTTAAATTCATACATTCTTTTAACAGGGAATTAGACAGAGTGATATGTTGGGGAACCCAATGCTGGGAAAGCCATTCTTAATAAAAGGCAGCACAAATTGGCTGCTGATTTGCCTATAAATACACTATCAATACTTAACAGTAATTACTCTTTGAAACATTTTGATATTATGGGCATTATGTCAATGTGTGGATTATTATTAAAATATAATATATAAAGGAAAGATAATGGAATCCTTATTGAAGGAGGTAATAGAAAAACATCAGGAAACAGAAAACATAAAAATAATAATCCATGCATTTGATATAGCGCTTTTCACGTCTTCTAGATGTCTGAAAGCGCTTCACAGAATATGCTGTAAAGTGAATTGATCATATATTTGTGGGCGAAACGTGGCAGCCAATAAAGAACAGTCAGCACGGATTTCAAAAAGGAAGGTCAGGCTTGACCAACCTCATCGAATTCTTTGAAGCGTAACAGAAAGAGTAGACAAGGTCAATGCGGTAGATGTAATATATTTAAATTTCCAAAAGGTGTTCAATAAGATACCACATAATAGAATAATGAATAAGGCCAGAGCATGTGGCGTCAGGGGGACAACAGCAGAAAACAGCAAGCTGGCCGCAAAACAGAAAACAGAGAGTAGTGGTAAAGGGTAGCGACTCAGACTGGCAGGGGATAGGAGTGGTGTCCTACAAGGATCGGTATTGGACCCACTGTTGTTCCCAATATACATTACTGATTTGGATTTGGGAATCAGCCGTACAATTTCAAAATTTGCAGATGACACCAAATTGGGGGGAGTAGTTAATACAGAGGAGGACGGCAACAGATTACAGCAAGACATTAATAAACTTGCTGAATGGGCATTTAAATGGCAAATGTATTTCAGTGTAGAAAAGTGTGAGGTGGTACATTTTGGTGGAAGGAATAAGGAAGTCACTACATCCTGGAAAAACCTAAATGGGGTAAAGGAGCAAAAGGATCTAGGGGTACACATACACAGTTAATTAATAATAAAAGTATTCACTAAAAGTAGCAACCCGGGTTAATAAGGCCATAAAAAAAGCAAACCAGGCATTGGGGTTCATTTCTCGGGGATAGAAATGAAAAGCAGGGAAGTTATGATAAACCTCTATGGAATCTTGGTTAGACCACACTTAGATACTGTGCAGTTCTGGTCCCCACATTATAGAAGGGGTGTAGAGGCTCTGGAGAGGGTGCAAAGGAGATTCATGAGGATGATCCCAGGACTGAGAAGTTATACCTATCAGGAAAGGCTGAACATGCTTGGACTCTTCTCTTGAAAAGAGGGTAAGGGGTGACCTGATAGAGGTCTTTAAAATGATGAAAGGTTTGGATAGGGTCGACATAGGGAAGATGTTTCCACTTGTGGGGGAGACCAAAACCAGGGCCATCAATATAAAATGGTCAGAAATAGATCAAATAGGGAAGTTAGAAGAAATTTCTTCACACAGAGAGTAGAGGGAATGTGGAACATACTGCCACAAGGAGTTGTTGAGGCAAATAGCATAGTTGTATTTAAGGGAAAGCTGGATAGGTACATGAGGGAGAAAGGAATAGAAGGTTATGCTTGAGGAAGGGCCGGAGGAGGCTCATGTGGAGCATAGACACCACCATAGACCAGCTGGGCTGAATGGCCTGTTTCTGTGCTGTATATTCTAATGTATTCTAATGTAATAATAATAATAATAATCCTTGCATTTGATATAGCGCTTTTCACGTTGGGAGGACGTCCCAAAGCGCTTCACAGAACATACTGCAAAGTAAATTGACTGTATATTTGTGGGCGAACGCGACAGCCAATTGCGCACAGCAATGTCCCACAAACAGTCGTAGATTGAAAATGACCAATTTATTATTGTTTTTGGTTTTGGAGGGATTATTATTAGGCTCTGTGTGGAGTGAGGAAACTTGCCCAAGGTTTCGCCCTCTGCCTGGAATTGAACTCAGGTCTCTCACTTGCAAAGCGAGTGCTCTAACCACTGAGCTACAGGACTCCACAAATGTATAATATGTATATAATATAATCAGATTTTAACATCAAAATCAAATATCGCTGCTTATCCTCATAGTTACCAACCCAGCCACCTGTACAGTATATATCAAGAACATACCACCTATATACACACTGCAGACACTAAACATAAACTAAATAAGAGCAATTAAAAGGTGCTAGACAGTTGCAAATCATAGGTATATTCATCACAGCAACACCTACAGACTTTTCGTTGCTTTTCGACCCCGTCATATGCAGAGATTGATGTACTAAATACACAGTCACTGCACTTCACTGTAAAATCTCGACAACTTGATGAGGTGCTATTATACGAATGCAAAGATTATTATTATTGACATAAAATCAGACTTAACATGAATTACACACAGCACAAGTGACATTTGCTCCACCATCCCCACCCACCCGCCACACAAACCCATACACACTACATGACAATTGACACTCACACAGCAGATACCGAGAGAAAGCAAGCATACTCACAAACGTTCCCCTGAGATACATGGTATTGACCTACCTCATGCATTGTCCTATCAAAAGTCAACCATCCAACTATTGTAAGGTGTTACAATGTAAGGTGTTAGATTGCACAAATCTCTTTGTACAGGCCTTTACGTTCATTGCTGGTGGTAGGGGCGAAGGAAGGAACGACTTGTATTTTACAGCATTTTATCAACACTAATAAAATTCTTACACCAATATATTGCATCAAAATGGTAATTACTGGTAAACAGTAATGATAAAAATATGGCCCTCAATAAGGTCCCAACAATTATGAGGCGAGTGATAAATTAATCTATTGACTGGAACGTTTGGAGAAACTCTCTTCTCATTTTGAACTGTGTGTCAGATGTATTTTGGGCTGTGTATTTAACGTCAAGCTGAACAGGCAACATAAGATCAGAGCTCAGGTAACATCTGGTCCAAAAGATGATGGTACAACTCTCCCCCCATTGCTACAGAGGAGTCTCAGTGTAGGGTATAATGTCAGGTCCTGAGCCAGAGGCAATGCTCAGAACCTGATATTATAACCTAGACTGATTATAGTGTTGCCACTATTTGCCTTGACTTTCCATTATTGGGCTTGGCTGGCCACCGCGCCCAATAATGGGGAAGCCAAGGCAAGTAGTCAAAGTATCACTGTGGATTCAGTGTAAAACCTCTATCTCAGGACAACGTCCATGTAAAACATGTCTCACACGTCTCTCTTCTCTGCAAACTCCTACAAATGTACCAATCTCTGCCTCATCAGTTCTGGTACGGTTCCCAGGACACAGTGTCCATGGAAGAAATTATCATTCTTAGCGCTAAGTCACTGACCTGCCATAAGAGGCTGAGTTGCTCTGTGTTTTTTACTTGACATGATCCTCTGTGGCTCAGGTAGTTGCTAAATTTAGCCAGCATTTATTGCCTCCACTTTGTGACCTGAAGTCTGGATCTGATTAGGGCAGTCTGACACTAATCATCACTAAAACACAGCCATAAATCAGGCTCCAATTCATAGCTTTCCTGCACACAAAATAGACAGTCAATTCACTTTATAGTATGTTCTTTGAAGCGCTTTCAGATGTCTCGAAAATGTGAGAAGGCGCGATATAAAATGCAAGGATGATTATTATTATGATGATGATTATTATTATTATATGACTCAAAGTGCTTCATAGAGCCAAAGGGCAGCCAGAGCAGGTGGAGGAAATGAGGAGGGAGGGTGGGGGGAGAGGATCGATGCTGCATTCAAAGATATAGGTATTTAGACAAGTTTAGAAAGGGTGCAAGGTGGGGTGATAAAGGGAAAGAATAGGGGTAAGTTGGCTGAAAGCTTGCCCACAGATACAGTGCCGGAGAGGATGGGGAAATGGAGTTGGGTGTGCGGTGGGGAGATCACAGAGCCAGATATAATAATAATAATAATCCTTGCATTTGATATAGAGCCTTATCATATTATCGGGACGTTTCAAAGCGCTTCACAAGATTTAATATAAAGTGGAGTGAATGTGTATTTTTTGGGTGAACGCGGCAGCCAATTACACACAGCGATGTCCCACAAACAGCCATTGAGTGAGTGACCAATATTACCTTGGCGAAACAGGCAAAACCTTAGCCTCCACACAGCCCTGTTTACTCAGCAGTAAGTAGGAACCCGGTTGTTAGTCGCTTGGAGGATACTTTCAGGGGATAATAATCCCTCCAAAATAAATAAATAATAATTTGGTCACTCAATCCACGACTGTTTGTGGGACACTACTGTGTGCAATTGGCTGCTGCATTTCACCCACAAAATACACATTCATGCACTTTACTTTATATATGATATGAATAATAATCCTTGCATTTGATATTGCGCCTTATCACATCTTCGATACGTCTCAAAGTGCTTCACAGAATATACTGTAAAGTGAATTGACTGAATATTTTGTGGGCGAAACGTGGCAGCCAATTGCACACAGCAATGTCCCACAGACAGTTCTAGATTGAAGGGACCAATTTATTATATTTTTGGAATTATTACCCCTGGAAAAGCGATCCATCAATCGACTAACAATCAGTTTCCTACTTACTACTAGGTGAACAGAGGCATGAGGAGTAAAGAAACTTGCCCAACGTTTTGCCCTGCCTGGTCTCTAGGTTGTGAGGCGAGTGCTTTCACCACTGAGCTACAGGACTTATATTCTGTGAAGCGCTTTGAGACGTCTCAACAACCTGATAAAGCACTATATCAAATTCAGTGATTATGATTATTATTACACTGTCATTTGTTAATTGTAACACAGTATCTATGTTCTAAGCAGATATTTTTTCTCTCCAGTATTTAGGAATGCGATTTAACAAATATGTGCGCATGCTCGGCACCTCAATGTACATCATCCAAACAGTGAGTAACCCCAGAGTCACACAATATCTTTACATGTCACTTCAATCTCTACTTGGGGTAGAGGTCCCCAAAACTTGGCGCTTCCCAACCTGCGCCTAATACTTTCTGGAATTAGGTAAGCAGGATGTGTCCCTCCAGGAACAGAGAGAGAGAGAGAGCATTTCATTGCAACAATCTGTCTCTGGGATTTCCATGTGTAGGTGCATGGAAATCTCAGCTTGGTTCGGGTTGGCTTGGATACTCTTAAGCAACGGTGATGGGTTTCCGCGTGTGTTAGACACACGGCTGAGCAAAAAAAAGCTTGTGTTTAAAAAATGTCATTTCCATCTGTTAATTCCCTCTTCAGTCCAACACACACTTACTCACTTGCCTGTAAAGGCAGTCACCACAATTGACAGTAATTACAGTGACGCTTTGAGAAGTTTCAACATTCTAATCAATAAAAAAAGTTCCTTATCATATTAAGCATTTATTGTTCTATTGGAAGATAGTTATTGATAAGCTTTTGCCTCTCCTTTACTTACTGATGGTAGATATCTGATTGCAGGTGCTGTATACAGGGATTGTCATATATGCCCCCGCCTTGACCCTCAACCAAAGTGAGTCCAATTTTCCTATTTATTTTTTGCCTTCTTCCTCAGGTCCATTTCACCTTCTCTAGACAGGACAACCTGAGAATTAAAATTCCCCCAAGTCTTAGCCTGTAAAACCCTCATACACGCATTCGTCACCTCAAACATTCCAGGAATAAGTGGACGAAAGAAACCAGAGGTTGGAAATTGACCTAATCTCAGCCTGTAAATCCATTTTTCCTTAAAAGTTAAGATATGCAGAATTATGGAAAATTATAATTATAACAACAACAAATGACACTCGTATAGAGCCTTTCACATCGGGAGGATGTCCCTGCTTGTCAGCCTCCCCATCTATTCCCTCCACAAGCTGCAGATCATCCAGAACGCTGCAGCTCGTGTCCTCTCCCACACCAGGCTCCGTGACTCCCTCGCCCGGCTTCACAGCCTCCCCATCCCCCAGAGGATAGAATTCAAAATCCTCGTCCTCACTTTCAAAGCCCTCCACGGCCTCGACCCCTCCTATATCTCTGACCTGCTGATCCCCTAATAACCTCCCTCCGCTCAGAAGGTTGTGGCCTGCTCCATGTCTCCCGCCTAACCTGCCCTACCGTCTGCCAGTCGGGCCAGAGACCTGGAGCAGATCTCAAAGCGAGGGAAGTCCCAAGGGTTTTGAAATGTCTCGAAGATGTGATGAGGTGCTATATCACATACAAGGATAATTAGTATAAACTGGTGCAAAATTGTAGAGGGTTTTTAAATCCAATTAATTAAGAAGTCAGGTTTTCACCATTAAGACTGGATTCATCAACCTTTGGCTCTTTCAAAACCTATCTCAAGACCTTCCTCTTCGACATTACCTTCAGTCTCCCTCCACTTATCATGATCCCAACTCCTAGCTCAGGTGCACATCCTTGACTGTCCAAGAACTCGGGACATCCTCCCGATGTGAAAGGCTGTATACAAGTGTCATTTGTTGTTGTTATAATTATAATTTTCTATAATTCTGCATATCTTATATTTTAAGGAAAGATGAATTTACAGGCTGAGATCAGGTGAATCTCCAACCTCCGGGCTCTGGTTTCTTTCGTCCACTTATTCCTGGAATGTTCCCCCCTTTCATTCCTCCCAGGTCTTCGTTAAAGCTTTTGGATACGACAGGTTTAATATTTAACAGCCTGTTAATCATTGTGATATTGGGAATTGCAATCGCCACCCAGGAATGTTTTTACATCAAAGTTCTGAGCACCAGGAGAGGATCGTGACAGCAGCTTCATTCTTGTTATATGTGAATGTAATACACACCTGCAGTTCTGAATCCCTGTCTATCCCTCAGACTCACCAAGCCTGTGCACAAACTTGGCATCGGGTTCCATCTCCAGCTATCTTTCCTGCTTCACATCTGGTCCCTGACAAGGACTAACTTCTTCCACCTGTGTCACTTCGCTCGTCTTCACCCCATCTTAGACACCTGTAACCCTCATTTGTGCTTTCAGCACCTCCCGCCTTGATTTTCCAATGCCTCCCTTGCCTGTCTTCCCAGCTCCAATATTAACAAGGTCCAAATGATTCATATTCTTACCCACACCAGACGCCGTACCCCCATCACCCCACTTCCTGCCAGGCTCCCCTGGCTCCGTTGCAGAACAGATCAATTTCAAGATTATCACTGTTCCGTTCAAATCTCTTCTTGCCCTGGCATCTTCCTATCTCTCGGATCTGCTCACATCCCACTCCTCTACTCACCACCTTCACTCAGCTGACTTGGCGCTGCTGGACATCCCTCTTTCCCTCCGCTCCACAATTGGTGGCCGTGCTCTCAGCCTCTATGCCCCACATCTCTGGAATTCCTTGTCTCAATCCTTCTATCTTGTCCCCTCTTTGCCCATCTTCAAATCAAACCTGAATCCTTTGGTGACCTTCTCTTCCTTTCCAGGTTGAGCCACGCTGTTTTTTAGGACTCTAAGATGCTACATACACATGAAGAGTACTACATTAATGCAAGTTGTTGTTGTTGTGTGTTCCTCAATGTGAAAAATGGAGGAACACTGGACAGGCCATTTAGTCAATTGCCTTTCCAACTATTCATTAGATCAAGGTAGATCTTTTGAACCCATTTCCCACATCTGTTCTCCATGCAATAGATATAGGTATCTATCTCGCTTTCAAACACCCCAGTCAATTCTGTTTACACACTGTGCTCGCACACCATGAGCCAATGAGGTCACAAGATCATTCAGCTCAATGATTTATTTTGCAGTAACTGGATTTGACCTCTGGGGAGTGCTGGTTGCTACAGGCCTGATCTGCACCTTTTATTGTACTCTGGTAAGTTCTCTTGAGTTGTATGTGTGGCAGAGGTTAGCCCATTCTGTACATAGATTACCGAAGCCATTGACATACAATAGGGAGTAGGAGTGAGGCCACATCCTTTAATTGAGGAACTGGTGATAAGGATAGTCTCGGGATCGTAATCAGAAAAATCAGGGAAAATGTTTTTCTTCACTCAGAGAGTTGTTCCAGTATTTCATTACCATTAAGACTGGATTAATCAGATCATCATCAAAAAAAGAACTGGATAAGCACATGAACTCTAAAAACATTAAGTGACACGGGGAGAGCTGGGAAATTGGAGTAAAATAAAAGGCGCTTGAGATACTGTGTAACACTGATAGATTCCCAGGCAAGACAAAACCCTAGGCCAGTTTCCTCACTCCACATGCCTGTGTTTACCTAGCAGTAAGAAGGAACCCAGTTGTTAGTCGATTGGTGGATCGCTTTCTGGGGGTAATAATCCCTTCAAAAAAAATAATAATACGGTCACTCAATCCATGACTGTTTGTGGGCCACTGCCGTGTGAAATTGGCTGTCACGTTTCGCCTACAAAATATTCAGTCAATTCATCTTTACACAGTACACTGAGATACAGTAACACTGAGAGATGCTGTGCTGTGTTTGCAGGGAGGGCTGAAGGCGGTGGTATGGACAGATGTGTTCCAGATGTCCATCATGATCTCTGGATTCTTGGCTGTTGTAATCCGAGCTACGGTGGTTGAAAATGGCATCGCCCAGATCTGGAATAATTCCTATCATGGAGGAAGACTGAATTTCTGGGAGTAAGGCCAATGTCTACCTGTTGAGTGACAGTGTGTGGGGGGGTGGGGGAGGGGAATGGGGAGAGCAGTTTTGGGAAGGGCCTGGGATGAAATAAACTCTTGCTGAATCATAGTCAGAGAATTTAAAACCACCAACACCTTGTTAGTGAGAGATGGGGTATGTGTGTGTGTGTGGGTGTGTGTCTGGGAGGCACTGTGTCTAAGATACAGACAAAGGAAGATATTCATAGTCTTTCTCCTCAGCTCAGTGTCAAGCTCCACCATTGTTAAACACCCCCTGAGACACTAACCCGGTGAAGGTAGCCACATAAATGCAAGTTCTTATTGTTGTTGGTGTCTTTGGAAGATTACTATGGTTCTGGGGGTAAAATGGAAACAATTTGGATTATACTTGTAATGTATTACTTATTACAGTTCTTCTGTTAGTTAAAACCTAGTGAAATGATTAAACTTATTGTCTTGGTAGGAAAGGATCCTGGTGTTGGCTAACAACTTGTCTCTATATTGCATTATATGTTAGCAGATTTCAGACAAGGTTCATTGTAGTGAAGCCTTGAACTTCTGCCTCATCCAAATATGAGATCCTTTTTATGGCTTAAATTGTAGAAATTTTTAAATAAAATTGTAATTTGGAAACTGTTATGTGCAGATCTCAGAGGGAAACAGCTTCAAGATTAGACAGGATTTCACAATTTTGCACAATTCTGCCCCATGTTAAATACTGTATGAAGGCAAAATTGTCTCACAGACTAAGACTAGTTGGAATTTGGGCCTCTGTTGATTGTGTTCCAGGAGGGAGGTGTAACTGTTGCCTTGTCCCCAGTGTCTCCCTGGGATGAAATAACTGACACGTCACCTCTCACACTCGGACCTTTCTTCCTCCACAGCTTTAATCCAGATCCCTTGAGGCGACACACTTTCTGGACAATAGTGATCGGTGGGAGTTTTATGTGGACAGCGATTTACGGCATTAATCAGTCTCAGGTTCAGCGTTACATCTCATGTAAGAACAAGTTTGAAGCGAAGCTGTAAGTTCATATTATCAGAGCTATTAATCAGCTGTGTTTAAGTGGGTGGCAAAGTGGCTAATTAAGACTACTCAAGCCCAATGGCTGGTTGTACAACTGACATCCTTTAAAGGCCCAGCCTTGACCAACGTAAACAGTGACTGTGATTCCTTCTCCGCCACCCCATGGTTTGCATGCCAACAATAATCCTTTTATTTGATATAGAGCCTATAATGTCATAACTGCACTTGACAGACAACTGCTATGTGTGTATGTATGTCAGCTTGGCTAAGTCAGCAGCACTCACATCTCTAAGCCAGACGGTTGTTGGGTTCAAACTCCACCTAGGACATGGAACTCATACAGTCTTGGCTGACACTTTATAATAATAATAATTCATAATAATCCTTGCATTTGTTATTGCGCCTTGTCACGTCTTCTAGACGTCTCAAGGCCCTTCATAGAATATACTGTGAAGTGAATGGTTTGTGGGCAAAACAGTGCAGCCAATTGCACACAGCAGTGTCCCAAAAACAGTCATGGATTACGTGACTACATTTTTATTATATATTTATTTTTGAACAGATTATTATGCCTGGATAAGCGATCTGCCAATCGACTAACAACCAGGTTCCAACTTACTGCTGGTAAACAGAGTAAGGAAACTTGCCCAAAGTTTCACCCAGGTATCAAACCCAGGTCCTCTCGCTTGCGAGGCGAGTGCTCTAACCGGTAAGCTACAGGACTCCATAATGCAGTGCTGGGGGTGTGCTGCATTGTTAGAGGTGCCATCCTTTGAGTGAGACATTAAATAAAGGTCCCGTCTGCTTGTTCACGTGGATGTTAATTTCCATGGCATTATTTCAAAAGCAAAAGGAGTTTCTCTCTCCCAGTATCCTGGCCAACAATCCCCAAATATAATCGGTCATTTTCTTTGTGGCTGTTTGTGAGCCAATGGCTGTTCCATTCATCTACAAAATGCAATGTCACTACACTTCATAATAAATCCTTTGAAGTGCTTTTAGATGTCCTCCCAAAATGAAAGGCACTTATATCAAATAGAAAGATTATTAATAATAATAATTATTGACATGACTGTATATAGCAAAAACAGAAGAAAATTTGAGCGCAGCAATTTCCCACAAACAGCCTTGAAGTCATTGATCCAGTTATCTGAGGGATTTTGTTGGTCTGGATCCTCGGAGAAATTTCTTTCTCTTCTCCAATAGCATTGTAGCATTTTAAAGTCCACCTGAGCAGGCAGACAGCACCTTGATTTAACATCTCATCCAAACGACAGCACCTGCATTGATCCAGTGCTCATCCACACCAGAATGTCAGGAGTGTTAGTTTAGATTGTGAGCTCATGCCTTAAGGTGGGGCTTCAATCCACAACCTTCAAGGCGAGCACAGAGGGAGTGGGAGAGACCTCCAGCGACTGGAGGTAGAGACCTGCTCAAAGAACGTACAGAGAGTGTAAAGAATGGAAACAGGCTTCTCGCCCCAAACAGTCTGCACTCTCTGACCAGCGATGACCCATCTCTTTGGTTGGCCATCAAAGTAAATGTTTCTTGTTTGAATATTTCTTGTTTTATTGTGTAAATCTATGCTATTTTGTTATTTCTATTATTATTTTGTTAGCCACCCAAAAAGGTTGACCCATTGTCCTCTTTGGGTTTCCAAAGAGGAGAGAAAAAAATAATAACTTGTTCACTCAATCCACGATTGTGTGTGGGACACTGCTGTGAATTGACTGCCTCATTTTGGCCACAAAATATACAGTGAATTCACTTTCCAGTATAATCTGTGAAGTGCTTTGAGACGTCTAGAAGATGTGGTAAGGCACTGCAATCCATAATTATTATTACTGTTGTTGCCCTGGCTGTGTTCTTCGTGCTCCTTTGGATTTTGGGAGCCACCCTCTCTCAGACAGTCTCTTTGCTCTTTTCCAGATCTCTGTATCTTAACATGATTGGGCTGTGGGTCACAACCACGTGTGCTGTGCTGACGGGACTCTCCATGTATTCCATTTACTCCCAGTGCGACCCTCTGACTGCAAATCTGGTCAGAACATCTGATCAGGTGAGCTGCGGGTGGGAAGGTGGTGTCTCCCTGGCTCGGTGTCCCCAGCTTATCATATCTTTGAGACATCTCTAAGCGCTTCACAGAAAATTCTGTAAAGTGAATTTACTGTATGCTTTGTGGGCAAAACAGGGAGCAGTACCGTTTTTAAAAAAAAGGTATTATTACCCCCGGAAAAGCGATCCGCCAATCAACTAACAACCGGGTTCCTACTTACTGCTAGATAAATGTGGAGCATGTGGAGCAAGGCTTGTGCAACATTCGCCCTACCCGGGAATCGAACCCAGGTCCTTTTGCTCGCAAGGCGAGTGTCTAACCACTGAGCTTCAGGACTCCACTTATGTTAGCAATAATAATAATAATCCCAGCGCCTTGGGACGTCCTCCCGACGTGAAAGGCGCTCTATAAATGGAATCTTGTTGTTGTTGTTGTTGTAGTAGCGCCGTATGATATTCTTATGTTTTCTCATTCTCTTTCTGTGTTCTAGCTGACTCCGTACCTAGTGATGGATATTCTGGGAGGTTATCCCGGGGTTCCAGGGCTCTTTGTGGCAGCTGCATATAGCGGTACCTTAAGGTTGGTGATGCAATGCTTAAACAGTTCTTTCTCACACTATAGAACAGATGGATCTGCCCTACAATCCATTGCACAAGTAATCTTCTGTTAGCTCCTCTCAGCTGTTTCATTGCAGAAGTTAAAGGAATAATTTCATAAAATCATAGAATCGTACAACACAAAAAGAGGCCATTCGGCCCATCGAGTTTGTGTCGGCTCTTTGAAAAGATCAATTAATGTCAATCCCACTCCCCGGCCCTTTCCCCATAACCTGCAAACCCGTCCTTCTCAAATACCGTCCACCGCGTTTTTAAAAGTAATTATCGAATCGGCCTCGACCGCCCTTTCAGGCAATGCCTTCCAGATTCGAACAACTCGCTGCGTGAAAAAATTTCTTCTCACCCCCTCTCTGCTTCTTTTAGAGACTATTTTGAATCTGTGACCTCGAGTCACCGACACACACACCAGTGGGAACAGTTTCTCCCTTTCTAACCTATCAAATCCCCTCATGATTTTGAAGACCTCTATCAGGTCCTCGTAACCTTCTCTGCTCCAATGAGAATAATCCCGGCCTCTCTCGCCTTTCCTCATCATCACGGTCCCTCATTCCTGGTCCCATCCTCATAAATCTCCTCTGCGCCCTTTCCAATGCCTTAACATCCTTCCTATAGTCTGGTGCCCAGAACTGGGTGCAGTATTCTAACTGAGGCCTCACCAATGTTTTATATGGGTTAATCATCACCTCCTGACTCTTGTACTCTATGCCCCTGTTTATAAAGCCCAGTATCCCATATACCCTTTTTACAGCCCTATCTCCCTGTCCTGCCACCTTCAAGGATTCATTTACCTGCACCCCCAGGTCTCTCTGTTCCTTTACCCCCCTTAAGATTGTATTACCGCCTATTTGCCCCTCATTCTTTCTACTACAATGTATTATCTCACATTTCTCCACATTGAAACTCCTCTGCCATGTGTCGCCCATTTTACCATCTGTCTATGTCTTCCTGCAGTCGGCTCCTATCCTTCTCACTGTTTACCCCCTCCCTAACTTTGTGTCGTCTGCAAACTTGGAAATGGTATTTGCTATACCCAAGTCCAGATCATTTATGTATATTAAGAAGAGCAGTGGTCCTAATACCGATCCCTGGGGGACACCACTGTACACTTCCCTCCAGTCAGAAAAGCAGCCGTTCACCACAACTCTCCGCTTTCTGTCTCCCAGTCAGTTCGGGATCCGCTGCCACTGTCCCTTTTATCCCATGGGCTTCTATCTTTCTTACAAGTCTTTCATGTGGCATTTTGTCAAATGCCTTTTGAAAGTCCATATAAACCACATCAACTGCACTCCCTGTATCCACCCTCTCCATTACCTCATCGAAAAATTCTATTAGATTTGTTAGACAAGATCTGCCTTTAACAAATAATAATAATAATAATAATCCTTGCATTTGATATAGCGCTTTTCACGTCGGGAGGACATCCCAAAGCGCTTCACAGAACACACTGTAAAGTGAATTGACTGTATATTTGTGGGCAAACGCGGCAGCCAATTGCGCACAGCAATGTCCTACAAACAGTCGTAGATTGAAAATGACCAATTTATTATTGTTTTTGGTTTTGGAGGATTATTATTAGGCTCTGTGTGGAGTAAGGAAACTTGCCCGAGGTTTCTTCCTGCCTGGAATTGAACTCAGGTCTCTCGCTTGCAAAGCGAGTGCTCTAACTACTGAGCTGCAGGACTCCACTGAGCTGCAGGATGTTGGCTGTCCCTAATTAACCCATATTCTTCTCAGTGAAGATTTATTCTGTCCCGGATTATAGTCTCCAGGAGTTTCCCCACTACTGATGTCAGGCTGACTGGCCTGGAGTTCCCAGGTTTGTCCTTCTGTCCCTTCTTGTACAGGGGAGTAACATTGGCCACTCTCCAGTCCTCGGGCACCACTCCTGTGTCCAACGAAGATTGAAAAATTGTAGCCAAAGCCTCCGCTATTTGTACCCGTCCCTCCCATAGTACCCTTGGCTGCAGCCCGTCTGGACCGGGCGACTTATCACCTTCAGCCCAGTCAACCTTTTCAGTACTTCCTCTCTGTTTATACTTATCCTATCTATTTCCTGTACCCTCTCCTCCGATACTGCGGCATTCCACTTCTTTTGTGAAGACAGATGCAAAGTACTCATTCAGCACATTTTGCCTTTTATAACGTTTTATCACATTGATGGTCATTACTGTCAAGTCGTGATGGCTCTTTTAAAACAGCAAGGTTCACAAACCGCCTTGAAGTGAATGACTCAGTTAACCCAGAGCATTCTTGGCTAGTAGAGAGGGAGAAACACACCACTTTTCCAATAGTGCCACAGAATTATTAATGTCCTGAATTGGCTGCCTGACAGGAGCTGGTGTAACCTCTCACCCAAAGGCACTCTCCGAGCAGACTGGAGTGTCAGCCTGGACTGTGACCTCAAGTCCTGTTGTGAGGGTCTGAACTCACAACTTCTGACCCAGTTTGCTACCGACCTAGCCAGGCTGACACACAAGCGGAGAATGCAAGGCCGTTTCTGAGATGGGGCTCCCATCAGTGTGAGTACCCAGCGATGCTGGCAATCAATTCCCCATCCTTGCTGGACACTGCGATAGCCTGAGGTCGCTCCAGCTCACTGAGATGCTGATACCCTCCTTCCTTGTCCCCGTCTCTGTCTCCAGCACCGTCTCGTCCAGTATCAATGCCCTGGCTGCCGTCACTGTGGAGGACTTTATCAAACCTAACATCAACTTGTCTGAAGAAAAACTGTCCTGGATTTCAAAGGGACTCAGTAAGTCAGAGTTTATATTTTCTATTATATCTTCTTTGAATGAAGCAGAACACAAGAGTGTGTCTTACATAAGTAAAGTTTTGGAACTCCGTCCCACAGTTCTTTTATCTTGCCCCCTCCCTTACGTCCTTTCAAAGCCCACGCCAGGCTGTACTGGCTCCCAATCCCTGAATGGATCGACTTCAAGATCCTCTCACATGTTTCCAAATCACTTCATTCTCTCTCACCTCCCTCCCTCTCCGTGCTTCCCCCCCACCCACTCTACCACCCGCTGCCTCCCGTTGGTCGGCTCCGGCCTCCTATTTGTCCCTCATGCCTTGGGATGTCCTCCCGATGTGAAAGGCGCTATACAAATGTAATCTTGTTGTTGTTGTTCATTCCACCATCAGTGACCGCGCCTTCAGCCACTATAACTGGAAACTCTTGTTCAATCCCTCTGTCTTGCCCCCTCCCTCCCTACCTACAAATCCCATCTAAAGACCTTTTTGATCGTGCTTACGATCACCTCTCCCCTCCCCCTCCCCTTGGCTCGTTATCAGAGTCCGCCACTGTCAAGTGCTCCAGAACGTTACCCTGCGTGAATATATTGTGAAGTGAATTGACTGTGTACTTTGTGGGCGAAACTCGGCAGCCAATTGCGCACAGCAGCGTCCCAAGTTGTGGATTGAGTGATCAAATAATTTTTTTTTGAAGAAATTATTACCCCCGAAAAAGCGATCTGCCAATGAACTAACAACCGGGTTCCTACTTACTGCTCGGCAAACAGAGTGGAGGAAGGAAACTTGCCTAAGGTTTCGCCCTCCTTGGGAATTGAACCCGGGTCCTCTCGCTTGCGAGGCGAGTGCTCTAACCAATATGCTGCAGGAATCCACACCATTTTCCCTCAGTTCTTAAAAAGAAACCGGCTTCCAGACTAAGACAACATTTTCTACAATTCTGTGTTTTCTTAAATGTGAGGTGGCTTTTGCATCTCCCCCCAATCCAGGTTTAGGCTTTGGGTCAGGTCAGGGTTGGGTTCTGCTGTGATAACTCGGTAATTGATGCCCCTCACTCACCTCCTTCAAGATCCTCTTCTTCGACCGTGCCTTTGGTTACCCTCCTTCCGCCCTCCCTACCCCCCACCCTACCCGATCCAGACCCCCCAGCTTGGGCTCGGCAAAATGCTGACTTCCCACCGCCTTAGGACATCCTCCCGGCGTGAAAAGCGCTAAACAAATGTAATTTTGTTGTTGTTGTTGTGATGCTCAGGGTGACTGTAAATGATTGGAGCATATTGTGTCCCAGTCATTAATATTAATAAATAATAATCCTTGCATTTGATGTAATGCTTTTCCCGTCTTCTCGACGTCTCAAAGCGCTTCACAGAATATTCTGTAAAGTGAATTGACTGTATATTTGTGGGCGAACGCGGCAGCCAATTGCACACAGCAATGTCCCACAAACAGTCGTGGATTGAAAATGACCAATTTATTATTGTTTTGTTTTGGAGGGATTATTATTAGGCTCTGTGTGGAGTAAGGAAACTTGCCCAAGGTTTCGCCCTCTGCCTGGAATTAAACCCAGGTGTCTCGCTTGCAGAGTGAGTGCTCTAACCACTGAGCTACAGGACTCCACGAACCACAACTACATCGTGCACCTTGATGATGGGCTAGAATTCTATTTGTTCGGAGAGTAACTCTTCCTTCTTTTTCTTGTGGTAGGTTTAATGTACGGACTAATCTGCATTGGAATGGCTGCATTGTCCTCTCTGATGGGAGGAGTACTGCAGGTAGGACAGCATCGGAATTATTGCAATCGACAGTTTACAATGTGGCATTTTGTTCTCAACTGTCAAGGATCCAGTGCAGGGGAATGGAATATTTTCCCTTTGAGCACTATTTCCCACTTCCAGCACTCCCATGTCAGCTACAGTACGGATTAGAGACAGAGTAAAGCTCGCTCTATAGTATCTATCCAGCACTCCCAGGTCATCGGCCTCTGTATTATCTATCCAGCACTCCCAGGTCATCGGCCTCTGTATTATCTATCCAGCACTCCCAGGTCAGCTACAGGAAGGATTAGATACGCAATAAAGCGGCCTCTACATTGCTCTCTACTCTATTCTGATAAATTAACAGAACCAACCACAGAAGAGCACCCTATCAGTGTGACATTTTCCACTCCCTGCACTAGGCATGTGGCAGTCACTTGTGATGACTATATTAGTGCCGTATCTCTGGCCCAAATTCATTTTTAGTCAAAACAATAAGGTCAGGAAACAGAACAAGACGTTTAGCATATCCTATGTGGGTGAGATGTGAGCACAGACCTGAAGGGCAGTTTGTATGCTGACCCACCCACCACACCACAAGTGTCTCCAGTTTTTCATCTCACACAGACCACAAGACAAGTTTAGATGAAGAAGACCCTCTGGCCTAAAGGCAAAACACTGCAGATGCTTGAAATCTGAAACAAAAACAAAAGTGTCTGGGAACACTCAGCAGGTCAGGCAGCATCTATGGAGAGAAGAAAGTGGGTTAACGTTTCAGGTCCCAGCGATTTTTTTTTAAGACCCTTTTGGCACATCTGATCTCTTCCTCCCAGATTTACTCTGATGGTTATGTTCTGGGTTGATCTTTCTGTTTATTCACCAAAATGATGTAAGACAAACAGAATCACGTAACCTCTCACGCTTTTTCTCAAATCAGACCAGGGTCCTACCACCCTTTATGATAAACTGTGACAGCCAGTCAATGTAAAGAAATACTTCCTGGTGGCTGTCTTGAAGTTGCCCTTTGCTCCCTTGAACCCCCTATCCTGTTTTCTGGGCGTATCTTAAAATATTATTTACTTTCTCAATCCCACTTATCATTTTAGGCACCCCTCTGTGAGACCCCTCCCACACAATGGGATGGAGACTTGGAATCAGATCTGAGGTGTTTGAAATGAGATAAGGAAACACGGTGAAAAATGCAACAGATGTGCTAATTGTCAGCAGTTGAAAGTTGAACTAAACTGCTAACAAGAACAACAACTTGCATTTACATGGTGCCCCTCATGCGTCCCAGAGCGCATTTTAGTCCCAGTGTGTTACCTGACATTGTCTTCAGAGGAGGAAGAAGTTTATTGGCAGCCAACATTGGCTTTACATCCAACTATTGTCACAAAGTTAGATTTACCCATTGCCAAACACTGACTGATACAGCAGCAGGGGTGCAATTTTCTGTAATAATATATAATAATCGTTGCATTTGATATAGTGCCTCAACACGTCATTGAGACGTCTCAAAGCGCTTCATAGAATATGCTGTGAAGTGAACTGACTATATTTTGTAATAACACCCATGATATTTCTCACATCATGTGTCGCATTTTCAGTCACATTTCTTGACACATTAGATGGAGAGAATGTAAATGTCACGTCTCTACTCACTGGCACAGCAGCTCAGGGGTTTAAAAAGGAGACTGATAGATACTTGGCAAGTAAGAGATATGGAGAAAAAATCAGGAACAAGAAGAAGAAGATTACATTTGTATAGCGCCTTTCACGTCGGGAGGACGTCCCAAGGCGCTGGACAGAGTACAGCATTTCAGACCCGAGTTGGGGTCAGGGGGGAGAAGGGAGGGGAGGGGAAGGGGGGTGGCCGATGGCATGGTCGAAGAGGAGGGTCTTGAGGCGGGACTTGAAAGAGGCTAAGGAGGGGGCGAGGCGGAGTGATTAGGGGATGGAGTTCCAGAGGTTAGGGGCAGAGTGGCTGAAGGCTCTCCCGCCAATAGTGGGGCGGGTGGGTCGGGGGACATGGAGAAGGCCAGAGCCGGCTGAGCGGAGGGAGCGGGTGGGTTGATAGGGGGTTAGGAGGTCACAGAGGTAGGATGGGGCGAGACCATGGAGGGCGTTGTATGTGAGGACCAGGATTTTGAACTGGATCCTCTGAAGGATAGGGAGCCAATGGAGTCGTGTGAGAGTGGGGGAGATGGGGTCACGGAGTTTGGTGTGGGAGAGGACACGGACTGCAGAGTTCTGGATTATCTACAGCCTGTGGAGGGAGGAGTAGGGAAGGCCAACAAGCATAGTCGAACCTGGAGGAAAAGGAATTAAAAGATTTGCCATGGCCTAATAAACTTGCATGTTCTTACCCAATTTCCAGCAACTCTCCTTTGTGAGTGAATGGTATTGCGTGACATTTGGAACAAAGATTGAAAGTAGTTGCTTCCTTATTGAGTTGATTACGAAAACTCCCTCCTCATCGGCCTTCCCAACTCTTCCCTTCACAAGCTGCAGATCATCCAAAACTCTGCAGCTCGTGTACTCTCGCGCACCAGGCTCCGCGACCCCATCACTCGCACCCTCGCCCAACTCCACTGGCTCCCCATCCCCCAGAGGATCGAGTTCCAGATCCTCGTCCTCACTTTCAAAGCCATCCATGGCCTTGCCCCCTCCTACCTCTCTGACCTGCTGACCCCCTACCAACCTGCCCGCTCCCTCCGTTCATCAGGTTCTGGCCTGCTCCATGTCTCTCGCCCGACCCGCCCTACCATCGGTGGCCGGGCTTTCAGCCTCTCTGCCCCCACAATCTGGAACTCCATCCCACGGTCCCTTCACCTCGCTTCCCCCCTCGCCTCCTTCAAGGCCGGTCTCAAGACCCTTCTCTTCGATCATGCCTTCAGTCGTCCTCCCACCTCTCTGCCTTCCCCCACCCCTCCCCCACCCCTCCCCCATGCTCGGGCCCTGACACCTGACTTAAAAGGTGCTCTATAAATGTCATTTTGTTCTTGTTGAAGCATCTCAAAGTGCTTCAAAACGGCATCACACAGTGATGAATATAGTCTGGTGCGGTCTTCCTGTTTATTCACTAAAATTATGTAAAACAAACATTTATTTTACATTGTACAATGCACTGGATGGCACAATCCAAAGTTGGGTTTGATTTGCCAGGTGACGACTGAGAGGAGGCTAAGCTTTGCAACAGAAAAACAGTACCTGAGTGTTTTACAACTGTCATCTAAACAGCTGTGATTAGATTAGAGTCTAGTTCTCTCTTGCTGTGTGATGTGTGAAGAGTATTTATTCTCACTCCACTCTGTGTTTGGCTGGAGGTTAGTTCATGTGTAGTGAAACCCTCCAAAGGCCGTCAATGATAATAATAATAATCGTTGCATTTGATAAAGCACCTTATTTCGTCATTGAGATGTAACGCTGAACCTGAGACTGATTAATGCCGTAAATCGCTGTCCACATACAACTCCCACTGATCACTATTGTCCAGAAAGTGTGTCACCTCAAGGGATCCGGATTAAAGCTGGGGAGGAAGAAAGGTCCGAGTGAGAGGGAGACACTGGGGACAAGGCAACAGTTACAAAGCACTTTGAGACATCTAGAAGACGTGAAAAGCGCTTTATCAAATGCAAGGATTATTATTATTATTACACCTCGCTCCTAGAACACAATCACCAGAGGCCCAAATTCCAACTCGTGCCCCTCTACCTTTCTTACTGCCCAACCCACTACCCGCTGTCTTCGTTCAACTGGCTCCGGCCTCCTGCACGTCTCCTGTGCCCTCCATTCCACCATCAGTGGTTGCACTTTCAGTCACTACCCCTCAAAACTCTGGAACACTCTTCCTCTAACGTTGGCTTGGCCCTTCCTTCCCTATCTTCAGATCGGACCTGAAGACCTTCCAATTCAACCATGCCTATGGTCACCTCCCTCTCCCCCTGGCTTGGCGCCATGCTCTGCCACTGTCAAGAGCTCTGGGGCACTACTCTGTGCAAGGAACACTGTATAAGTTTTTGTTGTTGTCTCTTGCCTTTGTTTACAGGCCGCTCTCACCATCTTCGGGATTGTCGGAGGGCCACTGCTGGGAGTCTTCCTCCTGGGTATGATTCTGCCATGTGTTACTTCCATTGTGAGTACCTCACCACCATCCTACACCATTCAGACAAAGGTCTCTCAGCCACTAATGCATGTACATCCAGTGCCAGATCTCCAAGTCAGGATTTCATAGGAACAGGAGGAGGCCATTCAGTCCCTCGAGCCTGTTCCGCCATTTGATTAGATCATGGATGATCTGTACCTCAACTCCAATTACCTACCCTTGCCCCATATCCCTTGATCCCCTGACCTAACAAAAATGTATCCACCTCAGTTTTGAAAATGTTAATGGATCCAACGATAATTCACAGCCTTTTGTGGGAGTCAAAGAGTTCCATTTCCATTATTTCAACAAATAACAACAAATTGCACGTATATAGCACCTTTCACATCGGGAGGATGGCCCAAGGTGTTGGGATTTCACCCAGACCTCAATGCAGATAAACAGATATGAGGATGATTAGCACGTGGATAGCTGGCGTTGGTTTTACTGTTATCTCTGATCCCGTTGTTTGCTGACTCCCTGACCAAGTGGAAGCTTTCTCCCTATCTCACTGATTCTGATTCACTGATTCTCACTTTGTTCGACCCTGAGCTGTCCTTTCTCCCTCACATCCGCACCACAACTGGCACCGCCTTCCATCACCTCCGGAACATCGCCAGACTACGGCATTAACTCACCCCTCACGCGGCTGAAACCCTGGTTCACGCCTTTGTCACCTCAAGGCTGGACTATGGGAACTCTCTCCTCGCCGGCCTTCCCGGCCCTCCCTCCACACTGCAGGTCATTCAGAACTCTGCAGCTCGTGTACTGTCCCGCACCAGTGACCACATCACTCCCACCCTCGCTCACCTCCACTGGCTCCCCATCCCCCAGAGGATTGATTTCAAGATCCTCATCCTCACCTACAAGGCCATTCACAGCCTCGCTCCCTCCTACCTCTCCAACCTACTATCCCCCTACCTACCTGCCCATACCCTCCGTTCCTCTGGCTCCGGTCTGCTCCACGTCCCCCGCCCCAACCGCCCTACCATCGGTGGTCGGGCCTTCAGCCTCTCAGCCCCGAGGCTCTGGAACTCCATCCCCCAGTGCCTTCGCCGCTTCCTCCCTTTCCTCCTTCAAGGTCGGTCTCAAAACCTTTCTCTTTGACCTTCAGCCTTCAGCTCCCCTCTCAACTCTCTTCCCCCTCCTCGCTCCCTCCCTTCCCTCCCCTCACCCTGACCATTTCCCCCCCATGCTCGGGTCATGACCCAACTGTGCAGCGCCTTGGGACGTCCTCCTGACGTGAAAGGCGCTTTATAAATGGAATCTTGTTGTTGTTATTGTTGTTGATTTCTGTAATTCTGTGGTTTCAGGGAGCAATTTGTGGCCTTGTGGTGGGTTTTCTACTGACCATGTGGGTGGGAATCGGTGGACAAATCTATGGCCCACTGCCTGATAAAACCCTGCCTTTGCCTCTCAGCACCGCAGGCTGTATTTTCAACAACACTGAGCAGCCAAGCACAGTCACAGCCACGCTCTGGAGCACAATGAACCCCGTCACACAGCCAGACTTCAGGTACAGGATACATGTGGAGTCCTGTAACTCAGTGGTTAGAGCACTCGCTTTGCAAGTGAGAGACCTGAGTTCAATTCCAGGCAGAGGGCGAAACCTCGGGCAAGTTTCCTTACTCCACACAGAGCCTAATAATAATCCCTCCAAAACAAAACAATAATAAGTTGATCATTCTCAATCTACGACTGTTTGTGGGACATTGCTGTGCGCAATTGGCTGCCGCGTTCGCCCACAAATATACAGTCAATTCACTTTACAGTGTGTTCTGTGAAGCACTTTGGGACGTCCTCCCGACGTGAAAAGCGCTATATCAAATACAAGGATTATTTTGGTATTACATCCCATTAAGCGCTTTGAGGCGTCTCAAAGCCGTGATTAGGCGCTATATCAAATGAAGGATTATTATTATTCTAACTAACTAAGGTGACATGCTTGGCAATTGGATGTTGGAATTGAGTCGAACCTCTGTGACATTCTCAGTAGTACAGTTTCAAAGTGTAGCGCTGCTTACTGAGCCAGGCAGGGTTGACAACAACTCTAGCTGACAACAGCCGAGCCAGCGTGGCTCATCGGCAGGACTTGGAAGGGCAGACCAGTCACTGGGTCAGGGAATCTTACCACTCAGCACCTGTGAACCCTGCAAACCAAAGCCTTAACGAGTAGGACCAAGGTGGTCCCAGCTGGACAAGCAGCAGGAAGTTTACGGGCAGTGCTTTCGTTAGCAAACTATGTGGAGTTAGCTGGTTAAACTCCACCAGTTTCCCCAATGCACATTCTGGGGTCTGGTCTCTTTCCAGCCTAAAATCACTTGAAATTATTAATAACCCTCTGTGGAAGCTTACTGACCATTGGATTGTCTGGTTGTGTTTCAGGCCAGAGATTGCTGACACCTGGTACTCTCTCTCTTACCTTTACTTAAGCCCATTAGGAACAGTGGTTGTGTTTGTGGTTGGACTCATCGTCAGTATGCTGACAGGTATGGCATTTCCGCTTGACTGGAGCTGAAAATGTGGTGTTGAATCAAACCAAATGTGACCGAGTGCTAAAGCTAACCTCCATCACTGTGCACCATGTGTGTCCTAATCACTGCTCATTGAGTCCAGCCGCTGACTGGCTCAGCTCGCCAGTGATGTGACACTGATGCCACTGAATGACAGGCTTGAACAAGAGAAAGAAGAGGGCAGTCAGCCCATCAGACAGTTTATTAGACAATCCCAAACATTGTAATCCCATTTCCCAGCTAATTTCACCCATTACTCTTTCTTCCCAAGTATCTACCTGCCTTAGAAACATCCCAACTGCGTGGTTTTCCTGGGGGGGGCAGTGCATTCAACATTTTCACAACCCTCTGTGCAAAAACATGTTCTCTGATCTCACCCCTAACCATCCCACCTTTAATTTAAGACATTGGTCCCTTGTTTGGATCCTCGTATCAACAGGAAGAGTCATCACTATCTAGTTTATCAATTTCCTTCAAGTCTTTAACTTGACCCCACGCTACCACCATCACCCAGACAGACAGGCAAATGGTTTTCACTAAGAATTTTTCCCTGAGACTCTAACAAATGGACCCATTCTGTGCAGTAACGTCTCTTTGCTCTGTGATTGTGTAGCAAGGTGGGGAGACACCTGTGTAATATGGGTGGGGGGAAACGTGTTTTTCTCTGACTTGTGACTGACTGATAACTGGTTCTATTGCACAGGGGGAAGAACGAATCAGGTGAACGGGGACCTCCTGATCACAAAGAGGGACCTGATCTGCTGCTTCTGTTTCACTGATACCAGCGATCACTCAGAGGTACACAACTGCACCCAGTATAAGAGATAATCCTTGCATTTGATACAGCGCCTTATCACCTCTTCGAGACGTCTCAACGCCTTTCACACAATGAACTGTAAAGTGAATTAACTATATTTGTGGGCGAAATGCAGCAGCCAATTGCATACAGTAGCGTCCCACAGATAGTCATGGATTGAAGTGACCAATTTATTATATATTTTTTGAAGGAATTATTATCCTTGGAAAAGCGATCCACCAATGGACTAACAACCGGGTTCCTACTTACTGCTAGGTAAACCGAGGCGTGTGGAGCAAGGAAATTTGCCTAACATTTCGCCTGCTGGGAATTAGTTGAGGTGGTAACTAACCCCATCACCTCTCCTGTATATTTCCTCCTCTTCCAAATTTACCCCATGTTCAAATGAATCAGCTGCTTACCTTATTGCGCCAGCCTGGCTGCTTTGGCTGCACTCTCACAACTGAATCATAGGGATTGTGGGTTCAAACCCCACATTGGGATGTGGAACTTGTACAGGTGAAGCTGATACCAATGCAGTGCTGGGGGTTTGTTGCATTATCTGCTGTCTTTCCGATGAGATGTTAAAGCATCTCTCTGTTCAGGTGGATGTTAAAGACTCCCATCTCACTGTTCAAAAAGAGAACGGAGTTTCTCTCCCTGTGTCCTGACCAACAACTCCCCAAAGTAAAAAAAAAGTATCATTTATTTCATGGTTGTTTTGGGGATATTGCTATGCACAAATTCACTGCTGTATTCACCCACAAAACACATAGTCACTACACTTTACACCAAATCCTGTGAAGCACTTTATCTCGACAATGTGATAAGGCACCATATCAAATGATAGGATTATTATTATCATCAGCATTATTAGTGACAGTCCACCAAGCCTCAGTTCCCAGAGCAGTTTGCGAAGTGAAGTGAGTGGCCTATCTGTCCAGATGTTCATGGACTCGGATGGGCGGCGCCACCTTTCAAAGGAAGGAGACTCTGTGCAGCTCATGTCCAACATTTATGCATTAGGACCAAATACAGGAATTATTATTGGAAGCTGAATAAGAAGGTTTGCAGTACCGCTGTATGTCCATTGGTGGCGCTGCTGCAAACATTACCTGTGCTCTGGGTAGCTCTGGAGTGCCACCTGCAGACACTGGGCGGTACTGCGACCTTATTCCTTATTCTATCATATTAAAATCTCATTAAAATCTGAACATTTAAAGACTGAAAAAAATAGGATTTTGTCTATTCATGTGGGAACAAAGAAGGCTGAGGCGTAACCTGATAGAGATCTCTAAAATGATGAGGTATGTTGATGGAGTCAACCGGGAGAAATTGTTTAAACTGGTCGGTGAGTCAGTGACCAGAGAGTGTCAATTTAAGATAATTGGCAAATGAGGAGGTTAGGAGAATTTCTTTACTAGGTTATGGAATGCTGGTGGTCGAGCCAGAAATTATATTACAACAACAACGACTTGCATTTAAATAGTGCCTTTCACATGGGGCAGTGTCTCGGAGCGCTTATATATTAACTTTCAAAAGGCAACCAGTTAAATATCTAAAAAAGGAATAAACTACAGTGCTACATCTCTCTTTTATGATTGAGGAATATGTTTGATAGAGACAGCCAACAAGAAACTGTCAACCTTTGTCCTTGTGTCTGTCTGTCTGGCTTAGTGCAGAACACTCTCACTTCTTAGTCAGAGACTGTGAATTCAAAGCTCCACGTTTGGATTTGAGCTCAAATCCACCCCAATTGCAGTACTGGGGGAAGCTGTTGTAACAATAACAAATCATTGCATTTGATATGGTGCCTTATCCCATCTTCAAAACATCTCAAAGTGCTTCACAGAATATACTGTAAAGTGAATTGACTGTAAATTTTGTGGGCAAAGCACAGCAGCCAATTGTGCACAGCAGCGTCCCACAAATAGTCGTGGATTGAGTGACCAAATTATTATTGTTATTGTTTATTTAATTGTTTAATTGTCTGTAGCATCTTTGGATGAGACATTAAAACCAAAGTCTTGTCTGCCTGTTAACGATACCATGGTGCTATTCAACATTCCTCCAGATAATTTGGTCATTCTCTTCATGATGGTTTATGGGGCATTGTTGGCGAAAATTGGCGTTTGTCCACATATACACAGTCATTTCACTTTCCAGAGATCACCTGTGAAAGATTTTAGATGTTCTAATGTGATAGGCACTGGGTCAAATGCAAGGATTATTATTCTCAAAGCAATGTATTTGACAAACGTTTTCCTATAAATAACTAGTTTTCTTGCACTGTGTAATAGGAGAAGGACATCAAGCAGCATCCGGATGAAACATTTGAGATTGGGAAAGACAACCTTGCCTTCACTCACCAGGATCCAATCTGTCATGATAAAGAGGACCAGATCCAGCCCAACACTTACTTATAGAAATACATACAATACCTTAGAGACAAGGGAAGTGTTGAGAATAATGTTGAGCTGAACTGTATAGATTTTCCCTCTGAAAAGTGGTGAAAAGGTGATTCTGCCATCTTTCTCCACAAGAGCCTCAAATGCTGGAGTTCGACCCGCCATTCAGCTCCAAATTCTCTCCAACATCAATGGCTTTCTAAACGTTGGGTACCTGCAACCGGATAATTCATATGTGGCCTCAACAGTGATTTATAGAGTTAAGTAATTTTTAAATTTTAATTTTTAAATTTTTAACATTTAGTCTAATGTCTTATCTAATTAATATTAATCTAACGTCTTCATTAATCTAATATCTAATGTTGGAGTCCCATAGGGTATTGGTTAGAGCACTCGCCTTGCAAACAAGAGGTTTGATTCCTGGACGGGGCAAAACCTTAGACAAGTTTCCTTACTGCTCACGCCTCTGCTTACCTAACAGTAAATAGGAACTTGGTTGTTAATCGATTGGCGGATTGCTTTCCAACAGCAATAATCCCTCCAAAAATATTAATAAATTTAAAATTTGGTCACTCAATCCACGACTGTTTGTGGGACGCTGCTGTGTGCAATTGGCTGCCGCGTTTCGCCCACAAAATACACATTCGATTCACTTTACAACAACAACAACAAGATTACATTTCACGTCGGGAGGACGTCCCAAGGCACTGGACAATGACAGCGTTTCAGACCTGAGCTGGGGTCGGGGGGAGAAGGGAGGGAGGCGAAGGGGGGTGACCAATGGCATGGTCGAAGAGAAGGGTTTTGAGGCGGGACTTTACAGTGCATCCTGCGAAGCGCTTTGAGACGTCTCAAAGACAAAATAAGGTGGGATATCAAATGCAAGAATTATTATTGTTGTTGCATATTACATCCACCCTATACCTTATTACCTAGTGGACATGCCTTCACTTTCAAATACACAGTCACTACACTTCACAGTAAAAATTCTGGGAAGTGCTTTGAGCTGTTTTGATGATGTGATAAGGTGCTGTATCAAATGCAAAGTTTTTTTTAACAGAAACCTGGTTGAGGCCAATTTTTGAAACGCTAAATAGCAGGAGGGTGTACAGGGAGGACAGTAAGGGGGGTGTTCTGGAAGGATGAAATCAAATGGCTAAAGTTTCCCCGAAACTCTGGAACACTCTTCCTCAATCCCTCTGCCTTGCCCCCTCCTTCCTCATCTTTGGGTTACACCTGAAAATCTTCCTCTTCAACCGTGCTTACTTATGGTCATTCAAATTTGGATGGTGAAAATTCTAGAGATGTTAACTGCTGCCTTATCTATTTACCAACATCAGTCAGACGTGGATCAATTTAAACCTTTACATCATGAAAACTGACGATTACTAACCTAGTTTAAAAGTGTTTCCAACTTGTTTAAGTAAACCTAATAATGTTTTCCTTCCTTACTTTTGCAAACAGAATTCTGTGTTGTGCCCCTGTTCTTTGTTCCAATTTACAGAAACGTTTATTTATCTATATTAAAATAATTACACTTTATTCTGATCATCATTCTTTTTCCTTATGAACCCCCAACTAATATATATTTAGATATATTCATAAGCTTGGTAGAGATTGTGTTCATTCCTTGTATTCAGGTATACCAAACCCGAGTCACAAAGTAGGGAGGAGGGTGACAATGTCCCGAGACGAGCCTGTTTAACTCTGTGTATGTGTTTATATGTATGTGTGTGGATGTGGGTATGTGGGTATGTATCAGCGCCTTGGGACGTCCTCCCGACGTGAAAGACGCTATACAAATGTAATGTTGTTGTATAAACAATAATAAATAATAATAATCCTTGCATTTGATATCGCTCTTTTCACGTCTTCTGTCTCAAAGCGCTTCACAGAATATGCTGTAAAGTGAATTTGTGGGCGAAATGCAGCAGCCAATTGCGCACAGCAATGTCCCACAAACAGTCATGGATTGAAAATGACCAATTTATTATTGTTTTTTTGTTTTTTTTTGTTTTGGAGGATTATTATTAGGCTCTGTGTGGAGTAAGGAAACTTGCCCAAGGTTTCGCCCTCTGCCTGGAATTGAACTTTGCACTTGCAAAGCGAGTGCTCTAACCACTGAGCTACAGGACTCCACGTATGTGGGTGTGTATGTGGGTGTGTGTGGGTGTGAGCGCAGGAACACCTGCCTCAGACAACAATAATAATCCTTGCATTTGATATAATGCCTTATCATATCTTCAAGACGTTTCAAAACGCTTCACAGAATGTACTGTAAAGTGTAGTGACTGTATATTTTGTGGATGAAACACGGCAGCTAATTGATTGGATTAAGTGACCACATTATTATTTTATTATTTTTTTGGAAGGGATTAATACCCCCAGAAAAGCAATCAGTCAATCGACTAACAACCGGGTTCCTATTTACTTCTGGGTAAACAGAGACCTGTGGAGTAAGGAAACTTGCCCAAGGTTTGTGCCTGCCCGGTTCCTCTCGCTCGCGAGGAATGTGCTCTAAACAATATGCTGCAGGACTCCACAAGCTGGGATTGTGCTGTTCAGAGGATAAAGAAACTTGGAGCTGAGCCCAGTGGTAACTTTTTTTGCTAAGCTCGAAGCAGAAAGTGTGCTGATGAGTAATCAGGAAGATACTCTGGGGTGAGGCTTCTCAAGTACTTCACACTCCGTGCCTCAGTGGTTAAAAAGCTCAAATTAAATGCTGACCTCTGACACCAATAGTCCGCAGAATCCCAGCTTGTCCCAGCCCTTATTCTGCCTCAGTCGCAATAGATTGGCCTCCAAGCTGTTCTTGGTCCAGCATGTTTTGCCGGGTGTCTGACGCACCATCACCTGCTTAAGAGTCTCCAAACCAAACTGAGAAATCCATGCATCCCACCTACACATGGAAATCCCAGAGATAGATTGTTGGAATGGAATGCGCTCTTCCTGTAGGGATGCATCCTGCTTAGAGTATTAGGCGCAGGACCAAATCTGCACACAATATTCTAGGTGTGGTCTCACCAAGGCCTTATACAGTTACAGCAAAACATCCCTACTCTTCTACTCTAATCCTTTTGCAATAAACGCCAACATGGCATTAGCCTTCCTAGTTGCTTGCTGTACCTGCATACTAACTTTTTGTGACTGGTGTACAAGAACACTAACACTATCTAGTCTCTCCCCATCTAGAAAATAATCTGCTTTTCTATTTTTACCACCTAGGTGAATAACTTCACACTTCCCCACATTATATTCCATCTGCCACCTTCTTGCCCATTTACCTCGTCTGTCTATTTCCCTTTGCATTCTTCGTGTGTCATCCTCACAGCTTACTCTCTCACCTATCTTTGCATCGTCTGACTTAGATATGTTAAGTTCTATTTCCTCTTTTATATCATTGATGTAGACTGTAAGTGCTGATCCTTGTGGCGCTCCACTAGTCACATCCTGCCAATCTGAGAAGGACCCGATTATCTCTACTCTTTGTTTTCTTCCTGTTTGACATTCTCAATCTATGCTGATATATTGTCTTTAATTCCATGGGCTCTAATCTTATGCAACATTGTTAATGCCTTCTGGGAATCCAAATACATCACATCTACCGGTTCCCCCTATCTAACCTGCTAGTTACATTCTCAAAAACTCTATAAGATTTGTTAAACATGATTTCACTTTCGTAAAGCCATGTTGACTCTGCCTAATCATGTTACGATTTTCTAAGTACCCCACGACGACGTCCCTAATTAAGGACTCTAGAATTTTCCCTACCATCAATGTCAGACTAACTGGTCTATGGTTCCCCATCTTTTCTCTCCCACCCTTCTCAAATAGCGGTGTTACGTTTGCGACCTTGCAATCAATGGGAATCATTCCAGAATTCCAGGGAATTTTGGAAGATCAAAAACAAAGCATCCACTATCACTGCAGCCATCTCTTTTAAATCCCTAGGATGCCGGCCATCAGGTCCAGGGGACTTATCGGATTTTAATCCTATCAATTTCTCTAGTACTATTGCTTTACTGATGTTTATTTCCTTCCTCACTAACATTAGCCTCCAGGTTCCCTTCTATTTTCAGTAAGTTTTCAGTGTCCTGTAACATGAAGTCAGAAGTAAAATATTTGTTTAACGACTCTGCCATTTCTTTATTCCCCAATATAATTTTGCCTGTCTCTGCCTGCAGTGGACCCACGTTCACCTTTGATAGTCTCTTCCTCTTTATGTACTTGTAAAAACTCTTACAATCTGTCTTTATGTTCCGAGCTTGTTTACCCTCATATTCCATTTTCTCCCTCTTAATCAGTTTCTTGGTTTTCCTTTGCTGTTCTCTAAAACCCTCTCAATCCTCAGGTTTACTCCTCTTCTTGGCAGTATTATAGGCCTCTTCCTTTAATTTTATACTTTCCCTAACTTCTCTAGTCAGCCAAGGTTGAACCACTTTTCCTGTAGTATTTTTATTTTTCAAGGGAATACGTGATCGCTGGGAATTATGTATTATATCTTTAAACGTTTGCCATTGCTGGTCTACCATCATTTTTAAATCTATTTCCCAGTCTATTTTAGCTAAATCTTGTCTCATACCTGCAAAGTTGGCTTTATTTAGATTCAAGACCCTTGCTTCGGATTCAACTATATCACTGTCTAACTTAATGTTAAATCCCATCATGTTCTGGTCACTCTGCCCTAGAGGAGCCTTGACTTCCAGATTGCTGATTAGCCCGATTTCATTTCACAAAACAAGATCTAGGATTGGTTCCCTGGTTGGTTCCTCAATATGGAAAGGTATAAAGCAGAATTTCTCCAAATGAAGGCAGGAAACACAAGTAGAGTAAAATGCAAAATACTGCAGTTGCTGGAAATCTGAAACAAAAATAGAAGTCGCTGGGAACACTCAGCAGGTCAGGCAGAATCTATGGAGAAAGGAAATTGGATCAATGTTTCGGGTCCACTACCCTTCATCAGAACTGGGGCATGTTGGGGTTAACAGAGGGGGGGAGGCAGGGCAAGGAAGACAAAGGAGAAAGTGGGGTAGAGGACAGGGGATGATGGGTTAAAGAGGTGTTAATGATGCAAAACGAAGAGGGGAAAAAATTGAAACAAAATGGGCAGATCAGAGAGAGAAAAGATGTGTCTGGGACTCAGATGATGTGGTAATGGTCACAGAAGAGGGAGGGGTGGGGGGGGAGGTGAGCTGTTATGGTCTGACATTGTTGAAATCAATATTGAGGCCAGAGGGCTGTAAGGTCCCCGGCAGAGGTGCTGTTCCTCAAGTTTGCGCTGTGGCTCATTGGAACAGCCTAGGAGACCGTGGATGGAGAGGTCAGAGTGCGAGTGGGAGAGAGAGAGTTGAGGTGGTGAGTTGCGCTTGCGGACAGAATGGAGCTGTTTGGCAAATTGGTCATCCAATCTGCGTTTTGTCTCCCAATATAGAGGAGACCAAGTGAGCAGCGAATGCAATAAACTACATTGGTGATAGTACATGTAAATCGCTGTCTCACTTGAAATCTGTGAGACAGCTTTCAGGTGAGTTTTCAAGTGAAATTTGTTTCAAGTCTTTGAGCTGTCAGTTTAGACTGACTCTCCAGTGCAGTTTTGAGAGGAGGGCTGCATTGTCCAAGGTGCCGCCCTTCAAATGAGACGTTAAACCAAGGCCCTATCTGCTTTTTTCAGTGGATGTTAAAGGACCTATGACACTATTCGAAAAGAGCAAGGAATTTCTGCTAGTTTTCCAGCTATCAATTCCCCCAGATAAAAATTAATCATTTACTTCATGAAATTGGATGGGTATAAATTCGCTGACACTTTTGCTTAGAAATAAACAATCGCAACGACAACAATAATAATTATCCTTGTATTTGATATAGCGCCTTAACACTAGCCAGCAATTCCCCGTGAAGCATGTTGACGTAGGATTAGTAAGCACAGATGACACTAGGAAAATACCTGATAATCTTCCAATGCAAAACTGCAACCAGAAGCCAGGGAGTGTCATGGAATTAGAAACGATTAATATTTTAAAAGATGATGACAGTCAAATCAGCCTGAGACAGTTTTAAATTTCAGTTCATCGGCACATCTCAATAGATATTGTATTGCAAAACATTTAGTTCTATGATAGTAATGAGGAATGGCTGTTTCTTAATAAGAATGAATGTGTCAAAGTAATAATATAATCCTTTCATTTGATATAGTGCTTTATCACATCTTTGAGACATCTCAAAGCGCCTCATCAAATATACTGTAAAGTGAATTGACTGTATATTTTGTGGGTGAAAAAGTGATAGTTCTGTGCATGCTTCAGAATGTAAACCAGCTCTGAAGCGAGCCCTTGCCTCCCCTGGAGCTGCCTCGATCCGAGACCATGCACAGAATCACATTAAACAGCTTTCCAAAATAGTTGTGACTTGACAACAGCTTGGGCTGGAGCCCAGGCTCTCATAAGAGCCACAGGCACCTCAGTATTGGTGAAGTTTGTTGGCCTCATGTGATCTGCAGCAGGACAGATTGCAAGGGTACTGGGGAGGAGCGGGAGAATGGAATCCAAGCAGACAGCTCCAGTGAGAGGACCTAATATGGACCAAATGGCCTCCTCCTGTGCTACAAACATGCTTTGAATCTGGCTCTATCATGCTGCCCTATTACTCTATCTGTGGGAATGGTATCTGAGCCAGGACGCCCCTATAGCTCTGAGAGCTGAGCTTTGCTCTTGGGAGTTTGTGTACAGTGGAACCATAGCCATTCTGCTTTAGAAGCACAGACAATTTAAGCATTGTTACATGTTTCCATGGTGCCCATGAGTGTTAACTGAGTGTTAACCCATCAATGAATGTCTACAGCCCACTTGTGTATGTAAGGCAGGTTCTGACCATGTAATGACCCTTGCTCATACTTTCACTCAACAAGATTTAAAAGGAGTAAACTGAATGCGGGCAGATAAATAATAATCCTTGCATTTGATATAGCTCCTTATCAAAAACAGAAGTTGCTGGGAGCACTCGGCAGGTCAGCAGCATCGATAGACATGTGTTCCCAGCGACTTCTGTTTTTGTTTCAGATTTCCAGCATCTGCAGTATTTTGCGTTTAGCTCCTTATCACGTTGTCAAGACATCTCAAAGAGCTTAACAGAAGACTGTAAAGTTTGCACCCAGCAATTTCCTACAAACAGCCAAGGAGTGAGTGACCAATTTTATTTTGGGGTTTGTTGGCCAGGATACCAGGAGAGAGAAATTCCCTTCTCTGGAATTTTGACGTCCAGTTGAACAGGCAGTAGGGATCTTGCTTTAACGTTCCATCCGAAGCATGGTAACAATGCAACACCCACCCCCCTCCCACCCCCAGCACTGCATTGAAGTGTCATCCTGGATGATATGATTCCAAGTCCCGACATGGGGCTTGAACCTGCAACCCTCTGACTCAGAGGCAAGAGCATCACCAACTGAGCTAGGCTGACAGACTAAATAAGCATTTACGAACAATTCATTTATTCACCATCACCAACTGCATCAGAAGTCACCCTCTCCCTCGCTCAGGTCCAACACCAAAATACTGTTCTGCTTGAAAGATGCTATATAAATGGAAGTTGTTGTATTCCCATGATAGATCCAAATACTTTTCTAGGTTAATCAAACTTTAGAATTAAGTATGCAAATGTATCAGCATCCTAAACTACATGTAATTAAAGCTTATTCTTAATATTAACATAAACATGAGGGCAACTCAGATGAAACAGCTCATTTGGCCAATTTGATCTCATCCATCCTGTAGCGAAGTCCTGTAGCATAGTTGTTAGAGCACTCGCCTCACAAGCGAGAGACCTGGGTTCAATTCCTGGGCGGACAAAATGTTAGGCACGTTTCCTTACTCTACAAGCCTCTGTTTACCTTGCAGTAGGAAGGAACCCAGTTGTTAGTTGATTGTCAGATCACTTTCCAGGTGTAATAATCCCACTCCCAAAAATAAATAATATGGTCACTCGATCCCCGATTGTTTGTGGGACGCTGCTGTGTGCAATTGGCTGCAGCGTTTCGCCCACAAAATATACAGTCAATTTGTTTTATAGTATACTCTGTGAAGCGCTTTGAGATGTCTCGAAGACGTGATAAGCTGCTATATCAAATGGAAATGTTATTATTATACATTATTATATATTATAAGTGTTAAAAAAATTTTTTTTAGATAAACACGTTGCTGAAAAATAAGACTTTTTGGTCACCCTGTAGTTTCTTTTCATTTCTGGTCGTTTGGGAGTTGAAAGAAGCCCAGCACTCAAATGGTTAACAGCCACTGGAACAACAAGTGGTTTGAAGCCAGGTGAGTCTTTCTCAACGATTCACGAAACACGCAAGGCAACACCCCGTACTGCTTACGTGGATTTGATACTGCTGTTAGCTCAGCCTCTAGGAAGCCGGAGAAACCGAAAGTCCCGGAAATTACAGTGAGTGAACTTGGGATCAGGTGCTGCGTTCTGCAGCCAAGCGCTCAGTAACAATCATCTGCTCCCAACAACATTAAACCTTCACAAAGTTAAAGAACCGGCGCAGAAAGTGTCAAGGACTGGAGAGGCTTTTGCAGTCGGGGTAAGCTTGACACACCATTCGTGGCACAAAGCTGTGTGTGTGTGTATGTGTGTGTTTGTGTGTCTGTTGATACAAAGCAGAACTTTCAAGATAAGTGAGTAAGAACCCATCGCCTGTTTGTGGGAAAAAGACATGAAACATTATCCCAGGAGGTTTGTGAAAAAAAATTCAGATTCTAAAGTGAGAAGAGACTTTGAACTTTAGAAGAGAGCTGTTCAGTGTGTATTTGCTGTGGTATTTTATTTCTGTTTTTTTGGCTCAGCTCCAAATTAGGGTTGGCAGTTCTGGTAAGAGTCTGTGGGGGAGGGCTGTTCACCAATACTGTACTAATTAGCTTGTTCAGAGGTATTTTCACAGAGGTGTGTTGCGAAAATTTTCCAAAGTTTCCAGTTAAGAGTATTTTGTAATTATGTAAATTATATATTGTGTGTTACATTGTAGTGTTTTAGACAGATTATTTAACGAGCTGTCAAATGTACATTAAATGTCAACTGTGGTATTGTGTCATTTGTAATTGGAAAAAAATGATACGATTTCAGGTTGTGGATTGAGTGACTAAATTATTATTATTTTGTTTATTTATTTTTTGATTGGATTATTACCCCCTGGAAAGACGATCTGCCAATTGCTGTGCGCAATTGGCTGCCGCGTTTGCCCACAAATATACAGTCAATTCACTTTACAGTGTGTTCTGTGAAGCGCTTTGGGACGTCCTCCCGACGTGAAAAGCGCTATATCAAATGCAAGGATTATTATTATTATTAATTGACTAACAACCAGGTTCCCACTTACTGCTCCGTAAACAGAGGTGTGTGTGTGGAGTAAGGATGCTTGCCTAACGTTTCACCCTGCCTGGGAATCGAACCCAGGTCCTCCTGCTTGAGAGGCAAGTGCTCTAAGCAATATGCTGCAGGACTTGACAGGAAAGAGGAAGCACATCATACATGATGGGCAAAACAGGCTTTTTCTGTGCTGTACATTTTGGTGGCTCTGTTGTTGGCTCCGCAGCCCAGTCTCAGTAGGTCGCTTTCCTAGCTTCCTCGGTTGGGACTGATTCTCATTACCATCTCCAGGTCCACTCTTTGAATTTTACTTGCCCAACCTGCACTGCTCCCAACCTGTCACAAATTATGCAAGATACTCGGGAAGGGAGAAAATTAGGGTGTGGGTCATAGACACTCAAAGTTCCTGTCTAAATATTACTGAAGAGTTTCATGTTCAAAGATTAATAATTCCAATCACTGAACAAATTGACTTCAAGATCCTCTCACTCATTTTCAAATCACTTCATTCCTCTCACCTTCCTCGCTCTCCGACCTGCTTGTCCCCCATCCACTCCACCACCTGATGCCTCTGCTCGGCTGGCTCCGGCCTTCTATTGGTCCCTCGTGCCCTCCATTCCACCATCAGTGTCCGTGCCTTCAGACATTATGCCCCGAAACTCCTTCCTTCAATCCCTCCGCCTTCCCCCCCTCCCTCCCCACCTTGAAATCCCACCTAAAGACCTTCCTTTTTGATCATGCTTACTGTCACCTCCCACCACTGCGAAGCGCTCGGGACGCTACCCGTGTGAAGGGCGCTAGATAAATGCAAGTTGTTGTTGATGAATGAAACTGATTTAGATGAAAGAGCAATTTATCTTCCAAATGGAATATCTGTAAAGTGGCAATAATAAAAAAAGCAACTTTGTAAAAAAAATATAGCCACCTTCTTGTAGAGAATTTCTACGGTAGTTTGACATTTGTCTCCAGAATGGTGACACCAATCCACCACACGGGTACAAACTGTGCCCAACCAGAAGCCCTGTCCATCAGGATGTATACAAATATTATTCAGTATTCTGTATTCCAAGCCAAAAAATTAAGAAAGGCTACAGTACAGTACTATAATAGAGGATTTAACCTTCTCTAATTAGGGTTTAGCTCTCCCTGACTAAGCAATGTAGGGCGGGAAAGCTACCTGTAATCCAACACCTTTTCACTCAGTGGAATGGAAGAGATGGAAACACGATAAAATGACTAATACTGTAGCTGGAATTTCCATCCAGCAAACACGAGTTTGTAGCCAGGTATCTGGTATCGGGGCTGAGAATTGAAACTGTGCAGATATTAGATGGCTATTGTCCCCAGTCAGCGCTACACAACACACAAACCAGGAACAACATACTACACTGTCTGCTGTTGGTATTGTAAGAGGTGCTTTGGGGGAAAGCTAGTGATAGCTAATTTTACTTTTTTTAAAAAAAGTTGGGGGAGAGAGAATACATTCACCTGTTCTAGATTTCATCTATTTTCTTGGCATTTCAGAGCATTCAAAATTGTTTCAAGTTATAAAATTTAGTCTTAACATTTTGTTGCAACAAAAAATTGCATTGATATAGCACCTTTCACGTCAGGACGATGTCCGAAGGCACTGGACAGTCAAGGATTTGCAACTGAGCTGGAAGTTGGATTCAGGGGAAAGGGGAGGGGGAGAGATAGGGGGGACACATGCCCAAAGGCACGACCAAAGACGAAGGTCTCAAGATACTAGCAGTTTTTCTGCAGCTCTTAAAAGAACTTCCAGAAAGACAGTTTTGAAATGAAGACTGTATATATAAGTTGTATATACGAATTTGCCCAATTCTGGATGCTCTGAAAAGCTAAGAAAATAGAGGAAATCTGGACCCAATTGGAATTTCTTCCCTCTGACTGTGACAATTTGAAGATGTGATTCGCATATTGTTCACATGAGTAAAAACTATTTGCTTTACAGGGCAACTGCACAAAGGTGAAGGAAACAAGAAATTGTCATACACAGCAAACAAAGCAATAAAATGAAATCCAGGGTGTGGCCTCCTGTCATGTTTAGTATGTATGCTCTCTGTGTAGCTGTGAACTTCAGTAACCCAAAGGGACAGAATGTTGCAGATGCTACTGACTTAACTGACAGTGAAACCAGTTCATCAGGAACCATTCCCTCCAGCAGTCGATTTACAACTGAAAAAAGCGAGACAGCCAATCCAACTTTAACAAGTATCTACATGACCACAGCAACTCCCAAGACTACTGTTGCCACAACAACCAAATCAGTGGGTCATTCCAATACCACACTGCCATCCACAGCAATCACAGCACCACCCAATACGTCAAGTTACTACACATCTCAGTCTTCTGTCACTCCAACAGTGAATTCATCAACAACAGACAGTCAGATTAATAACACTAGTTCTGTTTCGCCTTCCGAATTAACTCCTGTTGTGAAACCCACACTGCCAGCATCTGCTGCAACAAGCAAGCAGCCAGTTCTGACTGATGTTACACAGCCCTACACTGCCTCACTCTATTCAGTCCTCACCACTGGAGCTTCAGGTAAAGCCTCACCTCTGACAAAGCTGGTTCATAATTTAATGATTGACTTAAAACAAATACGATGAGGGTAGTAGCTAAGCTAACTATTTTGCATTGAAAAGAATAATAAGAGGTATGGACAAAAACAAAGGACAAATATTTGATTTTTTGAAATAGTTTGATTTGGAAAAAACTTTACAAATTTTACGTGAATAGGAATTATCCAGTTTTACCTGGTCAAAACTGTGGCGTGTAATACAATCACCAGTGATAATTATCACAGTTAATAGAAGTTGATCGCTATCACTGACGGGAATGGGGAGGTGTTTATCACCAAGACTAGTGCTAGCTTTGACCGCGCAATTGTCCACCCTCCTACCCTTACCCTCCCTCTCCTGCACACCCCCCGATCCCAACCCTCCAGCTCAGGTCCAAATCCCTGACAGTGCAGCGCCTTGGGAAGTCCTCCTGTTGTGATAGATGGGTAAATGTAATTTGTTGTTGTTGTTAATACGTTTCACTATATTTTTAGTTGATATGATTATTGCCAGTAGTATCGCATGCTGCAATTTCTCTCCCTATAAGTAATTGCAGAATGTGGGTATTTGCTTCCTGTGGCGAGTTGGAAAGCATATCAAAGAAAGTCATTTAAAGACTCCTACAGTTCCTTTAAAACAAGTATGATGAGGGTAGTAGCTAAGTTCATAACATTAGCTGCCTCTCTGCAGCATGCTGGAGGCCTGATTCAGCAGTTAGAGAATCACGAGGGTGACGTTATTGGTGACCACTCCATGGGAATAATTATATCATTGGGCCTGGCTGCTGATCTTAAGTCATCAGTGATTGACATCAGTAGAGTGCCCAACAATACTCAGAGGAAATCACCAGTGTCTGGGGTTGGCAGCAGAGAACTTAAATGGATGCCCATTCACATTGATTCAATGCAGCATTCTACCTGATGCTGTCCTGAGGAAATCCAATTGAAAGTTTCTTCTAGAGTGCTTTTTATACTTTTCAACCGTGTAAATCAATCGCCAAAGAAAAATAACTTTGGTTCTCATTACTTTTTTTCCAGTTTCGCAATATCGAATGAAGAGTTCAGAAATCATTTTGACCATTACCTTCAGCGTCATTCTGGGACTGACTATTTTAGGGGTTATTATGTATAATGTCACCAAATGTATACACAAGAGAGAACACTATTTACACCGCCCACTCTACAACAGCTCACATTCTTCATTTGAAGAGCCAGGTACGTACTGTCATCTACAATCTGTTTAAACTCGGTAGAAAGCAAATCGTTCATTTTGCATTAATTAAAAATTTGCAATGCCCAGAATATCCATTGGACCAGTGTGTAGATTGTACTTGTAACTTTTATAGTGGCTGAATGGAGTCTAATCAGTATTTGCTGATTCTACTGGTGACCTTGGGATCTATCATAGTCTGCTCGTCACCATAGCACCTCCTTACCTCTCCGACCTTCTTATACCCTACTCCTCTGCTTGCCCTCTCTGCTCTGCTAACTCAGGCTTGCTGCGTGACCCATCCTCTCCACGTCACCATCAGTGGTCAAGCTGAATTTCTGGAACTCCTTTCCTTTACCACTCCATTTCACCCCCCTCTCTTTTACTTGTGTAGTTTGCAAATAGCAATAGCTGCTCCATAGCTGTGCCTCCTAAACATTGGCTCCACTCTCAAATTCAGTATCGATCCAATAAAATAAGACTTAATACAAAATCATAGTTAGAATTTTTTAAAAGAACTTATCAGTGAGATGATGAATTTTCGGTAAATGCCTCCTTTGTGGCCCTTAACAAAGCTGGAACAGTTTAGTTGGCCCTTCTCAATTCACATGTACCTTATTGACTGAACAAGAAAAATCTCCAAAGAGGCTCTTGTGTTACCAAAAGCATACTATGAAACAATGGCTAAGATAATACCACTGTAATACCTACATAATGATAATCAGTGCAGGTGTGAAATATGACAAAAAAATTCAAACGCTCTGAAATGCCGCCCAGCGTGGAGGGCACTATATAAGTGCAAGTTGTTGTTGAAATATCTTCGCTGTGTAGTGCACTTTGCAAATACAGTGGGGTATGATAGTTCAACTCATGAGGAATGTATTTTGTGGAACAATCATTTCAAATTGTTTCAGGAGTAATGTCCTGGTGTCAGAATGTTCCATTGATAGCACTCTAACCTTTGAGGCAGAAAGTTGTATATTCAAAACCCACATTGGAACTTGAACTCGAATGTGAAACTGACCCTCTGGGATAGTAGTGGAGGAATATTACATGGTTGAGGTTTAATCCTTCGGGTGAGAAGATAAATTAAGATTCCATCTCTTCTGGTGGTGTCCAACCCTCCAACCCCCATCCTTGATGTCACAGTGCCGTTCCTCTAAAGCGCAAAGGAAATCCTCTATATGAAGGGCACTGTATAAATACAATTTGGTGTTTATTAAAAATGACATATCACTATTTGAAAATAGTCCTGCTCAATAAACCCCCAGGTTGTTCAGCTCCTGGCTGTCTGTGGACTTTGCTCTGTGGAAATTGGCTGCTGATCTATAAATAACAGGTGCTAAATATGACATTACCATTAAGATTAAGTTTTGATATTATAGGTGCAAAATTAAAAGAAGGCTTATTTCCTTCCTTTCTTTCCTTCTTTCTTCAGAGTTGTGGAATCAATTAATAAAATGATTGAAACTACTTTATATAAAGAAATTCAATTTCCATGTTGTCTTTTTTGAAATAGGAATGGTTCCTGATCATGCTTAGTAAATGCTATTTGTTTTTAATGATCGACAGAATGATTTTATGTAATTTTCCCCAAATTTATGCAACTGCATTGATGGTAAAAGTTTCTTAAACTGTAACGTATTTGATGCAGGAGGAAGCTACAACATTCCAGATGATACCCTGGTCATTTCTGGAGGTTTATACGACGACTCACGGGTTTACAATCCCAATATGACCATTCTGGAAGATGATGATGACCTTCGCTCTGAATATCCTACATTTAACTCCAAATACAGTCAGTTCAGACTGGAATTTTTACCTGAGGAAAGGGAGTCCACTGCCAGTGGTTCTTCTTTTGTCACATTTAAACCAGACGACTTCTCATGATCCACCGACACATCCTGAATATTGATTTATCTTTAGGTCATACACGGACACCAATATTTCATGCCCAGGATTTATAAAGGATAAAGTAAGCAAAACATGATCTGTTTCAAACTTGTTTTTGTACTTTCAACTGAGCACATATTTGGTTCTGTGTTTTTCAACCCAAAACACTATCGTGGAAAACCTGATTGTTTAAATATTTTTGGTTTAGGTCCAACACTAAACAAAATAAATATGTTTGTTTCTACACCTTTCAACTAAACATGCTCCTGGTTGTATGAATGCAAAAGTTATCTCCATTGTCAAAATAGATTTTTGCATTGAATTTTAACTGGTTAAAAATGGGGAATGTTTCTCTGCTGTACATAATTTGTAAGAGTATGTAGTTCTTAACCTATTTACAGTCGACTTCACTGAGACATCTGAAATGAAAATGGAAATACTGGTCATCATAATCTGAAAGAAAAAATAGGAATAGGCATTTCTGTCATTTCTGAACATTATGTTCTGAACAATATGTCATTTCTGAACATTAACCTATTTTTCTCTTCAGATGCTAATTTAGCTGTTGTAGATTATTAGCACTTTTGTTTTCATTTCCATTTTCCAGTATCCAGTTTTCATTTTTAGATTCACTGGGATATTTCTACTGTAGGTTTTGAAAGTTCTAAGTTATAAATACTTTGAAATTTAAAGAAATTTAATCTTTAAATTCAAATAAATTACTCATATAACATAGTTATGTTAGACATCACAAAATATTCCAATATGTTAATTTCCAAGAGAATATGCCTAGTAGACTCTTAAATGAGGAAAAAATTGGGGCAAATGGCTCAATGTCCAAAGAAAATTCAGCTTGTGCTTTGTGCAATCATATGTAAACACTTTAAAATTATTAAAAATATGCACCCTTGATGAAATATTTTTGTTGCCTCATAAAACAAAAATAGATATTTTTGTAAATATCTGTGTAAATATTAGCACCTTGGTGTTTTTCACATCTGTCTATCTCAATTTCAAGCTAAACTATCCTCTCCATGGGTTATACGGAGCTGTGGTAAAAGGGATGTGTTGAGCACACCTAAAACAGTGTTGGGGTAAACACTGTTTTCACATATGAAAAGTTTTTCTGGCTTAAACAGTCAATCTCAAAGGTTAATTCTAAAATTGTACTCTGTCCCCACAGCTGTCAGTGGAAGGTGGTATAAGCCCCTTTTTTAAAAAAAGAGGATAATAACAAAAGTGATTCACGTGCACAAGTCAATATTAATGTTTTATTAATGCTTAAGAGTATATTTCACGGGAGATTTTATACTAAAATTTCAAATCGCATTGGAATTTGGTGCCAATGGGACCACTTAACAATCATGTTATGTTCATGAAAAGTCTCTAATTGTTTTGCCTTTTAGTAGAATTGTTAAACTTGTATATATGTTTCCTACGAAATGTTATCAGAATAGTTGTTGGAGTTGAAGCTTTATTTTTTTTAATAAATTTTATATTTAACTTATGACTAATAGTGGGCTTGTCCTGAGAACATGTTAAAACATTACAACAAAAGAATTCTAAGATATACTTTATTATGTAACAATATAGTATGTTAAATACCTGTAATAAAAGTAAATATTGCAATAAGTTGGAATCTCTGCATCTCTTTTTAGCTAATTTTGCTCTAGCAATTTTCTACTTCTTATCAAGGGGATTAAGTTTGTTGTTTACTAGGGTTTGGGTACAGAATTTCTGGGTCATTGGGTCGTCGCAGTGTCACTCCCGAGGACTGCACATGTGCAAAAATAGGGGGAAATGACAATGAGTGACCTTGTGAGCTGACAGTTGGCTGTTTTAGCGTAAAGCCAGCCAGTGTGCACAAGCACAACGAATGAAGTCCATAGTGCAACTATATTATAAGCTGATTTGTGTTATTTGGGACTGCACTGCACAGCAGTTTGTGATCACCTCAGTAAGCTAGCCAGCTCACAATTGTGGGCACATTTTCAGGCTCTTTCATTACCAGTCTTAAGAGATAGGCTGTCTGTCTGCTTCAGTAAACCGGGCACCTCACAGTTCAGGATCACTGGTCCAGGTCATTGATTGCGGCCGCTCGTGGAGTCCTGTAACTCAGTGGTTAGAGCACTCGCTTTGCAAGTGAGAGACCTGAGTTCAATTCCAGGCAGAGGGCGAAACCTTGGGCAAGTTTCCTTACTCCACACAGAGCCTAATAATAATCCCTCCAAAACCAAAAACAATAATAAATTGGTCATTTTCAATCTACGACTGTTTGTGGGACATTGCTGTGCGCAATTGGCTGCCGCGTTCGCCCACATATATACAGTCAATTCACTTTACAGTGTGTTCTGTGAAGCGCTTTGGGACGTCCTCCCGACGTGAAAAACGCTATCTCAAATGCAAGGATTATTATTATTATTATTATTATTATTACAGCAACCTCCTCCGGTTCAAATACCCACTTTCACTACCAACCTGTACACAATGCATTAGACTCAGGCTTCTCACGCTGTTTCCTCGACACTGCTACTGTGGGCAGAGTGGGCTCTGGTCACGCGGGACAGGGAGTGTTCGGATCGTGGAAGCAGCAAATCGATTTCGTCCGGCGCCAGCAGCCTAACCTGAGCTCCTGCGGCCAATTCTTGGTAAGTGCTGTAAACATGCCATCACAGAGAGTTATCATTACGTGAGTGGACTTAATCAAAAACAGTGAGGGCAAAAGTGAAACATCAACAAAATTACATTCGTAAAGTGCCTTTCATGTCGGGATGTCCCAAGGCAAAGACAGTTAGCTGTGATCTACGGCATTGGCAGAACACAAGTTGGATTCATTCTCAAAAGGAAGGCTGAATACATGACAGCTTTTGAAGAAAATCGACTGCCTGAAAGAAAACGTGTGTGTTTGAACTCTCAGTATGAATATATTGATAAACTGACATGGGAGAGGTTCCAGCATTCCTGTGGTCTCAACGTGAAGGACTTTTGCTTTGATCATGGACTCAATGTGTGGCAGACTTTGGCTGATGCTGAGGGTCAAGCTGCAGGCCAAGGCAGTGCTGGCTAATCAGCGGCCAGGCAAACAACACTGGACTCTTTCTTCAAGAAATGAACATTTGTGTGACTTTAACTTCTCATGTGAACTTTGACTAATGAAACCTAAGATGTGTTGTAAATGTGACAATGCTTTTAATTTATTGAGATTGCAAAGTATATTGAATGTTCATTCTATGTCATTTTAAATTTTATGTTCATCCTATGTACCGTTTCAGTAATCTGGTCACCTCACTAACTAGGTCACTTTTGCCCAGTCACTTAAGTGACTGGATTAGTGAGGTTCTACTTCATATTACGTCTTACATGGAGAAAAACGCCTCAAAATACAAAAAACTATATTTTGCTGTTTTTCACCCAAAATGCACACTTTACAATATATTCTGTGAAGCACTTTAAGAAGTCTCAAATACGTGATGAGGCACTATATCAAATGCAAGGATTATCATTATTGCTGTATTATTATAAAATACGTCACAGATACTGAGTAGGAGGGTGGGATATGGAGTGGGGTGGTCTAAGGTGCAGGGAGAACATTCTGTAGCATTCTAGAGGGTAGGAGCAAAGTGGCTGAAATTTCATCCACCAAATTTTCATACAATTCATAGATTCATAGAATGTTACGGCACAGGAGGCCATTCGGCCCATCGAGTCTGTGCGGCTCTTTGACAGAGCAACTGACTTTAACCCCAATCACCAGCTTTCTCCCCATAACCCTGCAAACCCGCCTTCCCCAGATACCTGTCCAGTTCTCTCTTAAAAGCTGTTATCGAATCGGACTTCACTGCCCTTTCAGGCGGATCATTCCAAATTTCAACAACTCGCTGAGTGAAAAAAATTTCTTCTAATCTCCCCTCTGCTTCTTTTGGTAGATATTTTAAGAGTGTGATCGCGGGTCACAGACACACCTACCAGCGGAAACAGCTTTTCCCTATCTCGCCTGTCGAAACCTTTCATGATCTTGAAGACCTCTATCAGATCCCCACGTAACCTTCTCTGCTTTAATGGGAAAAGTCCTAACTTCTCCACTGTCCTCATAGCTAAGGTTCCCCATTCCTGGTATCATTCTCGTGAATCTCCTCTGCACCCGTTCCAGTGCCTTAATGTCCTTCCTGAAGTAAGGCGCCCAGAACTGGACGCAGTACTCCAGCTGAGGCCTAACCAGTGTTTTGTATAGATTAACCATAACCCCTACTCTTATACTCTATGCCCCTACTAATAAAGCTCAGTACACCAAATGCCTTTTTTACTGCCCTATCTACCTGCCCCGCTACCTTTAATGATTTGCTTACTTGAACACCCAGATGTCTCTGTACGTTCACCCCCTCTTAAGATTGAGCTCCCAAGTCTGTATTGCCTCCTATCATTTTTCCTCCCTAAGTGTATCACCTCACACTTATCCACATTGAAATCCATGTGCCACATGTCAGCCCATTCCACCATTCTGTGTATGTCTGCTTGCAGTTGGTTACAGTCCTCACTATTTACTACCCGACCTAACTTGGTATCATCTGCAAACTTGGAAATAGTGCTCTCTATGCCCAAGTCCAGATCATTAATATATTAGAAAGAGCAGTGATCCCAATACCGATCCCTGGGGGACACCGCTGCACACCTCCTTCCATTGCGAGAAACACCCATTAACCACCACCCTCTGCTTTCTGTCACTCAGTCAGTTCTTAATCCAAACTGCCACTGTCCCCTTAATACTGGGGGCCCCTAATTTGTTTATTAACCTCCTATGCGGTACTGTGTCAAAAGCCTTTTTGAAATCCATGTAAATAACGTCCACCGCATTTCCCTCATCAACCCCCGCAGTCACCTCTTCTAATTCTATTAGATTTGTTAGGCCAAATCCATGTTGGGGGTCTCTAATTACCTCGTGTTCCTCTAAGTAGAGAATTATTCTGTCCCGGATTATGGTCTCCAGTAGTTTTCCTATTACAGAGGTTAGGCTGACTGGCCTGTAATTTCCGGGTTTGTCTTTCTGCCCCTTTTTGTAGAGGGGGTAACATTAGTCACTCTCCAGTCTCTTGGCACCACTCCTGTGTCCAATGACGATTTAAATATAATGGCCAAAGCCTCCGCTATTTGAACCCGTATCTCCCACAGCAACCTTGGGTGAAACCCATCTGGTCCCGGTGACTTATCAATTTTGAGCCCAGTCAATCTTTTCAGAACTTCCTCTCTGTCTATAGTAATCTGATCTATGTCCTCTACCCTCTCATCCAATACTGCGGCATTTGGGGCATCCATTTCCATTGTGAAGACAGATGCAAAGTACTCGTTCAGTAGGATAGAGGGAATGGTGGGATAGAGGGAATAAAATGAAGCAGAACTGAAGCAGTGAATGGGAGGACCACAGGAAAACAAAGAACTAGGCATGGTGCAAAGTCAATTTGAAAATTAGAGCAAGGATCTTAATATAATAATAATAATCCTTGCGTTTGATATAGCGCTTTTTACGTCTAGGAAGGTCAGAGGTTAGGAATTTGGTTGTACTGTGGTTGAATTCGGCAAAAGTGGAAGTTGTGAAGATGGAAGAAAGTGGACTTGATCAAGGACTGAATTAAAGGTTTAAAAGAGAGCAAGGAGTCAAACAAAACACTACGGTTGTGCACTTTTTTGTGATCTATCATATTTAACAAGATAAGTTTGGATGAAGATGCCCTTTGGTCATCTAATCTCCACCTTCCAGAATAGCCACCCTAATGTCCTCCCATCACAGCATCCAGGTGTTTTTCAAATGAGGCTTGTGTCTAAACCTATCTTCACTTGTACTACTGCCTTAGTGCATCTTAAACAAACAATATCTAATAGTGAAAGGCGCTATATAATTGCACTATGTTGTATTTAAAGCTGCACATAAGGCTTATCTAACTTCACATGAAACCATGTATCATTTGCATCGTTCTGCGAGTGGATTTTAAGCTCACACTTAGTTGCACTAAATTGTTATGCTTCAGGTTCCTTCAATCTCTTTTGACAAGACATTTTGCTGTGCCTGCATGTTTAACCAATGTAATGAATGCCTTGTGGCACACTTATACAATTCTTCTTGGATATATGCTGCCATTCTATATGATTGCTGCGTTTCCTCAGGTATAGATTGTATCAACATGGCAATACCACCAAGCAGACTTGTTTGTGTCTCTTCTATTATTGGTCTGATTCCTATGCCTGCTTTTCCTCCTGTCTTGGGAAATCTGAAACTCTTGTTCTGGGTTTACCTGCTCAGTGCCATTTAGCATCTTATTTGTATGTACCACATGCATACACACAAAAAAGACAAGTAGCAAAGTAGTCTAATATTCAGTAACATCTCCCAGCCTTTGCTACCATTGTTTGCATAGTGGAAAGCATAAAAACATTTGAAATGAGGTTTTGTACATGCAATGCCAAATTCTACAGTTCATCATATTTGGCATGCTCCAGTTATGTCTAATAAATGTAAAAAGCATTTTGACAACAATATATGCATTTTTGTAATTTAAATACGGTTCAATTTATTAACATGTAGTAATTACTACAATGACCTCAAAATATATTCACAGCAACTGTTTTCTGTCAGTATTTTAACATTTTTTCTTTGTTACAATTGTCCCTTTTGATGAGTTAGTAAACAGATTCAGATACTAATTAACAAACTATATCCATTTGTCAGAAGTTTGCGACAATTATGGTTCTGCTTGAAGGAGAGACAATAATAGGAGCTCATCCCTCAACACAGTAAAGCTAAATTTGGGGGGCAACGAACAAACCAGACTTCAACAAAAAATAGCAGCAACATGAACATCACTCAAAGATATGAAAAAGCAATGTTACATTTCAAACAATTTAAAGAATTTCACCTATTTTAAGAAAAACTTAAAAACTTCAAAAATAACTAGCTTACGTACGAATAGAACTTCCTGACAAAAATTCTGGATTGTGTGCTCCTCTAATATGAATTAATGTAATGGTATAGTGGATGAAACTTGGTGAAAGATCATTTTATGACCAGTTTTAAGATGTAATGTTTTAGAATAGTGTAACATGCTTCTCTTTAATCATAAACAAGAAAATATTATAAATTTACCAAACATGAATTATATGTACTTTAACAATAAAGACAATTCTGTGTAAACATAAATAAAAACACTTAGCATCAAAACAAGATATAAATGAAATAAACTGGAAATTGAAATTTCTTGTTATAACAAGGAACATCAAAAGTAATGTTTATCATGGAAGAAGTCGAACATACATTTATTTCCTAGAACATGCAGCTGAAAAAGTAAGAAAATTCTAATTAATTGTAAACACATTTTGAATTTTAAGAAGATTTCATTTCCTGTTCTAAAATTCAAAATAGTTTCTCAGCTGCTTTCATTCTCTTTTTNCTGCTGTCCTTTGTTATACTTGCCCATCCAGCTTCTCGCATCTTTTTAATAGTAGCTTGTTTGAGGCCACTGCCACAGGATTTGAGCTTTGCTGGGCTATTAAACTTAAAAAANTAGTAAAATCACTGATCAAATGATCTAAATAAACAAAATCACAGATCAAAATCTTTTCATAAATATCAAGTGTATATCAAGCTATATCAAATGCAAATAATATTATTATTATACCTCTTGTTCCGTCTTTTCAAAGAGAAAAGCAGCTTGTGAGTTTCCCTTGTACAATGTTTTAAACATTTCAGCCTCTGGAATCATACTCTGTGAAAAAATAATTAACAGTACAGGCTGACTTTTCTACAAATTGTCATATAGTATTATTATATACAGCTGATTTATCAACATCATCTTTCAGATACATTACTATTTCAGAATAAGTGTATAATAGCTATTCTGTATGATATATGCACATATACTTAATTTCACTGTGTTTGTTTTATATGTTTTATTTCTAGCAAGTTTTATTTCTAGCAAGTAGAGACATGTGGGGTCCTTTTTTACAACCTCATTCCTCTAAACCCCCACTTACTTTCCATGTTTAAGGACAAGATCAAGTCCCAAACACTTAGTGCACTCCAAAGTCTTCACAAAGAGCACAATTTACCAAAATAATATTCTTCGCATTCGTCATATAATGCCACAGGCCTGACAATTTATTTAATATCCTAACATACGGATTTGCATACTGTATCATGAGTAACTCAACATGAAGTCCTATCATAGCACTATACGAATAATCCTTACATTTGGTACAGCACCTTTCATATCAAGAGGACGTCTCAAAGCACTTTACAGGATTTACTATAAAGTGGAGTAACTGTATTTTTGTTTGCAAACAATCTCCCAAGACAGCATGTAAATGTTACTACCTTTTAATACAATTACATACATAAAACTATGCAGCTTAGTACTTCATTTTATAAATGTTTCTAGTTAAATTTAATTATTGCACATATAATAATTTGCAAAGAAAACAACAGTTACCAGAATATCACTGTGTTCAGAGCTGTCTGAATGTATATCCAAGTCTAAAAGTACTTTTTTCTTCCTGTGCATCACCACACCACTTGGTGGTTTCATTGCGCCCTTTATAATCTTATTTTCAGTGCTGGGAGGTGTCTGAAAAGTTGGAAAATATATATTTTCTTTAAATATTTAATGTTAAAAGCTCTTACATAAACTCTAAAACCTTACTCTTCTGCCTTCAATCTAAAAAAGCTATACATTATCTTGAGAATTTCAGCCTCTCTGCCCCACACTCTAGAACTCCATCCCACAGTCCCTTCACCTCGCTTCCTCCCTTGCCTCCTTCAAGGCCGGTCTCAAGACCCTCCTCTTCGATCGTGTCTTCGGTCACCCTCCCACCTCTCTGTCTTCCCGCACCCCTACCCCACCCCTCCTCTATGCTCGGGTTTAGCGCCTTGGGACGTCCTCCCGACATGAAAGGCGCTCTATAAATGTAATTTTGTTGTTGTTTTTTACACAGCGAGTTGTTCAGATTTTCAAGAGAGATGTGGATAGATATTTGGGGAGGACAAATTTGAGAGGATGGGGAGAGCGCGGGAGAGTTGGATTAATTTGGATAGTTCAAGTGCTGGCATGGGCATGGTGGGCCGAATGGTCTCCTTCTGTGCTATATAATTCTATGAACTCAAAACATGAAGACACTCACTCTAATGTATCAGTTGGTTACATCAAACTATTTGCCACATCAGCTAACCTTCACCCACAAAATATAGTCAATTCACTTTACCGTATATTCTGTGAAGCGCTTTGAGATGTCTTGAAGATATCTCTATAAATGTAATTTTGTTGTTTGCTGTTATTTTTCACACAGTGAGTTGTTCAGATCTTTCAAGAGAGATGTGGATAGATATTTGGGGAGGACAAATTTGAGAGGATAAGGCAATATATTAAATGTAAGTATTATTATTATTAGCTTGTAGACTTTGTGGTCAGCTTTGTGCTATAGCTCTATAAACACTAGCATAAATACAATTAGTGAAAACAGATTTGGGTTCTGCTCTCCAACGCTGCCTTGAAAGTTCTTATGTAATCCGGAGGATGTTTCAAATACCTCCAGGTAGACATCTTTAATGCAACTAAAAATCAGATTGGACCAGTGGCTTTTTAATAATATTAAAATACTAAGGTTTGATTTCAAAGTTCTGAGTTTTAAATTCAATTACTTAGACAAGGAGCAGATATAAAAAAAAGATTTGAACTCTAGTGCTTTGCCGCTGAAAGCTGAAATTGCTCTGTTACTGCAAGAATTATTTTATTATTATTACTTCACTTTCAGGATACGTTTGGTATGAATGTGATCATTCACATTAATATCCCAATGCTGCAAAATGAGCTTGTACTTGCAGCTGGGAGAGCAGAAGGACATGTGGAGTCCTTTTTTACATCCTTATTCCTCTTAACCTCCACCTACTTGTTCATGTTTAAGGACAAGATCGAGTCCCAAACACTCAGTGCGCTCCAAAGTCTTCACAAAGAACACAATTTACCAAAATAATAATATTCCTCGCATTCGTCATATAATGCCACAGGCCTGACAATTTGTTTTTTTATCCTAATATACAGAACTCGAATACGGATTTGCATACTGTGGCATGAATAACTTCAAGGTGAAGTTCTATTATAGCACGGAAAGAATAATCCTTTACAGGATTTACTGTAAAGTGGAGTAACTGGGTTTTTGTTTGCAAACGATCTTGAGACAGCATATAAATGTTACTACTTTTTAATGAAATCACATATATAAAAGTATGCAGCTTATTGCTTCATTTTATAATTGTTCCCAGTTAAATTTCATTATTGCACATACAATGATTTACAAAGATAAAAAAAACTATTACCAGAATATCACTGTGTTCAGAGCTGTCTGAATCCATAAACAAGTCTAAAGGTACTTTTCTCTTTTTGTGCATCACCTCAAAATTTGGTGGTCTCATTGTGTGCTTTATAGTCGTATTTTCAATGATGGGAGGTGTCTGAAAAGTTGGAAAATATATGTTTTCTTTAAGTATTTAATGTAAAAAAAACTCTTACACAAAACTCTAAAACTTTACTTTTCTGCCTTCAATCTAAAAAAGCTATACATTATCTCTTCATTAATGTGCTTCAGTTATGATGTGATTGAAAAAATTCAATAAAAGATACTGAAAAACTATCAGTAGTTTAAACATATCCAAAAGATTGACAAAATAAAGTCATTATTTCTAGGTAGACATAACCAGTTCGCTAAATATTATAAATTTACAGCCAACCTGATCATTTGGGGCACCTGTAGATCTTTTTGTAGGAGTGCAGGAAGGTGTTTTTTGAATAGTTGAAGTTCTTTCTATCTGCTTATGTTCTGTTGACAGGGAGGGAGTGGATAAACTCTCTTTTCTTTTAGGAGTTGCCAGTACAACAGATTGTGAAACGCCATCATTAGGGTTCCTCAATAAAGAATTTGGCTCCGATTTCTAAAATCAATGACATTTACAAGGAATAATTGAAAAAATATTCCCCAAAAGTTCTTTTTAAATTTCCGTCCATTTTTAAAGCATAGTTACCTTCTTAATTTCTTCTTTCAAAGATTTGATAACATCCTTCATTGTCTTAGTTTGTTTAAGAAGAGTTTCCTATAGAATAAAAAAAGGTTTACTGAACCATTAGTTCAGTTCCTATTTTCTGATATGGATATAAATAAATTGTTCTTTGTTGGTATAGGGAATAGCACTAATCTTGATTGAGTGGACAGTCCAACTAGTGGTTGACAGAATTGGACAAAATAGAATGCATAACACTAAAATCAAAGAAATATATTTATTATATCCTTTTCTCCTGTTAACTTGGCTCAGCAGGCAGCACTCCCACTTCTGCCAGTCTGGTAAGTCCACAATCATTGTTCCTGGTGGGCTAGCCTTCTGGTTCTTCAATGAGACTTGGAAGTATTGGAATGTCCTCAGCCACTCTAACGGGTAGGGTGGTCCTACCGTTACAAATAGCATAACATTTATCATTACTTCATACTTGTAAATTTCAGGTTTAGCATATCATTGTGATCCTATTGCACATCTGACAAACCATAGAAGATAAGGTTCAGACGCAAGACTGGAACTGAAAGGACTAGTTGAGGTACAGATCAGCCATGATCTAATTAAATAGCGGAACAGGCTTGAAGGGCTTAATGGCCTCCCCCTGTTCCTATGTTCCTAAGACATACCTCTTTGATTGTGCTTTCAGCTATCTTTCCCCTTCTCACCCACTTTGGTTTCCACCCCAATTCAGGCACCCAGCTAGCAGTGTTAAATAAGCTCTTTGAGCCATCCTCACAATGTGAAAGGCACGTAGGGAGGGATGCTTAAAATCGGCCCGTAACATCAGCTATGTCTGATATGAGACGTAAACAAACAGAAGGCTATTCTTGTTCTAACCAACTCGACAAATAAAATACTGCAAGGAAGACAGACCTTTTCCTGAGTTAGTTTTTTAAGTTGCTGCTTTACACCTGAGAGTTCATCTCTGACAGACAATAGTTCAGTTTCCTATGTAATCATAGATAAGTACAATTATAATTTATAAAAGGAAAACACAACATCCAGCTATTATAATTATGTAAGGCAAAAATTTAAATTGCTAAATAATTTTAAAAAATATTTTAAATTACATTCAATATTTTACAAGAAAAATAAATACAAGTCCAATTTTCTAGGGCTTTAAATGTTCTAATATTTTTAATTTGTTATTTACATTATGAAATGTAATTCATGTTCTTACCAAAGTTTTTTTATGGGAGTTGATTTTTAATTCATTTTCCTTCCAGGAGTTCAATTCAGCATCTTTTTCCACCACCATTTTATCATACTGATGCTACAATAAAATTAGATAGAATGGTAGAAAGAGAACTTGCAAGGCAACATAGTTTGTTAATTTACATAAAAACCATTTAAAAGACAGGATATAACTGATAAAATTTATACCCTGAATACTATGTGTCAAACTGAATTTAAAGTTTCCTAAATAAATTTGAAATTTGAAAGTGCTCCAAAGTTTTTTGTAATTAGAATAATTAGAAAATAATATGATCAATACATAAATAAAATTCTGCAAAAGGCCACCTGATTTTACTGCAATCAGATTGGTATTTTCCAACATACCATATTTCCATTTTTAACAGGGTCTATATTGGAATAACGCTATAAAATGAATTCCAAATACTCTGGAAATGCTACTAGAATCATTCTAAATTCTGTTGTCCTCATTGCAAAATGTCTCTACCGCTAACTTGGATAGGCTGATTCATAAAATTTTACAGCACTGAAGTAGGTCACTTAAACCCATTGTGCCTATTCTTAGGTGTCTGAAAAAAANGCTACCCATTGAGTCCCATCCTTTTCCCCATACCCTTTTCATTTCTTTTTTTCAGACATTTGCTCAATTTATTTTAAAAGTGGTTATGATTTTTGCTTCAACTACTGTTTGTGGTGGGCATTCCATATCAAAATAATAAGAACACAAGAATTAGGAGCAGGAGTAGACCATTCGGCACCTCGAGCTGCCCCGCCATTCGATAAGATCATGGCTGATCTTCTGACCTAACTCTAATTACCTGCCCTATCCCCATATCTCCCAATCCCTGTTTTTTAAAAATCTATCAGTCTCAGCCTTGAAGATGTTCAAGGACTGACATCTACGCCTTCTGGGGGAGTGGATTCCATAAAGTCACTGCCCTCTGAGTGAAGAAATGTTTCCTCAACTCTGTTCTAAAAGGCTGACCTTTATTTTCAGACTGTGACCCCCGGTTATAGATTCTCCTAACGGGGAAACAGACCTTCAGTGTCTACTTTATCAGCCCTTTAAGAATCTTATGTTTCAATAAGATCTCCACTAATTCTTCTGTACTCTATAGAGAATACGGCACTAGTTTATTCAGCCTCTCCTCATAGGTCAATCCCCTCATCCCAGGAACTAACCGAGTGAATCTACGCTGCACCCCCTTGAGGGCAAGTATGTCCTTTTTTAAATAAGGAAACCAAAACTGCACACAATACTCTCGGTGCGGTCTCACCAAAGCCCTATAGTTGCAGCAAGACTTCCCTACTCTTGTACTCTAAACCTTTTGCAATGAACGCTAACTGCCGTTCGCCTTCTTAGTTGCTGCTGCACCTGCAAACTAACTTTTTGAGACTGGTGTACAAGGACACCCAAATCCCTCTGAACACTAACACTATCTAATCTCTCCCCTCTAGAAAATAATCTGTTTTTCTATTTTTTCTACCTCGGTGAATAACTTCACACTTCCCCACATTAAATTCCATCTGCCACCTACTCGCCCACTCCCCGAGCCTGTCTATATCCGGTTGCAATCTTTTTGCATCATCCTCAGAGCTTACTCTCCCACCGAGTTTAGTGTCATCCACGAATTTAGATACGTTACATTCAATGTCCTCGTCGAGATCATTGATGTAAATTGTAAATAGCTGAGGCCCAAGCACTGATCCTTGTGGCACTCCACTAGTCACATCCTGCCAATTCGAGAATGACCCGTTTATCCCTACTCTCTGTTTTCTACCCGTTAGCCACTCTTCAATATGCTAATATGTTCCCATTAATCCCGTGGGCCTTAACCTTGTGCAATAGCCTTTTGTGTGGCACTTTGTCAAATGCCTTTTTAAAATCTAAATATACTACATCTACTGGTTCCCCCCTATCTAACCTGCAGATACATCTTCAAAAAACTCTAAAAGATTAGTTAAGCATGACTTCCCTTTTGTAAAGCCATGTTGACTCTGCCTAATCTTGTTATGGTCTTCCAGGAATCCCATAACGACATCTTTAATTAAGGACTCAAGAATTTTCCCTACCACTGATGTCAGACTAACTGGTCTATAGTTCCCCATCTTTTCTCTCCCACCCTTCTTAAATAGTGGTGTTACGTTTGCAATCTTCCAATCAATGGGAACCGTTCCAGAATCCAGAGAATTTTGGAAGATCAAAGACAAGCCATCCACTATCTCAGTAGCCCCCTCTTTAAAAACCTTAGGATGTAGGCCATCAGGTCCAGGAGATTTATCAGTTTTAAGACCTGATAATTTACCTAAAACCATTTCTTTACTAATATTAATTCCTCCAAGTTGCTCGCTAACATTGTCTTCTTGGTTCCCCTCTATTCTTGGTAGGTTTTCAGTGTCTTCTAAGGTGAAGACAGTAGCAAAGTACTTGTTTAATGACTCTGCCATGTCTTTGTCCCCTACTATAATTCCCCCCGTCTCTGCCTGTAGCGGACCCACATTTACCTTTGACAGCCTCTTCCTCTTTATATATTTATAAAAACTCTTGTAGTCTGTCTTTATGTTCTTCGCTAGTTTGCCCTCATATTCCATTTTCTCCCTTTTAATCACTTTTTTGGTTCTCCTTTGTTGATCCCTAAAGTTCTCCCAATCCTCGGGTTTACTACTCATCTTAGCTGTTTTATAGGCTTCTTCCTTTAACTTTATACTTTCCCTAACTGCTCTAGTTAGCCACGGTTGGGCCACCTTTCCCGTGGCATTCTTATTCCTCAAAGGAATACGTGCTCGCTGGGAATTTTGCACTATCTCCTTAAATGTCTGCCATTGCTGGTCTACTGTCAAATCCTTAAGTCTAATTTCCCAGTTTATTTTGGCTAAATCCTCTCTCATACCAGCAAAATTGGCTCTATTTAAATTTGAAACGTTTGCTTCGGACTTAACTACTTTTCCCTCTAACTTAATGCTAAATTCCATCATATTATGATCACTTTGCCCTGGAGGAGCTTTAATTTCCAGTTTGCTGACCAGCCCTGCTTCATTGCGCAAAACAAGGTCTAATATTGCCTGTTCCCTGGTTGGCTCCTCGGCAAACTGATCTAGATAATTATCCCTAATACATTCTATAAACTCTTCCTCTATCATATTTTGGTTGTCCCAATCTATGTGCAGATTAAAATCACCCACAATTAATGATTTTCCTTTACTCTATGCTCTGCTAATTTCCTGATTTATACCTTGAGAGATACTGTGACTGCTGTTCGGGGGTCTATATACTCCCACTAGAGTTTTTTGCCCCTTGTTGTTACGTACCTCTACCCATACTGACTCTACTTCCTGCTTTTCTGATTTAAAATCTTTCCTCTCTACTGTTTTTATCCCATCCCTTATTATCAGGGCCACCCCCTCGTTTACCACATTGCCTATCTTTCCTATACACCACGTACCCTGGAACATTTAGCTCCCACCCTTGATCTCCCTGTAACCGTGTCTTTATCCGTTTGTTTCTATTTGTGCATTTAACTCATCGATCCTGTTTCGAATGCTTCGCGCATTCAGATATAGTACCTTTAATTCTGACTTCGGGCTTTTAGTCCTATTCACCAGTACCCTTTCCCTGGGCTTCCTTTCCCTGGTTGACACCCTTTGCTCATCTCCCTGGTTAATCTGCTCTCCCACTTTCATCAGTCCTAAGCTTTATTTATTAAAAAAACACAATGATCTATATGGCCTTTAGGTACTTTTACTGACCAGTAGAAATAATCCTTTGCCATTTAACCTCCCTCAAAATGTCCAATAACTCTCATCTTTCTCTGTTCTTGTGAAATTTTCCCCATTCTCAACTGAGTAGTCTCTCAATCATGTAACCTTCGTGGAGTCCTGTAGCTCAGTGGTTACAGCACTCGCTTTGCAAGCGAGAGACCTGGGTTCGATTCCTGGCAGGCTGAAACCTTGGGCACGTTTCCTTTCTCCATATGCCTGATAATAATCCCTCAAGAAAAACAATAATAAATTGGTCATTTCAATCCACGACAGTTTGTGGGACACTGCTGTGTGCAATTGGTTGCTTCATTTTGCCCACAAATATAATCAATTCATTTTACAGTGGTGAAGCTCTTTGAGAAGTCTAGAAGACGTGAAAAGCACTACATCAAATGCAAGGATTATTATTATTATCATCTTTCCACGGGGCCTTGTCTGTACCCTTTCTAAAGCTTTGATATCCTTCTTAAAGTGGGCAACAAGAATTGGACACAATGCTCCTGCTGCAGTCTGATTTGTGCAGGCTAACATTACAGCTTTGCGCACAGCAATGTCTCCACAAACAGTCATGAAGTCAATGAGCAATTTTACCTGGGGACTGTAGACCAGGATGCAAGGAGATTTTTCAGCATTTCATGTAAGAAAAAATACATCAGGAATGTGTACCTTGTGCTTTTCCATAAGTGTTATAATTTCGGAAATCTTATGCTGGCACACAACATCATTCTTTTTCTGTGCCTGAATAGCTTCTTCTGTTGTTAATTGTAAAGTTTGAACCTTCAATATAATTTAAAAAATAACTTTTAGAATCAATACAAAACTACTGTAATTACAGTTGTACACTGTTTTGCATTTATTTATTTTAAAAGTTAATTACTACTGATCACAGAAATAAGGCTGCACGTCTACATGGTAACAGTGCTGGACACTTCCCCACCCCCCTGAAAACAATAGCAATGCTTCATTAAATATCTTCACTTACCATGAAGTAGGATCTTTGTGGTATTGACAATTATGTTTAGTATAATATGGATTACCTCTTCATTTAATTTTTCATTGCAGTACATCTGCTCCTCGATTTTGTTTTGAAGGTCTTGAATGGAATCCTTGTGTTTCACGGTGAGATTTATCAGTTCACGTTTCAATTGTTCAATCTTTTGAAAAAACAAACATCCAACATTCAGTGCTAATCAATTACATTCAATTGTCAACATTGAGTGCTAGTCAATTACATTCAATTGTCAACATTGAGTGCTAGTCAATTACATTCAATTGTCAACATTGAGTGCTAGTCAATTACATTCAATTGACAACATTGAGTGCTAGTCAATTACATTCAATTGACAACATTGAGTGCTAGTCAATTACATTCAATTGACAACATTGAGTGCTAGTCAATTACATTCAATTGACAATTGAATGTAATTGACTAACACTGAATGTTGGATATTTGTTTTTTCTGAGTTTTCTCTTCTCCCTCTTCTAGATATTTGACTCCTTTTTACTTTTACAAGTTTCAATGTTTGTCGGTACCTTACCCAACTGGCCATTATAGCCATGAAATTGAATGTTGGTATACGATTTACACTATTTGACAACAAAAGCATCAGTTAGGGCCCATGCCGTCCTCATATTAATTCAAATGCCTTCAATAGCCTTGGATATATATTTTTACATACCTCAGTTTTGTAAGCACTGCATTGGCTAGTTTCTTTTACTATCTGCTTTTTCAAGCTTTTGCCCTGTGAAGGATGATAATAGAATTATATGTTTCTTGATGTTTATCACAAAACAGCATTGGTCTGAATTAAATATTACAAATCTATCATCTGCAGAAAATTGGGTGTGGAGAGAAAACAAGATTGCCTATCCTGCTTTCATGGATTCTGGCAAACAACGTTTTGGAAGAGAAGGATAAGCCAGGAGAAATTAAATATTACTTTATCATTAATTAAATATTAATTAAAGCTAATACTACATAGGATAGTTTCTCTTTACACATATTCAGTAATATTTTATAAAGTGTTATACCTCTTTTTGCAGTACTTCAATAGACTCGTTCTTATTTTCCAATTGTTTCTTCAAAGTATTCAGCTGGAATTACAAGAACCATAAATTAAATTTGATCATATCCAAGAATTGGAAATTAAGGTTGTAATAAACTTATTTTGGGAAATTTAAAGAATTAGACATGCCTTACAATGAATACTCAAATTTCTAAGAAGTATAGTAGTTAAGAAGTATAATGAATGATATTAAATTGCATCCTTGGCCCTTCTCTTCCTAATCTAAGCTTCCGTCAATGTTTTCTCTTCTGCGGGTCTGGACTCCTCAGCCTCCCCAGGGTCTCCCTCAGACTCTTCGAATCCGTGCACAACTTAGGCGTCAGGTTCGATCCCCAGCTTTGCTTTCTACCCCACATCCGTTCTCTGACCAGGACCGCTTTTTTTCACCTCCGTCACATTGCCCACTTCTATCCATACCTCACAACCGACGCAGCTGAAACCCTCGTCCACGCCTTCGCACTTTCCACTTGGACTATTCCAATGCCCTCGTCACTGGTCTTCCCAGCTTCACCTTACATAAAATCCAATTAATTCAAATCTCCGTTGCCCGGATACTCACGCACGTGGAACTCTGTACCCCCATTACACCAGTCCTTGTCAGACTCCACTGGCTCCCAATCACCAAACGGATCGACTTCATTCCCTCGCACCTCCCTACTTATCCGATTTGCTTACCTCCCACTCTACCACCCGTTACCTTGGCTGACTCCAGCCTCCTAATTGTCCCTCGTGACATCCACTCCACCATCGGATGCCTTGCCTTCAGGCACTACGCCCTGAAACTCTGGAACACTCTGACTTGATCCCTTCGCCTTGCCTTCTCCCCCTACCTTCAAATCCTGCCTAAAGACCTTCCTTTTTGATCGTGCTTACAGTCACCTTCCTCCTCCCCCTCCCCTTGGCTGGTTGTCAGACTCTGCCACTTTGAAATGCTCTGGGACACGACCCCGCATGAAGGGCACTATATAAATGCAAGTTGTTGTTGTCTTTATTGTGGTCCTCCTCATTCTGTGACAGAAGCAGAACTCCACAGGTCCTGGGATCTCTGTCTCAGTTCCAATCTGTTTTAAATCAATGTTGTTTTTTTTACAAAAGTTCAAAAAGATATTTAAGTCCAGAACAGAATTTTAAACACCTTCTGAACAGAGCTGAAAAAACTCTTCTTGTTGTCAGAACAATGAACATTAACTGAGATACTCTCGATCTTCTTTTACCTTTTGCCAAAATCCGTTTCATTATTTGGGGAAAAAGCAAACTTATAGTTCTTTATTCTAAGATAAGTAAGACATGACCACAAGGCATTTTGCTTTTCACCTTGCTCTCCATGGCCTTCAGTGCTCGTTCCTTCTTCTTAAATTCATTTTGTAGATTTTTGGACTGTAAAAAAAAATGTCTCAAAAGATTTTTCGCAACTAATGGTCAAACTTTTTTCACCCCGAGTAACCAAATCTCACATATTATGGTCCAGGCTGATATCCCAGTGCAGTACTGTCTGACTGTTCAGGTTAAAGATCCTATCCTACTATTCAAAAAGAACAGATTCTCTTGGCATCCACTGAAAGTATGCATTTGCGGGTGAATGTGGAAACTAATTGTGCAATATCCCACAAACAGCCATTAAGTGAATAACCAATTTATCTGGAGGATTGTTGGCCGTGACACCAGGAGAAAGCCCCTTCTTTCTTCGAATAGTGCCATGGGATTTTCAACATCCATCTGAATAGTCAGACAGAACATTAGTTGACATCCCCTCCAAAGGATGGCATCTCTGAAAATGCATCACTTCCCCAGCACTGCATTGGAGTGTCAGCCTGAATTATTTGAGCTCCTAAGAAGGTTAAGCCTTATGCAAGGTTTGATGACTACAGGATTTGTAGTCAGTCAAGATAGCAGTGATCCTGGAACTCAGGAGATAGAGTTTAATGTTAACTCGAGCAGTAAGTAGGAACCCAGTTGTTAGTCGATTTACGGATCGCTTTTCCGGGAGCAACAAGAACTTGTATTTGTATAGCGTCCTTCATGCCAGACGACGTGAATGTTTGCAAGGAGTAAAATTATTATTGCTTTCAAAAAAAATAAGGTGGTAACTCAATCCATGACTGTTTGTGGGACACTGCTGTGCAATTGGCTGCCGCATTTATCCACAAAATATATAGGATTTACAAGTGAACACTTGGAACAATTATTCAAAGCATTACAAAGGTAAATTATATCTTTAATACATAGAGGTAAATAATCTAATAGAACCAATTCCACTCATGTGGAGTCCTGTAGCTCAGTGGTCAGAGCACTCGCTTTGCAAGCGAGACACCTGGGTTCAATTCCAGGCAGAGGGCGAAACCTTGGGCAAGTTTCCTTACTCCACACACCTAATAATAATCCCTCCAAAACCAAAAACAATAATAAATTGGTCATTTTCAATCCATGACTGTTTGTGGGACATTGCTGTGCGCAATTGGCTGCCGCGTTTGCCCACAAATATACAGTCAATTCACTTTACAGTATATTCTGTGAAGCGCTTTGGGACGTCCTCCCAACGTGAAAAGCGCTATATCAAATGCAAGGATTATTATTATTATTATAATAGATAGAAAAGGACAAATAAGAACTTACACTTTCTTCTTGTTCTTCAAGTTTGCTTCCAGTCACTTCATCTTGCTGTTTTAATGTTTCCTTTAGGGTGCAAAGTTCGTCACTAATTGCAAAAATCATAAACAGTGACAAATGTGAATTGTTAGTTTTGTGTTTGTATATATAAAAAATATTACTAATCATATTCTCTGAATGAAATTAAAGTTTAGACTTGTCTAATGAAGCAATGCTTCAAAACTATAATATCCACCAGTGTGCCAAATTCCCTCTATAAATAAAAAGCATTTTATGTTGGTGAAAGTTTAGCCAATTTTTGAAGATCCAATTAAGTTTAATTAGTTTAGTCTTTGGGATGTCCCCCCCAATAGGAAAGGCACTAAATGAATGCAAATGTACATTATCTTGTCTTGCTGTAACATGCCCTGAAAAAGTGAGGGGAGAGTAAGATAATAATACAGCTATTTCTGTCAAATGTAAGCAACATTCAGAAATAGATATTATTATAAAACTACTCAGAAATGTCTAAATTTACTCTATAACAAATAAAATGGCAATGCTATTCTCAAAACAAACATGTTTTTTTATAAAATCTGTATGATTCTATTAAAATGTAACTTACTTTTGTAGAGCATTTTGATCTTTAAGTATTTGTATTGTTTTCTTTGCTGCTGCTTCTTTTTGTTTAATGGCCTGCAGTTACAAGAAATACAAGCTGGTTTATAATATGTGTACCATACAAAATTAGATTTTTTTTGCAGTACTTCATAATCCAAAGTATCGATTACTAAGTAGATGCATGCAAACAATACTTATCAGTTGCAGTAGCCCATCAACTCATCAATGAGGGCACAATTGGTCAGTATTGCCTTTATCAGCAGATTTCCACTTATATCACTTATATCACAGTATTAATACAATAACAGTGTTTATATTGCAGCACTATGTAGTAGCTCAATGATGGACCCAGGCAAATCTTTTAATTCTTTCAACTGGAACTGGATAACTATCTGCTTCAACGAAGTATTGAAAGATGACAAAAAACATGTATAAAATAATTTAAAAGTCCCATCAAATATTTTACTGACCTCAATGCTCACATCTTTAAAACGAACACATAGGAGTCACTGGTTTATAACAGTAGAGTTAATTTTAAAATAATTCTGATCCAATATTATTTTTAATAGGATGTGTGGAGCTGTTCATATACCTTAATTACTTGCCTAACTCTACGTCACTCACCTCAAGATTCTTTTGGAGGTTCTTAATTTCCTCAGAAGCATTAGTGATATTGTGTAAAATAATTTCTTTCTCTTCCAATGCAATATTATAATCTGAAGAGAGTGCTTCACGCTTTTCTCTGTGAAAAAAGAAATACACAGGTTAAAAGGAAAGTTAACTGTTCTGTAGAATCTTCTTTATTCTAGGAATAGCAGCAACTCCTAATCACTGGAGAAGAGAGCCAGGAACGTGGGAAACATAATGACAATGTCATCCTTTGGGAGATTTTGGTACAAGATTCATAGCACAATACAAATTACATTTGTATAGTGCCTGTCGCGTCGGGAGAACGTCTCAAGACGATGGACCCGAGCTGGGGGTTGGGATCGGGGAGGGTGGCCGAAGGCTAGATCGAAGAGAAGGGCTTTGAGATGCACCTTGAAGGAGGCGAGGGAGAGCGCGAGGCGAAGGGAAGGAGTTCCAAAGGGTGGTGGCAGAAAGGTACAGCGACCGTGGAGCAGGCCAGAGCTTGCTGAGTGGAGGTAGCAGACCCATTGATATCGGGTCAGCAGGTCGCAGAGATAGGCAGGACCAAGGCCGTGGAGGGCCTGGAAGGCGAGGACGAGGATTTTGAACTCTATCCTCTGGGGGATGGGGAGCTAGTGGAGTCGGGCGAGGGTGGGGTTGATGGGCTCACGGAACCTGGTGCGGGAGAGGATATGAGCTGCAGAGTTCTGGATAATCTAAACTAATAGGACTAATATTTATATATTTACATTTTTGTACAGTATGTTTATAAGAACATAAGAATTAGGAGCAGGAGTAGGCCATTTGGCCCCTCTAGCCTGCCCCACCATTCAATAAGATCATGGCTGATCTATTCTATCTCCACCTACCCGCCTTATCCCCATATCCTTTAATCCCTTTATCCACAAGAAATCTATCAATCTAAGTCTTGAATATGTTCAAGGACTGAGCATCTACAGCCCTTTGGGATAGAGAATTCCATAAATTCGCTACCCTCGGAGTGAAGAAGTTTTTCAACTCAGTGCGAAAGGGTTTAGCCCTAATTTTAAGACTGTGACCCCTGGTTATAGTTTCTCCAACAAGGGAAAAAGTCTCCCACTATTTATTCTGTTGTGCCCCTTAATAATCTTATAGGTTTCTATAAGATTATCTCTCATTCCTCTATATTCTAGAGAATATAGGCCTAAATTGCTCAACCTATCTTCATAACTCATCCCCCTCATCCCCGGTACCAACCTAGTGAATCTACGTTATACCCCCTCCAAGGCAAGTACATCCTTTCTTAACTAAGGAGATCAAAACTGCACACAATACTCTAGGTGCGGTCTCACCAGGGCCCTATACAGTTGCAGCAAGACTTCCCTACACTTATATTCTAACCGTTTTGTAACAAATGCCAACATACCGTTAGACTTCCTAATTGCTTGCTGTATCTGCAAACTAATTTTTTATGACTGGTGTACAAGGACACCCAAGTCCCTCTGAACGCTAACACTATCTCGTCTCTCCCTTTCTAAAAAATAACCTGCTCTACTGTTTTTGCCACCTAGGTGGATGACCTCACATTTCCCTACATTATACTTCACCTGCCACCTATTTGCCCACTCACCCAGCCTATCTATATCTTGTTGCTTTTTTTTAATGTCATCCTCAGTGTTTACTCTTCCTCCTAGTTTTGGATATATTAAGTTCAATATCCTCATCTAGATCATTGATGTAGATTGTAAATAGTTGAGGCCCAAGCACTGATCCTTGTGGCACTCCACTAGTCACATCCCGCCAATCTGAGGACCCGTTTATCCCTACTCTTTGTTTTCTTCTCGTTAGCCATTCTTCAATCCATGCTAATGTATTCCCCTTAATTCCATGGGCCCTAATCTTGTGGATCAACCTTTTATGCTGCCCCTTATTGAATGCCTTTTGGAAATCTAAATACACATTGATTCCCCCCTACTTGATATGTCCTCAAAAAATGTCCTCAAAAAAATCTAAAAGATTTGTTAAGCATGATTTCCCTTTTGTAAAGCCATGTTGACTCTGTATAATCATATTGTGATCCTCTAAGTATCCCACTACGACATCCTTAATTAAGGATTCTAGAATTTTCCCTCCCACCAATGTCAGACTAACTGGTCTATAGTTCTCCATCTTTTCTCTCCCACCCTTCTTAAATAGTGGTGTGACGTTTGCAATCTTCCAATCAATGGGAACCGTTCCAGAATCTAAAGAATTTTGGAAGATCAGACACAAGGCCTCCACTATCTCATGAGTTACCTCTTTTAAAACCCTAGGATGCAGACCATCAGGTCCAGGGGACTTGTCACTTTTTAATGCCAACAATTTCTCTAGCACCAATTCTTTGTTGATGTAAATTTCCCTAAGTTGCTCGCTATCTTTAGCCCCTTGGTTCGTCTCTATTTCTGGTAAACTTCTTGCGTCTTCTAACGTGAAGACAGAAGCAAAATATTTATTTAGAAACTCTGCCATATTATTATACCCCATTAGAATTCCTCCTGTCTCTGCCTGTAATGGACCCACATTTACGTTTGCTAGCCTATTCCTCTTAATGTATTTATAAAAACTCTTACGATCTGTCATAATGTTCCTAGCGAGCTTGCCCTCAATAATCCATTTTCTCACTCGTAATGAGCTTTTTCGTTTTCCTTTGTTGGTCCCGAAAACACTCCCAGTCCTCAGGTTTGCTACTCTTTTTGATAGTTTTATAGCCCTTTTCTTTTAGTTTTATACTTTCTCTAACTGAGAAAGAGCGACTGAGAGAGAGAGAGTATGAGAGCGACTGAGAGAGAGAGAGAGAGTGTGAGAGAGAGAGCGAGTGTGAGAGCGACTGAGAGAGAGAGAGTGTGTGAGTGAGAGAGAGAGAGAGAGTGTGAGCCACGGATGAATTACTTTCCCTGTGGTACTCTTATTCCTCAAGGGAATATGTGACTGCTGAGAAGTTTGCACTACATCTTTAAACATTTGCCACTGTTGGTCTATTGTCATATCCATTAATCTAATTTCCCAGTCTATTTTAGCTAATTCTTCCCTCATACCTGCAAAGTTAGCTTTGTTTAAATTTAAGACCCTTACTTCGGATTTGACTACATCACTCTCTAACTTAATGCTAAATTCTATCATGTTATGATCACTCTGCCCTGGAGGAGTCTTAATATCTATATTACCGACTAGCCCTGTTTCGTTACACAAAACAAGGTCAAGGATGGCCTGTCCCCTAGTTGGTTCCTCAGTTACTGCTCCAGACTATCTCTCATACATCCCATAAACCCCTCCTCTACCCTACTTTTGCCGATTTGGTTTTTCCAATCTATGTGAAGATTGAAATCACCCACTAATACTGTATTACCTTTGCTACATGCTCCTCTAATTTCCTGATTAATATCCTGCGCTATGCTGTGATCATTGTTTGGGGTCTATAAACTACTCCCACTAATGTTTTCTGCCCCTGATTATTTTGTAATTCTACCCATACCATCTCTACATCCTGGTTATCTGATTTGAAATCTTTCCTCTCTCCTGTTTTTATTCCATCCTCTATTCAAGGCTACCCCACCCCCCCACCTCGTTTTCCACATTGTCTATCCATCCTATAAGCTGAAAACCCCGGAATATTTAACTCCCACCCTAGATCTCCCTGTAACCATGTCTCAGTAATGACTACTAGATCATACCTATTTGATTCTATCTGTGCCTTTAATTCATCTATCTTATTCCGAATGCTTCGTGCATTCAGATATAGTGATTTTAATTTCTTACCATTTCCCCTACTCTGATGCCCTATCTTCTTCACTGAGCTTCTTACCCCTCTTTGACCTATTCTGTTTATCTCTCTCGCTATTCTGTTCTGCCACCTTTAGTTTTCTTAATACTGCTTGGCTTGCAATTATTTCTAATTGTATTCCCCCCACCCCTTTACTAGTTTAAAGCCTTATTTACCTCCCTATGTATTCAGTTTGCTAGGACATTTGTCCCAGCTTGATTTAAGTGGAGCCCATCTTTTTGAAATAGACCCCCTTTCTCCCAATACTGGTGCCAATGGCCCACAAAATGAAATCTCTGCGTTCCGCACCACTGCCTCAGCCATGCATTTAACTCTCTAATTTGCTTATTCCTGTCGATTTGCACATGTCAAAGGCAGCAATCCTGATATCACTACCTCTGATGTTCTTTGTTTCAATTTAGTTCCTTGAACTCCCACCTCAAGTCATCACTACTAACCCTACCTATGTCATTGGTACCTATATGAAGTACCACCAATGGATCCTCGCTCTCATGTTTCAGATTCTCCTCCAGTCCCACTGAGGGGTCCTTCACCCGGCCCCAGGAAGGCAACAGAGCCTTTGGGTCTTCTGGTTGCAGCTGCAGATAAATGTATCTGTCCGCCTGATAGTCTCTACTTTATGTTTGTTTCCCCTAATATTGGAATCACGTTTTCCTTCCTCCTCACAGGTTTCCTTGTCCACACATGTTGCAAGAATCTCGTACCTGTCGGCCGAGGTTAAAGCCTGAGGCTTCACTACCACTCTCTCTGGTCTTCCTTTAACTACCTGCCTGTCAGACACCCTATCCTGTCCTTGACTGATACAATTATCTATACTTTTCCTGAGCCTCAGGGGAGTGACTGTCTACAGGATGAAACTATCCAGGAAGCACTCACTGTCCCTAATGCTGTGCAATGTCTGCACCTCGGATTCCAGCTCAGACACTCTGAGCTGGAGCTGCCTCAATTGCAGACATTTGCTGCAGATGTGGTCGCCCGGGCTCAGACTGCCCTCCAGCAACTCCCACATGTTACAGTCCTCACACAACACCTGCCACGCCATTGTCACCTCTCCCACCCCCACTGTGAATTAAAGTTCTATTTAATTAATTTATTATTTTTAAAAGTTAAATTCTTAATTTTTAAAAAAAAATGTTTTAGTGTTAGTTTACTGTTAATTAGTGATACTGACGTCGCTCTGATGTCACTTTGTAATTTTCTCGCTGTTTTTTTATCTGAGCCTCTCCTCGCTGTGGCTGATATCCCCACCGCTAGATCTCGGCTCCGCCCCTCGCTCTCGTGCCTCTGCTCCTGACTATACTATATATATTGTACATATAAATTTATATCTGACTCGCTCCCTCCCTCACCTCTTTCAAGGTCCATCTCAAGACCAACCTCTTTGACCGCACCATCTTTTCCCTCTGCTCTCCCCTTGGCTCCCACCCTAAACGCAGGTGCCAAGCCAGGACTGTTAAGCACTATCATCCTCCCAATGTGAAAGGTGCTATATTTATATTGTACAATAACATTTTGTATTCTTCATGAACTGAAACATGATGGCTTTCTCCAATTAAATCATAAAGAAGTCCCAGAAACCCACATTTACATAGAATTTAGTTTTATTAGAGTGGGTTTAGCAGTAGCAGATAAATGATTGAGATATTGTAGAATGGAAGATGTACAGTAACCTTCCTGAGTGGAATGATTGTAAACATGCCAAAGTGAAGTTACAAACTATATTTGTGAAAGATTTTCCACATATTAGTAAGATCCAGATGACTAAAAAGGCAGACTCTGATTCAGTCTCAAGAGTCAATCATCAAGTGAAAGCCCAATAAATCATATGAAAAGTAATTTGACTGTTGCAGGAGATTCCACTTGGGAAAGAATGATACTGAAGAGGCACTATAACGTCACAGAAAACTGTTATTTGAGGATAGTTAAATTGAACTAAATGGAGGAAACACACAGTGTATTCTGTGAAGCGTTTGAGACATCTCAAAGACATGATAAAGCGCTATATCAAATGCAAAGTTTATTATTATTATTATAATAAACTGAGGTAGATGCAAAAAAAATCAAAGGCTGTTGATCTTGGATTACATACCATATCTGGTAACATTTTACAATAAGAAAATTTATTTTGTCTAGATTATATAATAATCCTTGCATTTGTTATTGCACTTTATCATGTCATCTCAAAGCAATGAATAGAATATACTGTAAAGTGAATTTACTGTATATGTGGTGGGCAAAATTTAGCAGCCAATTTCACACAGCAGTGTCCCACAGTCTGACTTGAGTGACCAAATAATTTTTTTTAATAAAAGTGATTATCACCCCAATCGACTAACAACAGGGTTCCTACTTCCCTCTAGGTAAACAGAGGCATGTGGAGTAAGGAAACTTGCCTAAGGTTTCACCCTGCCCAGGAATCAAACCCGGGTCCTCTTACTGGCAAGCCAAGTTCTCTAACCACTGTGCTACCCGACTCCACTAAAGAGGGAATATAAATATAAATATTCCCTCTTTGTTTGCAAAACACATTTACAAATACATTTACCTTTCTTCTTTAAGCTCAACCTTCAAGTTGTCTATTTTCTCTAAAACATCTTCCTCTTTTTCAAGTGCGCTGAGTATCTGTCGTTGAATCTCATCAATTACATTCTTAACACAAATGATGAAAAATTTAGAAAATATTTATAATAATCATTTTGTATGATGGGATTATTCAATTGTTAAACTTCACATAATATGCACCATTGAATGAAAATGTTGGAAAGTCTTGTTAAGTGTTGAAATTGATAGCAAATTTGCACTGTAAATGGGATAATTTTCCTGAGATTGACACATTGGAAATCTAGCTATGATGTGGGTACACTGGATGTTGGAAGCACAAATCTTCAGAAGATAATGTATTCAACAATTCATTATCAACATGAATGTACTACTACTGTATTTACATACACTGTAATAAATCCTTGCATTTGATATAGTGCCTTAGCACTTCTTCGAGACGTCTCAAAGAACTTCACAGAATATACTGTGAAATGACTGTATATTTTGTAGGCGAAATGTGGCAGCCGACTTGTGCACAGCAGTGTCCCACAAATAGTTGTCGATTGAGTAACCAAATTATTACTATTTTTTGTTTATTTTTTGAAGGGATAATTAACCCCGGCAAAGCAATCTGCCAATCAACTAACAACTGCTTACGGCTAAGTGAACATAGGTATGTGGAGAAAGGAAACTTTCCCAACCTGGAGACCTGTAGCTCGGTGGTTAAAGCACTCGCACAGCAAGTGAGAGGATCTGGGTTTGATTCCCAGCAGGGCAAAATGTTGGGCAAGTTTCCTTACTCCTAACGCTTCTATTTACCTAGCAGTAGGTAGGAACTTGGTTATTAATCGATTGGTGGATCGCTTTTCCGGCGGTTATAATTCTTTCAAAAAAATAATAATTAATTGGTCACTATGACTGTTTGTGGGACACTGCTAGGCCCAATTGGTTACCGCGTTTCACCCACAACCTATACAATCAATTCACTTTACAGCGTATACTGTGAAGTGCTTTGAGACATCTCGAAGATGTGATAAAGCACTATATCAAATGCAAGGATTATTAATATTATTTCACCCTGCCTGGGAATCAGACCCAAGTCCTCTTGCTTGCCACAGGACTCCACATATAGATATGTACGCATATATATATATATATACACACATACATATAAAATTTCTTCATAGAAATGAATGCATCATTGTTCGGGTTGCCTTTCATTAATGTTGTTTCATTTTAAAATTGAAATTCAAAGGTCAGCCCAGCCTCCCTTCAGTTGAACATTTGATTTCATGTTAATTTTTCCTAATGGCATAAAACACTGCAGAGTGGTTGGTGGCTACGTCAGTCGGTATTAAATATTTATCCCAACAACCCCACAATTTATAAGGAATAAAACTTAAAAAAACTTAAATAAAACTAAAACTTTGAAAACGTAATTTTAAAAACTCTAAGATATGGAGAAGATAGCTTTGAAAAATGAAGACATCTAAATTAGAAGCTTCAGAGACCAGAAAAAATTGCAAAAGGACAAGAGCAACAGTGGTTTAGTTTCTCTGGTTAGATGGCCTAACTTTTTGTCATCGGATTTTCACCTTGCATATTATGTTTAATACGACTTGTATGCAAGGTGGAAATTCCTTCACAAAAAGGCATAAAGAAAGATTGTTAGGTTTAGCTATCATCATATAATTATCTGTTGTCTTAAAGACAATTCCTGGATTTTTCCCCAAATACTTTCCAGTATAGTTGCTCTCCAGCAAAGTAAAGATGAACAAAGAATATAAAATACCGCATTCAACCAACACCAACTTCTGTATGGTTCTGATTGAGATTTTTGGTGTGTTAGACTAAGAAAAAGAAAAATCATTTTTCAATTTGGTACATTATAATTACTTGCATACATATACCTCTTTATTTTGAACTGCTTCTTTTAAATATGTAGCTTCTTTCAGTAATGCATCCACATTTTTTTGAAGTTCTGCCTTTTCATCTGCCAATAGTTTTACTTTATCCTATAAAATGCAAGGATTATTATAGAGAACACATTAAATATTCTTGTAAAATAATTGAAAATTTATATCACTTTCATAAAACAGCATCTCTAAAACTCTTTGGTGTTGAGATTACTTTGCCCGCATAACTTTACCAACCCATACAATAAACAACAATAACAACTTGCATTTATATAGCACCATTCACCTGTGCAGCATCCCGTAGCATTTAACAGTGGCGGAGCCTGAAGCCGAGCTGGGGGAGAGGGAGTAGATGACCATAAGCACAGTCGAAGAGGAAGGGGTCTTCAGATGTGATCTAAGAGTGGAAGGAGGGGGCAAGGCAGAGGGATTGGGGGAGAGAATTCCAAAGCTTCTGGGTATAGTGGCTGAGCGTGGCCGCCGATGGTGGAGCAGAGGGGACAAGGGACAAACAGGAGGCCAGGTGCTCTCCAGTAAAGAAAGTTGAACAAAGCAGGTAAAAAACTTCAGTCGACCAACACCAACTTTTTTTTTTCTGATTCAGATTTTTGGTGTGATAGTCTAAGAAAAAGAAAAAAAAACGAGAGCAACATCGATGTATCAGGTCACAAAAGTGTCCAGTTGAACAACTGTTTTCCAGCTTCAGGATCATGGCATCCAAACATCCGCAGTTTTACAGACTGTTTGCTACATCCTGTAGGCCGGAGCTTACCCCCAAATCTGAAAGAGTACGGCTTCATCCAACCCAAGGATACTGAAGGCCACAGTTGGATTATTAGTGCCAATGGCTTAACGTGACCTGAAGGATCACAAAGGTCACAGAGAGCCAGCTTCAATGAACAACCTGGTGCAGAGAACTCTTCCTCAGATAGATTTCTGGTTGTTTTAGATCTAATTAGATAGCAACATTCTCCTTCTGCAGGACATTTGTTTTTAGTTTCCAAAAATAGCAAATTTCAAATCTATCTATAGATCAACCTCAGCTAACCACAATTCTGGGAAATGATAAGTTTGATTTAAATATGAAGTGCAAAATATTATTTGTAAAGATGAATAATGTATTTATATTAATTTAAATCAATTGATTTTATAAATTTAGGGATACAATTGCAAATATCTATAGTCTAGAGAATGGTTATTTTGCCTACATTGAAAGTTTGGTAACTTGGAATATGAGTAATACAGGTATTCTTTGAATAAAATGGAAAACTAACTTCTAGGTCACTTTGCGTTTTCTGTACTGATTTTAACTCTTCCAACAATGTCCCATTTTCTGTTTGTTTGTACTGCAGTTGTTCTTCCCATTCAAGTTGAGCCTTTGACGCGTTTTCCTAAGAAATTAATAAAATTGAGAAAAAAAATATGGAAATTGAAGAATTACCATCAAGTATTGCAAAATTAACAGAAAAAAATAAACTGTGATCCAAATGAATTTATAAATGTTACCAAAGCCTCCATGAACTGGCTAATCTTCACTTTATTTTCAGTTTTAAGTTGCTCCAACTGCCCTGTAATAGATCAATAGGTAGTTATAAAATTACAATTTAAGAAGTCCACAGAATATTATACTTGTGAAATTCAAGATTTCAGTTACAGCTTTTAACCTTCGGTGTAAATAAATTGATATTTGTCCTAAAATTGCCCTTCACAGCCCTGAAACTATTGTCCTGCTGTATTGGCATTTCTGAAAATATTGTTCACAAGACTACAAGAAAGGTTCAGATGAAGAAAGTCCTTCAAAATCCATTTGATCTCAACCTTTCTACAATACCAACCTTACTGTTCTCCCATCACAACATCAAGCTGTTTTTTTTTCAATGAGACTGGCCCCAACCCTTTCTGGCAATCTATTTTACTTGTTAGTTTTCCTTTGGGTAATTAAATATTTCCTGGCAATGGTCTTGAAATTGCACTTTGTAAATTTAAATCTTCCTGTGTCCTCTTATCCTGCTGTCTTGGTGCCTATGAAATTATTGTTCTGAGTTTTGTTTCTCATTTTAAATCTTTCATGCCACTACAAGTCCCCACCTCTTTGAATTCTAACCCATGTTCCGAAATTGAAAGAATCCGCTGTACTATCCAGTAATCTTAGCCAGGGACGTAAACTAACCAGTAATATCAGTCTTTTAAGAGTATGGAATATGCCACGGTCAAGGTCTAGGTCAAGAAATGGTAATAAGCAAAGCTACAATAGACGGCAGTACACAACATCATAATACTCGACAGGAAACAGCCTTCCCCTTCCAAACCCAAACTGAACAATTATGTAACCTAAAAGTACGAATGTATTTTAAAATAAGTAATTAACTCCAAATTAAACTAAATTAAGCATTTGAGAAAAAGCATAATATTGTAGTACACCATTGGTTTTCTTTATTGAAATCAATATTTCAAAGATACATATTTAATACCTAATGCATTATTCTTTTTTTCCAACTCTGTAGAAGCACATTGTAAGTCATCTTGAAGTTCTTTTGCTCTGTTAAAAAAAACGATCGTGACACTTTAAATCATTCTGAAAGTATTCCTATATTCCTAAGAAATTGTAATGTGGTAATAGTTGCAAATTTCTGTATGACAGCACTCTTTAGATAGCTTAGAAATTACAATTTAAGAACATTGGCTTGGCTGGTTAGATTTACATTTGGATTTTATAAATGGAATCTTGTTGTTGTTGTTGTTGTTGTTTAGCAAATAGTTTGTTTACCTTAGGTCCAAACAGTTAACTGAATATTGTACATTTGTTAAAGCTGAGAAACATAACTATTATAGGGAGGGCATTATGGTGTATTTTTCTTAACTTCTCACCTTTCTTGTTCTGTTCTAAATAATTCTTCCAAGTGTTCAGTTTTAGTTGTAAGCTGTGCAATTGTCAATGCATCTTTCAATATAACTTTATTAAATTCTTCTATTGTGATTTCATTTTCTCTGGTAAGCTGACTTGTGGTGTTCTTCATATTTTCAAATTTTTCTTCAAGTGACTTTTCAGAGGTCTGTCCAGAGCAAACAGAACCTATATTAGGTTTGTAATGTATCATTACTACCAATTAAATAAGTCTGAAAGTGGCTTACTGACATCCATACTGATTAAAATTCAAGCTTATTGATGTTAATTTGAATTGATGTTCAAAAATGGATTTTGGTATTGTCCCCTGGCTCCAAGTCCACTCTTGTTGAATGCAAGCCTCCAGCCATACAATGCTCATCACCTCTCGCACCAGTGAAGGAGGTGGAGACTCCCACAGAAATCCTTAAAAGACATTCTACTCCTCAGATTGTAGGTTGTGTCTTATTCGCCTCCACTAACCAGAGGTCTATTGAAAACCATTGGAAACCATTGTCATATATTCTATCAAAATATTTGTTGCCATAAAATTGAGAAGGTAGTATTTTGTTGGAAACTACGCCCCATCTTACTGAAGGACTTTAAACATGTCTGGAAACAATAAGATCTGCCTAAAATTGTCCAAAAATATTCAAAAACACATCTGCAGTGACATAAATTTATATTGTGCCACAGTCTTCTAAAAAAGATTTCCAATGTCGTAGCCACAAATGTCCATAACATAAAAATGTTGTCAAAGCTCCTGACAGGCCAACGGGATACATATCTGAGGAAAACATAGCAAATACAAAGTAAAACATCAGGAACTTTGTGCGATTTAGCCAAATCATGATGTGAAAGCAAGAATCTGAGATCAACAACAACAACAAGATTACATTTGTATAGTGCCTTTCACATCAGGAAGACGTCCCAAGGCGCTGGAGATCCACCAGGATATACAGCCCAGTCAACTTTTCCTTTATGGAACTTGTTCAAAGCTCCACAATTAAGAATTGGTCAGGAATCCCAGAATTTTAGACACCATAAAGTTTGCTCTTTTCACTTTTGAGAACTTTTGATTGACATAGAAGAGCTGTGAGAACCTCCATACAATCTGTTGATACTTTGAAAAGTATAATTGCAGATTCAATGTGGTAAGATAACCTTTATTGATGAGTTACCTGAACAATGCAGCTGTAGCGATTTGAGACAACTTCAATATCAAATGCAAGGATTGCATTAGATATTGCAAATGGTAACAAGACAGTTAAAGTATTTTATTTAAACTGTCTTAACAATTATACTTTAGTCATTTCTGCTGGAAGTAATTAGACTGGGGAGGGTCGGCGGGACGACGACGATACAACAACAATTGTGTGAAAAGCAATTCATCTCCCAGAGATAAGACTCTGCTCTAGGTTAGTGACTCTTCCATGAATATGCTCTTCTACTTAATGTTACTGCTGGTTCTATGGATTTTGCCATATAGTATAAATGGCACAATTGAAGAATTAGTAACATTAGTTTCATGTAAGCTTTCACTTCATGCAATTAGCAATTACAATTCATACCTCTTTTTTCTTCAGTAAATCATCTGTCTTCTCTAGTTCTGCAGTTAAATGTTGCACTTTAACTTGTGACTTTTGTAGATCTTCATTACATTGCCCTTGTTAATTTAAAAGGCTTGTGAATATTAATAAAACAAACAATATCCACATAATCTTCATACCTTTACAGGAGCTTTTCATGCTAGTTTGGTAATTATTATTACTATAAATGAATTAATCAAGGTATTGACATAATGTGTTAATGGAATTATATTACTTGTTTCAAAACTTGAACTATGCTATGATAATAATAATAATAATAATCCTTGCATTTGATATAGCGCTTTTCACGTTGGGAAGACATCCCAAAGCGCTTCACAGAACACACTGTAAAGTGAATTGACTGTATATTTGTGGGCGAACGCGGCAGCCAATTTTGCACAGCAATGTCCCACAAACAGTCGTAGATTGAAAATGACCAATTTATTATTGTTTTTGGTTTTGTGGAGGGATTATTATTAGACACTGTGTGGAGTAAGGAAACTTGCCCAAGGTTTTGCCCTGTCCGGATTGAACTCAGGTCTCTCGCTTGCAAAGCGAGTGCTCTAACCACTGAGCTACAGGACTCCACAATACTATAAATGCCAAAGTTGACCAAACTTGTCCTGGTTGATTCTAGCTTTCAGATTTGATTCATCCCCCACTTCTTCCATAGACTCATAAAGTACTACAATGCAACCCATTATAACATAGTAGTTGGTGGGAGGTAAAATCCCAATCCAACTTATAATAGGGTGTGATCACCAGTACATTGGCATTCATTCCGTATACATATAGAAATCCAGCCTACTTAAAATCACTGATTTCGTCCACTAAAAATAGCCGACTCTTGGATCATCAGATGGATAATGTTACTTCTGCAACCAGAATGCCACCATTTTTNCAACACAGACCCTTTAGCTGACATTTTAAAGCTAGCTGAACACCATTCTTGATTTTTCGTTAAGTGAATATCCACTCCTCAAAAGGTGAATGCAAATTATAATACCATATTACAGGGTTCTACTGTAGTACTAATAAAATAAATCACTCACTGGTTTCTTCCTTCAGTTGATCATATCTGATTTTAGATTCTTGAAGATGAATTAAGGTTTCTTGAAGTTCATTGTCTTTTTGTTTATATTCCTGCTGGAGCTGTTCCACCTTAAAACAGATAATTTATTAGCTGTCTTTCAATCAGAAAAAAATAGGAACTCTATAATTTGTTCACTGAAGATCTCTTTGCCATCAAGATCAGTGACGCTGCCCCACTTATCGTTCGCTCCCAGTCTCTGGTGCGCGTTCCTGTTCCTACCCTCCACACTTTGCTACTCCCACTGTCCTTCTCTCTCACCGCCATCCTTGCCTTCTCTCTCTCCTGGACCTCATCATTACCTCCTTCTGCTTCATCCTGGGCATCCCCCGCTAGGCCCATCGGCGTTGGTTGTCCCAGAGCAGCCATGCCAACTGTCCCACCACTCACTCTCCGCACCAACCGCCTCCAAAAGGCAAACGCCCCTTCCCCCTCCCTCATGCATACCTTTTCAACTGTTCCCACTCCTCAAATTTCACTGTCATTTCTTTCCCACGAGACAAAAGTCTACCTATAGCACTCACTCCTCCATCCTCCAATGCAAACCTATCGCATTTCCCTCCAAAAGGTTTGTTCCCTCTCCAATAAAGCCTTCACTATCATATCCTGGATGAGCAAATCAATATTCTTGGGTTTACAGAAACCTGGCTCTCCCCGGTGACCCCATTCCCCTCGTTGAAGCCTCCCTTTCTGGCTACACTTTTCACCTCCACCTTGCCTCAACCAGCACAGCGGTGGGGTTGCCCTCATCTCCCAAGCTTCCCTTGGTCGATCAGCCTATTCCTCTGGCTGTTTTTCTTCCTTTGAATATCTCACCCACTACCATCCCTATCCTCTCTCCCTCAAAATCCTCATAGTTTACCGCCCACCCACTGCCCCAAACCTCCTGGCTCCTTCCTCACTGATATCTCCTGTCTCCTCTCATCCCTGTCCCTCTGCACTGAACACCTGCTCACAACGGTTGATTTCAACCTCCATCGTAACTCCCCTAGCACCACCTTCTTGTATTTAACTGCCCCCTCCCATCCCTAAACCTCACCCTCCACATAAACTCGCCGATCCTCACGGCGGTGAGGATCCGTGGCCACCCCCTCGACCTCATCATCACACGTGGCCTTGACATTTCCGATCTGTCCATCACGGGCTCATCTACCTTTTCCAAGCCCTCCACCATTTTTTTCCAACCCTGGAAAAAGCTTCCCCCAGAGTCCCTCCCGAAGGTCCTTTCTTCCTCAGACCTCCACTCTCTCTCCCCCTCCACCCGCATGATCCTGATGCAGCCATCAAGCTGCTGATGACTTTCTCTCCACAAGCATTAATTCCTTGATTCCCCTGAGATCCAGGGCTGTTTCCAAACCCATCCCCTCCCCTGGTACAACAGTCATCTCCGCTCACTCAAAACCCAAATCTGGACGCTCAAATGCAGATGGTAGAAATCCGGCCTCATGATTCACCACCATTTGTGGCTCCAGCATATCTTCACCTACAGCCTCTCTTTCACAGGCCAAAACTGACTTTTACTCCAAAGTCATTCTGGAGGCAAACAACAATCCAAAGACGCTGTTTTCCACCGTTCATCACCTTCTCTGGCTTTTGCCCTGCCCACAGAGACAGTGGATAGTCCACCACGCCATCCTCCTCCACCGCCTCTCCTCTCTCAACCACCTTAGTGGGACCGCACTTGCATGGTTCTAGTCCTACTTAACCAACCGCCTCCACTTCATCAGCAAACGGTTTCTCCTCCCGCTCCCGCCCTGTCACCTGTGGGGTACCCCAGTGCTCCATCCTTGGCCCTCTTCTTTTCCTGATCTATATGCTCCCTCTTGGCAATGTCATCCGCAGAATTTGGGCAAACTTCTACATGTATGCGATTGACACAAAAATCTACTTTACCTCCTCCAGTATCGACTCCAGGTTCGCCAAAGTTCTATCAACTTGTCTGGCAGACATCAGGGCCTGGATGAGTGCAAACTTCCTGCAGCTGAATGTGGACAAGATGGAAGCCATACTACTTGGCTCCCGTCAACGTCTTCACTCCTGCGGATCTGATCTTCTCAACCTCCCTGGGTTCTCCCTCAGACTCACCGAATCAGTGCACAATCTAGACATCCAGTTCGATCCCCAGTTGTCCTTCTTTCTCCACCAGGACCGCCTTTCTCCCTCCACCACATTGCCCGCCTCCGACTGTATCTTACCCCAAATGCAGCCGAAACCCTTGTGCATGCGTTTGTCACCTCCCTCCTGAATTACTCAAATGCATTCCTTGCTTGTCTCCCCAGTTCCACTATTCAAAAATCCAGTTCATTCAGAATTCTGCTGCCTGCATACTTACCTGTTCCAAACACCATTTCCCCAAGGTCTGGCCAGGCTTCACTGGCTCCAAATCAACGAACGAATCGACTTCAAGATCCTCACACTCATGTTCAAATCCCTTCACTCCCTGCTTCTTCACTCCCCAATCCACCACCGGGTGCCTCCAATCGATTGTCAGCGGCCTCCTGTGTCCCTCATGCCCTCCACTCCACCAGTGAGGTCGCGCTTTCAGCCACTACGCCTCAAACTCTGGAGCACTCTCCCTCAATCCCTCTGCCTTGCCTTCTCTCCACTTTTTCAAGTCCCACCTGAAAACCTTTCTTTTCGACCGTGCTTATAGTCACCTCCCTGCCCCGGAGTCAGGCTCAGGCATTGTTAAGCTCTCTGAGACGCTACCTGCATGGAGGGCGCTATATAAGTGCAAGTTGTTGTTGTGATAGCCAACCTCCTTGGTTAGCCAACAAAATAAATACATGTTAATGGAATATTTCTTGATTTATGGCATAAATCTATGCTATGGAATTATTTGTATGATTATTTTGTTGGCTGACTAATACTGATCTAGATCAACCCATACCTTTTCAAATTTTCTGGCCAGCAACTACCATTTTAGCCAACAAGACTTAGTCCAAATATACCATTACAACTAGAATATGTAATTTCACTAGCTCTATTGCAAACTTACCTTACATTCTCTATCATTCAGCTGATGTTGATGCTCATTTTTAAGCTTTTCTCTTTGTTCCAAATCTTCTTTTACTATAAGGAACCAATATCATGGATTATAATGAATATAGTAAAAGTAGTCCATAAACTATATTTGTATTACTTGCAACTATGTTGATTTTTGCAAAGATCAGAATCTAAACATATTTATTTATTAACATGTTTATAATAACTTTCATAATCTTCATCTTGAATAACATTTAGACAAACACAGATTTGAAAATATATCTCAGTGTGACCTAATAAATGAAAGTTGGCTATTTTAGTGCAATTAGCCAACTCGTAAGCAGGAAGTGAGTGAGCTGCCTGCAAATATACACAAACAATGGGGTGCACAGCGAATTCACATTATATAATAAATAATAATTATTCAAATTTGTACTTATAAAAGACATAACAGGGCTGCACAGTATACAGTACCTTTCAAGTAAAATGAAAATTTCTTGAAACACTTTGCAAAATATGATTAAAAATAAAGCATATGTTACAGGTCAACTTGATGGTTAATCCTCACAACGAACATTTCCTTTTGTTTGCAAGGATTATTATATTTTTTATTATTAACAATGAGATAAGCAACAAATTAATTTGAATTAATTGGAAGCTTCTGTATCTTTGCATATTGAATGTTGAGCCATATTAAATTCAATGCACATGTAAGAAGCATGTTGCAATACACAGTTCTATAAGACTCTATTAAAGATTCTGCCTCTGCAAGTCCATCCGAGTCCCTCCACCTCTTCCCCAATCTCCACCACCTTTAAAGCCTCCCTGAGGACCCATCCTTTTGACTGTGCTTTTGGAGATGCCATTTCTGAGCCCTCCCTTACCTGATAGATAACTGCCATTTCTGAGCCCTCCCTTACCTGATAGATAACTATTTCAATAACTTGCACAAATTATACATTTCACTTTAGCAGCATTTTTTGGATTCTGTAAGATTCTTTCAAAGAGTCTTTTTACTTTTAGCAATTTGTGTTTTCCGGGACTACAAAATATTTGCTCCCTCTCAAACAACGAGTCTACTTCCACAAATATCGTAGATGAACACATTGACATTCTGAGATTTATGGAAAATTGGCTCATGCCTGAAGTCTCATTCCTTCCCATAGAGGTTGCCTCACCACACATTTCACCCAAATTCCTCCCCCTCCACCCAACACATCCAAGACATGACTGCTATATTTATTTATAAAGAAATAAAAAAATTACTTACACTTAAACATAATTTCTTTTTTTGCATTTTCAGACTGGAAACGAAGTTCTTCAAAGGCCATTACCATTTTCTAATGTTAAAATTATGAATTTAAAAAACGTAAATATACATTTAAATAAACTCTTATAATTTCAGTATAGAACTATTCCTTTGAAATAGATAAGCAGTTAGTTTCTCTTTTCTGAAACATTTTAGGACTAAATTTATCATCAATTGCAAAATGGTGGTCCTTTAATGCACAAATATAAGCCATCTACTAAAAATAGCATGTCTATAGAACTATATAACCAGAGTGCCCTAAACAACTTGCATTTATATATATATATATATATACATATGTATTCATCCCTCTTGAAGACTAATATGAATTCTGCCTGAACCATCAACCCCAGCAGACATTTCACATGCTGACATTTCATATTCTGACTGCTCTCAGCCTGAAAAACAATTATTGTAACCTCCTCATTTGCTTGATCATTAAATATCTTAACTTGATGTCTCCCAGTTATTGATTCAGTGATCCGATGTTGCAGATTAACTGTGTTTGATCACATACAACAACAAAATTAAATTTATAGAGAGCCTTTCACATTGGGAGGACGTCCCAAAGCGCTGGAATATACAACATAACAACATCATTAAACATTAAAGTAATTTGCTGAATTTTGAGTATTATTGAGTATAGTTTTTAATGATTTTAATGAGCATAACAGACATGGAAGATAAAGCAAAACCAGTTAAAGGCATTCTGGATAAGGTGAATGGCACACTTCAATTAAGCCTGTTAAGACATTGTCCCATATGACACTGATAAGAGTGCAGGCTGGTTATCAAATATGTAGATGTTCACAATATTTTCATGCAACTAATTTCACTTGCTATTGAAATACTGAAACAATTGCAATTCTCATTGAGAATTTGTTCCTTAAAAACACTATTACTAACATAGAGCAGTACCGTAACGGTTAAATCTGGGTAAAATAAGGTGAACTACAAAGTTATTAAGAGCACCATCTGATATCAGAATCTTGATGTCCGCACACTGCATCTGAATTCAAATTCCATTGCAAGCACCATTACCTCGCCATCAGTGTTTTACTGTCATTTATGTCAATTGTAGTAGTTATTGTAGTTTCTTAAGCATCCAGATTATATTTTTACCAACTTAGCTCCAGTTAACCTTGAAAACCAAAGCCTAAATGGGCTGGACAAGCAGCAGAAATCTTGTCCACCCCATTGTCAGACAGTACTTTCAATGGCAAGTTTTAGTTGGTTAGACTCCAGCAGTACACCAAAGCACATTCTCGGGTCCAATAGCCAGCCTCTTGCTAGCTTACGCTTAATAGTCAACAACAACAACTTGCATTTATATAGCGCCCTTCAAGTTGGGTAGTGAGCTGGAGTGCTTGACAATGGTGGAGTCTGACCCTGAACCAGGGGAGGTGACCGTAAGCACAATCATCATGGAAGGTCTTTAGGCGAGATTTGAAAGTAGGGAGGAAGGGGGAAAGCCAGAGGGATTGAGGGAGGGCGTTCCAAAGCTTCGGGGCACAGTGGGTGAAAGCACAGCAGCCAATCGTGGAGCAGAGGGGGCGAGGGACAAACAGGGGTCCGGAGCCGGCTGAGAGTAGGCAGAGGGTGGTGGAACGGGGGGGGGGGGGGCGGGGGGGTAAGCAAATCGGATAGGTAGGGAGCTGCAAGGGCATGAAGGGAGTTGAAAATGAGTGAGAGGATCTTGAGGTCGATCCGTTTGGTAATTGGGAACCAGTGCGGCCTGGCAAGGACTGGGGTGATGGGAGTCCTGAGTTTTGTGTGGGTTAGTATCCGGACACCGGAATTCTGAATTAATTGAATTTTGTGTATCGTGGAACTGGGAAGACCAGCGAGGGGGGCATTTGAAAAGTCCAGCCGGGAAGTGACAAAGGCGTGGATGAGGGTTTCGGCTGCTGTGGGTGTGAGTTACGGACAGAGGTGGGCAATGCGGTGGAGGTGGTATAAAGCGGTCCTGATCAGGGAACAGATGTGGGGAAGAAAGGAAAGCTGTGGATTGAACCTGACTCCTAAATTGCGCTTGGGTTCAGAGAGTCTGAGGGAGAGCTCGGGGAGGTTGAGGAAGTCTCCCGAATTTGGTAAGCAGGATGCATCCCTCCAGGGAGAGAGTGCGCATTCCATTACCATATTTGGGATTCCTATGTTCGATGGGTTTCATGGATTTCTGAGTTTGGTACGGATACTCTTTAGCACTGTGATGGGTTTTTGCACATGTCTGACATTCGGCTGACCAAAAAAAATCTTGTGATAACTAAGCATGTTTGAGTATATATTTAACCAAGTTTTAATAAAATCTCTGACCTCAATATTTTCAGCATTTTTAGCGTAAAGTCCTTTTGATTCTTCTCTTTCTGTTTCATCTAATATTCATAAGTAACAGAAGTAAAATTGATTTAGTATATTGTAAAATCACTTGATAATCTATACAATTGTTTTAAATCTTACATTCCTTTCTGTGTAGAAGTCATTATTCTCTAATAATCTTTCATAAAGGGTGAAGTTTGCAGTCAAAGTGATATTTATCATATTGAATGAACAAAAGGCTATTCCCTGACAGCCCCCCACTCCACAACCCTCACCATGGCACTGTTGGCAGTGGTGAAATCAAAGAAGATCTGCAGCTCCAGAAATTTAGTAAACCAAAACAAACATAAAACACAGTCTTCTAACACTGATCTGAAAAATCAATGGAACTGAAAAATATAACAACAATTTGGTCACTCAACCCACTATTGGCTGCCATGTTTCACCCAGAAAATATACATTCAATTCATTTTACAGTATATTTTGTAAAAGCGCTTTGAGAGGTCTCAAAGACTTGATAGGTCCTATATCAAATGCAAGGATTATTATTATAGCCATACAGAGATGTGTTGAATCAAAGTTTGAAAGCATCTTGAGGTGGCGGAGGAACACATTTCAGATTATTTAAGAAAGGTTACAGATGAGTACTGTCTGAAGAAACTGTATTTTCCCTCAATTTGTGGCCTGATATAATGAGGTGAAAGCCATGTGATATTTCTTGCATTGAATGGGTGGGAGGTGGATCCATTCCTCTTCCTTAGGTTGTCTATCTTTCTATCCCCTCCCACCCACCTGGCTCCAGCTAGGATGCCTAGTCAGCTGTGTGAAGCATGTGAGAGGTGCTATATAATTGAAAATAGTTGTTTTTATTTAATTTAATACCTCTAGAATCCACAGATAAATCTCCACGTTATCTCATGAGGAACAAGGAGCACTGAAGATACACTGATCCGATTTAGAAACGTGGACAGTATAGCTGTATAAGATTCTCCCCGAGAGCACTACTTTATCTAGTCATTCATTGTAACTCCCATTCTGCATAAGTTTTTTGTATTTTTGCTTTGAAATGTCTTGAACACGTGATAAGGCACTATATCAAATTTAAGGATTATTATGTGATTCTTTGAAGAATATAAATAATATTTTTAAAGCAAAAAGATTCTTGCAGGTGTGAATGAATAATTTGTGTCTTACGCTAAATTAAAAACACAGCTGGCTGCATTTTAATTCTGAAAGCCCTGGAGTGAGAAAACATTATTCCAAAGTAGGGGGAGAGGGTTCAATCCTAAATCTATTATTCGTGACAAATTCCAGTTAATAAAGCTTTCATTCATTATCACTGATTAGACCAAAACTGTGATTCTACATAAATTTAAAACACAGAAAATAACAATTCGATAACAACTTTCAAGAGAGGATGGGATAGATACTTGGGAGGACAAATTTGCAGGAATATAGGGAGAGCATGGGGGAAATGGGATTAATTTGGACAGCGCTTTTCAAAGAGCCGGCACGGACACGATGGGCCGAATGCCCTCCTTCTGTGCTGTATAATTCTATGATTCTAAGAAGCCCGTTTGGTCCTTCATGCCTGTCTGTCTGTCCCTATTCCAATTCAACTGCTCGTTCCCTTTTCGCTTAATATTTTTCATCAAATATTTATCCAATACTCACATGTTTTCATCTTCTCAGATAATCTGGCACAGGCTTCTTTCACAATAGAAAACAAATCTCTTGTGGCATTATGTCTAAAGATGCACAAAAAAAAATTTAAAAATAAAAACTCAACCACTTTACAAAAATATGCAAGTTGTAATTCTTAGTATGTATTTCTGTTGAATGCAAAAGACTGTATATTCTGCCCTATAATATTTTATAGAATTTCAATCAAAAATGCTTTACATATAATTTGTGCTTTATATATTAGCTTGAATTATGCCTCTAAATCCATTATATCAAACTTCTGCTAAGGCCAAAAAAGGATATGTTTCAAATCAAATCCATCTTTCAGTGGTCAAGTTTCATGAAAAATTAAATTTCCAGAAAGCAAGTCAAATGTCAAATCAAATATCAATAAAAGCACGTACCATTATCTCAACCCTATATCTTTTGTTAGTTGATTAACATTTTTGCTATTTTGTAAGCACAAAGTGCAGTTATTCAAAGCACTACTTACTTTTTTGTTGATTCTTCATTTTTACTGATTGCTTCTTCCAGTCTGATACTCAGATTTTCATTTTCAAACTATGTAATATATTAATGATCAAGTTATTGCTTGTGCAATACAAATTAAATACAAAATCCATATTGCAGTATTTTATAGGGCACAATGGATCATTAAATTATAATCTGCGAGAAATTCTCGAATTTCATCTGTTGCTAAACTTCCAAATGTTTGTGTAGAGTTGATAAAGCAATTTACTACAGTATTGCTGATTAAAGCTTTCTAAACCTATCAGATAATAGATGTTGGAATAAGCTTTTGCCAGATATATTTTAAACAAAGTATGGGCAAGTAACTATAAGGCGAAATGAAATGGCAAATATGCCAATGAGCCATCTAAATCCAAACATGTCATGCAGAGAAATCTTCCATATATTAGGATCTCAACTACACTTACATATATAGAGCAGTTGCTAGGCACAAATATTGCAGAAACCTGGAGAATCACTGCATAATCCCGAAACAGATTCAGACACACTGAGTCTGAGAATTATATAAGAGAGTTAAATTTATAATAGAACAGGCACAGTTTTCTTGCCGTCCATTCATAAATCGTAAAATGTTGGTTTGAAACCAACAACTTTTACAACTTTTTAAAAATGTATTTCGTAAAATGGATACATTTGAATTTTAGTCACCATATTAACTTTCATTAGTTCTCCATAGAAGCAGTCTGATCTATGATATTGATACAATTATGTTATCTCTTAGTATATACAATCTAGGTATGTTATCTTTAAGAAAAATATTTAAAATACAATAAAAACTAGTTACATATTACTTTATACTTGCCTGCTGTTCTTGTATTGCTTTACGCTGAACTTCAATAGTATGTTTATTTTCCTGCAATTTCTTATCTTTTTGCGAAAGTTCATTATCCATAGCTAGTTTCCACCTATTGATTTTTTCAGCCTCATGGAACAGTTTTGTATACAACTGACTTATTTGTTCAGAATTCTGTTTAAAAAATTTAATTTTTAACAATACATTCAACAAAGCATTCTCAATTGCACCTCATTCCTCTGCTTGTATATTTGTTAATTTTGTTTCATTTTTCAAAGGAAAACAAATTGTACAAAAAGTTACTTATGGGCCTAAATGCATTTTCTTTGATTTTTTGATGTAGTCAACCTTGATTTATTTTTGCATTATGTAGAAAATGACAATGCAACTAATAAACATCAATTAATGTGGTATCATTTCTCGTCAAATGACTAACCTCCTTTTCTACTTCTTGAATTACCCGTGGCTTTAGTGAGATAGAATCTGTAAAATCTAAATTTAAAAAAATTACTGAACAAACGTCTCCACATATTAGTCCACACACAATCTTAAGCTGCTACCCACTTAGGATACAGAAGAAGAATTATGAGTTAGAAATCAGCATTATTTGTGGGCTGTACTTTCACAAAATTGCAAATCTGTTTAATGACCTATCTGAATAAATTAACAGTATCTTTACCCATGAGATTTGGACTTAAACGTAAAAGTAAGAGATTATAAAACATAATAAGTTCAATATTCCGATCCAATTAGCTGAAATCTTGGGTGCCAAAGTGGAATACAGCATGAAACTAAAATCAGAAGACAGAATGGTCGGGGTAGGAAAATAGAACTAAAAGAGGTTACATGGGTAATAATTCAAAAGAGTAATTTATTTTACCTTGATTTACAGATTTGGAAAACTTTGGTGTACTGGTCATTAAGACGTGTAAGTCTAAATCATCTTTATGGCCACCATTAGAAGTCTGTAAATATTAAAATAAAATATAATTAAAACATCTGCTCTAATATTGGGGCTTTCTCCAGTAGCTGTCATATTTCAAATTAACAAATAACAAGTACTACTACTAATTCTTCTTAGTGCATTTCATGTCAGGGGGTTATCTCAAAGCGTTTCACAGGATTTACTCTAAAGTGTAGGCAAACACAGCTGCCAATTTTGTGCACAGCAATATCCAACAAAGAACCATGATGTGAACAACCAATTTTATCTGGGGGATTGTTCACCAGGACACCTCTTTAAACAGTGCCATGGGATTAGCAACAACTGAAACCACTCTTTCCCAGTGTTGATGGGGTGATATGCTCTCATCAATCAAAAAATTACTCTCAGCAATAATTCTCAGAGATCTCAGAACTAGTCAATTTGACTAATTAAAAGTTATGCTTTTAAAGACTTCTCATTGGCCATGGAAGCTGAGAACTGGACTAAATAGAAGGCCTGTTTTATAACAGGATATCAGATGGCATTTTCCCCATTATAATTATACACACTAAAAAATTGGCAATTTTCACCCCTTGGTGAAAGGGTATTGATAATCAAAGCAATAGGACTTCTTCAATTAAAACTTCTTAAATTCCTTCAACCATCATGTACCTTCAAAGGTTCATGTAATATCGCAGTTATAAATGAATCAAAGAACTAAACTCAAATCTCAGTCGGTAATTCTCTCTAACATTTTTTAAAATTTACAAGAAATGTAATGCAGTTCTTGTAAAAAAATAAAACAAGCTAAATCAACAGTGAAATCATAATATTTTAAGGGGAAGCTTGATTTAATTTAATCATTTTCTTACTTGCATGAAAAAGCTATCATCTGCCACTGGTTTCACTGCAGATACAGGGCCACAGCTCAGCGGGTGCGGAACATACAGTTTGAAAGGATTTTCCTTCACACGTTCTCCAACCATCTTAGCTTCCATCTGTAAAAACAAAAAAATCAAACCCTTCCAATGCCAACTCTTCACTCTCTGACTTTTTGTCTCATTCCATGTATTTTTTTCTCTCACACTCTCTTACCCTCTGAGTCTCTCCCTCTATATCTGTCTACAATCTCTACACTGCATTCTAGAAAATTTCTGAATAAACACACTTGCTGCTGGATCACTGTTGTGCAAGAAAACTGTGTTCCTGGGAACCACGTACCAGCATTGCACTTCTGCATCAAAGCTTGTTGCAGATCTGCGGATGCAGTAGACATGCAGATATATGGGATGTTACTTTATGCACATTATTCTGCAGTACAATATTATTTACAATTCAGTTTACATTTATATGGAGCCTTTCATGTCAGGAGGACATCTCAAAGGACTTGACATAGCTGGCTAGGCACCGGAGCTGGAGGAAGAAGCCAAGGGGGGGTGGAGAGGAAAGATGATTGGAAACTCAGTCAAGGAGGTATGCCTTGAGACGGATAGTTAATGAGGTGACAGAAGAAGCAAGCTGGAGGGACTCCAAGATACAGAGAACAAGGCCGGAATAGCTGAAAATGTCTCACCAATTGTAGATCAGATAATGTGAGAGCTCAAGCATATCGGTGCTCTCTGAGCGAAGGGATTAACTGGGTCAGTCTGGTCGAAGCAGATCATAGGATTTGAAGGTGAGATTGAGGAACTTGAAATTAATCTGCCGAGGTGTGAGGAGCCATTTGAGCCAAGTAAGTACAATTGAATCCCATGTTTGCAGATGATGTTGCCGAGTGGGAGCACATAGATAGTGAATAGTAGAGAACCAAGGATTGGACCTGAGGGATGCCGCATACAATTATGTGGAGCGGGAGGAGGAGTTATTTGAAGAGACATAGTGGAGACCTGGGATATGTAAGAATGAAACCAAGATAAGAAACTTGAAGATGGAGCAGGGAGCCTTTGTCACCTCTCGGCTGGACTATTCAAACACCCTCCTCGCCGGCCTCCCCTCCACTACCATCCATAAAATCCAGATTATTCAAAACTCTGCCACCCACACCAAACTCCGCTCCCCTATTGCCCCAGTCCTTGCCAGACTGCACTGGCTGCCTGTCCCAGAGAGGATCGACTTGAAGATCCTCACCCTTGTCTTCAAATCCCTCCACTCCTCTGCATCCCCCGACCACGCTGACCTCCTCTCTCCTCAAAACAGTGCCCATTGCCTTCGTTCCTTCATCTGGCCTCCTCCTCGTCCCCCGCTCCACCCTCGGCAGCCATGCCTTCAGCCACTTTGCCCCGAGGCGCTGGAACTCCCTTACTCACTCTCTTCGCCTCGCCCCCTCTCTTCCTATTTTCAGGTCTCGGCTGAAGACCTTTCTTTTCGACCGCGCCTTTGGTCACCTTCCTCCCCCTCCCCATGGCTCGGCCCCGAGATCCATTACTGCAAAGCGCTCTTAGACGCCGTCTGGCTTGGAGGGCGCTATATAAATCCAAGTTGTTCTTGTTGGAGAGGAGAAAGTGAATAGTCAACAGTATCAAAGGCAAGAGATCGAGCAGAACAAGGAGGCAGAGTCTAGTCGCAGTTGAAGAAAACGTCATTGGTTACATTAACCAGGGCAGTCTTCGTACTTGGGTTGGGTGAAAGCCGGATTTAAGATATTAAGGATTTAAGTAAACGCATTCAAGAGACAATTTTGGAATATGGCCCACAAGATCAAAGTCACAAAATGTGATGGCTTCCACTTAAGTGTTGTGAGTACTCTTTAGTCACAGCAGATCCTATCTTGGATTTGGTATGTGACCTGTTGCTTGGCTGAAGCCACAGAGGTCCTGCTGTTATACTGGCCTCTGCTTCAACTTGAAGACCGTCTGCTGCAGTGAAGTGATCAAAACAAAAGTGTTTACTCATGGCCCTTGAGCTGTCCAAGTGATGCTTTATAACTACAACTGCAATGGTGCGTCCACCCTAAACGAACCTGGTGCCAAACAATTCCAATTTTTGATCAAATCTGTGGAAGGGGCTGTGAGGCGTTATCCCACATGAAGGCGTTATACGAATGCAAGCTGGTATTGCAAACTGAGCCATTCGTGAGTGGGTCAAAAGTAATTGCCATTTTAATGCAGGTACTTGTCTTTTATAATTGCACATGAGCAAAGCAAAACACATGGATCGATGCCGCCTTGGATTACTGCAGATCTCCTCGAAGCCAATTCAGACCCAGGGAGACCAGATTGACCTCCGTCCGTCCTCCTCTTCCATCTCAACTCGAGGACGATGGTGTAGTCAGACAGCAAAGGAAATAATAGCACCAGGAATCTCTGTATTTATGCACAAGGCAATTGCCATTAAGTGAGCAATTGCTCCGACGCTTGGAAAAGACCAGATACTCAGAGGCTCAAGGGTTACTTACGTCCTATGTGGGGGTGGAAGGTTCTTTATGACGAAAACTTAGCCATAAAATCCGCGTAATATCCGCTGACAGTGGGGAAAACAACGAACTCGACAGAAAAGCGGGGAGAGCAGCCCCGCGATTCAGTCTAACGGTCGGCAATGGCACGGCTCAGCCTAACGGTCAGTGAGGAGGCGCGCGATTCAGCCCAACGGCTAATGACGGCTCGCGCCGGTTTAACGGTCAGTGATGGCTCGCGGGCCACTACGACAGCCAATGGCAGGGCGCGGGGCAGCGTCGCGGTCAGTGATTGGCTCCCCAGTTGCTCGCACTGAGGCGGCAGAATGAGGTGGACGACACCAATGGGAGCGGTGTCTCTCTCCCGCTCAGGATCTCGCGCTGGTCGTTAAATTACGTCGAACGTTTAAGGGTTTGGAATCGAGTTGTCCTGTGAAGAACCAGAGGTTTGTCACCTGTCCTTACCGTGAGACATAGAAAACACATGGATCAGTGCCGCCCGACAACAACCACCAACGGAACACGAGACCATGAGATATGCTCCCATTAATCAAAAAATTACTCAGCGATAATTCTCAAAGATCCCAGAATTAACCAATTTGGTTAAGTGAAAGTTATACTTTTAAAAGACTTCTCAGTTGTTCAAGGAAGCTGAGAACTGGACAGCATAGGTCTGTTTTATAACAGGATGACAGAGCAGCATTTATTTCCCCATTAATTTTTTTTGTTTCGCCCAGAAATATACAGTCAATTCACTTTACAGTCTATTCTGTGAAGTGCTTTGAGAAGTCTAGAGGTGAAAACACTATATCAAATGCAAGGATTATTATTATTATAATTATACACACACTATAAAGTAGGTAATTTCCATCCCAATTGCTGAAAGGGATAATCAAAGGAACAATTCCACTGAGCCTGATGGCCTTCTTCAGTTTAAAACTTCTTAAATTCCTTCAACCATCATGTACCTTCAAAGGTTCATGTAATATCTCAGGTATAAATGAATCAAAGAACTAGACTCAAATCTCAGTTGGTAATTCTCTCTAACATTTTTTAAAATATACAAGAAATATAAAGTAGTTCTTGTAAAAAAAAGGAACAAGCTAAAGCAACAGTGAAATCTTAATATTTTAAGGGGAAACTTGGTTTACTCAGCGATTACAGCAATTTGTGGAGTCCTGTAGCTCAGTGGTTAGAGCACTCGCTTTGCAAGCGAGAGACCTGAGTTCAGGCAGGGCAAAACCTTGGGCAAGTTTCCTTACTCCACACGCCAAATAATAATCCCTCTGAAAACCCAAAACAATAATAAATTGGTCATTTTCAATCTACGACTGTTTGTGGGACATTGCTGTGCGCAATTGGCTGCCGCGTTCGCCCACAAATATACAGTCAATTCACTTTACAGTGTGTTCTGTGAAGCGCTTTGGGATGTCCTCCCGACGTGAAAAGCGCTATATCAAATGCAAGGATTATTATTATTATTCATTTAATCATTTTCTTACTTGCATAAAAAAGCTATCATCTGCCACTGGTTTCACTGCAGATACAGGGCCACAGCTCAGCGGGTGCGGAACATACAGTTTGAAAGGATTTTCCTTCACACGTTCTCCAACCATTTTAGCTTCCATCTGTAAAAACAAAAAAATCAAACCCTTCCAATGTCAACTCTTCACTCTCTGACTTTTTGTCTCATTCCATGTATTTTTTTCTCTCACACTCTTACCCTCTGAGACTCTCCCTCTGTATCCGTCTAAAATCTCTACACTACATTCTAGAAAATTTCTGAATAAACACACTTGCTGTTGTGCAAGAAAACTGGGTTCCTGGGAACCACGTACCAGCATTGCACTTCTGCATCAAAGCTTGCTGCAGATCTGCGGATGCAGTAGACATGCAGATATATGGGATGTTACTTTATGCACATTATTCTGCAGTACAATATTATTTACAATACAGTTTACATTTATATGGAGCCTTTCATGTCAGGAGGACATCACAAAGGACTTGACATAGGCACCGGAGCTGGAGGAAGAAGCCAAGGGGGGGTGGAGAGGAAAGATGACTGGAAACTCAGTCAAGGAGGTATGTCTTGAGACGGATATTGAATGAGGTGACAGAAGAAGCAAGCTGGAGGGACTCCAAGATAAAGTTATAGAGAACAAGGCCGGAATAGCTGAAAGTGTCCCAATTGTAGATCAGATAATGTGAGAGCTCAAGCATATCAGTGCTCTCTGAGTGAAGGGGTTAACTGGGTCGGTCTGGTTGAAGGAGATCATAGAAGGATTTGAAGGTGGGTTTAAGGAACTCGAAATTAATCTGCCGAGGTGTGAGGAGCCATTTGAGCCAAGTAAGTAGAATTGAATCCCATGTCTGCAGATGATGTTGCCGAGTGGGAGCACATAGATAGTGAGTGTATAGTGAGTCCTGTAACTCAGTGGTTGAGCACTCGCTTTGCAAGTGAGAGACCTGAGTTCAATTCCAGGCAGAGGGCGAAACCTCGGGCAAGTTTCCTTACTCCACACAGAGCCTAATAATAATCCTTCCAAAACCAAAAACAAATTGGTCATTTTCAATGTACGACTGTTTGTGGGACACTGCTGTGCGCAATTGGCTGCCGCGTTCGCCCACAAATATACAGTCAATTCACTTTACACTATATTCTGTGAAGCACTTTGGGACGTCTAGAAGATGTGAAAAGCACTATATCAAATGCAAGGATTATTATTATAATAATAGTAGAGAACCAAGGATTGGACCCTGAGGGATGCCGCATATGATTATGTGGAGCGGGAGGAGGAGCTGTTTGAAGAGACATAATAATAATAATCCTTGCATTTGATATAGCGCCTTTCACGTCTTCTAGATGTTCCAAAGCGCCTCACAGAATATACTGTAAAGTGAATTGACTGTATATTTGTGGGCGAACGCGGCAGCCAATTGCGCACAGCAGTGTCCCACAAAAAGTCATGGATTGAAAATGACCAATTTATTATTTTCTTTTGGAGGATTATTATTAGGCTCTGTGTGAAGTAAGGAAACTTGCCCAAGGTTTCGCCCTCTGCCTGGAATTGAACTCAGGTCTCTCACTTGCAAAGCGAGTGCTCTAACCACTGAGCTACAGGACTCCACATAGTGGAGACCTGGGACATGTAAGAATGAAACCAAGATAAGAACCATGAAGATGGAGCAGGGAGAGGAGAAAGTGAAGAATAGAATAGTCAAGTGTCAAAGGCAAGAGATCGAGCAGAACAAGGAGGCAGAGTCTGGTCTCAGTTGAAGAAAATGTCATTGGTGACATTAACCAGGGCAGTCTTCGTACTTAGATTGGGTGAAAGCCAGATTTAAGATATTAAGGATTTAAGTAATCGCATTCATAGATTCATAGAATGTTACGGCACAGAAGGAGGCCATTCGGCCCATCGAGTCTGTGCGGCTCTTTGACAGAGCGTCACTTTCATTAACCCCAATCACCAGCTTTCTCCCCATAACACTGCAAACCCGCCTTCCCCAGATACCTGTCCAGTTCTCTCTTAAAAGCTGTTATCGAATCGGACTTCACTGCCCTTTTGGGCAGATCATTCCAAATTCCAACATCTCGCTGAGTGAAAACATTTCTTCTAACCTCCCCTCTGCTCCTTTTGGTAGATATCTTAAGATTGTGACAATTTTAGAATATGGTCCACAAGATCAAAGTCACAAAATGTGATGGCTTCCACTTAAGTGTTGTGAGTACTCTTTAGTCACAGCAGATCCTATCTTGGATTTGGTATGTGACCTGTTGCTTGGCTGAAGCCACAGAGGTCCTGCTGTTATACTGGCCTCTGCTTCAACTTGAAGACCGTCTGCTGCAGTGAAATGATCAAAACAAAAGTGTTTACTCATGGCCCTTGAGCTGTCCAAGTGATGCTTTATAACTACAACTGCAATGGTGCGTCCACCCTAAACGAACCTGGTGCCAAACAATTCCAATTTTTGATCAAATCTGTGGAAGGGGCTGTGAGGCGTTATCCCACATGAAGGCGTTATACGAATGCAAGCTGGTATTGCAAACTGAGCCATTCGTGAGTGGGTCAAAAGTAATTGCCATTTTAATGCAGGTACTTGTCTTTTATAATTGCACATGAGCAAAGCAAAACACATGGATCGATGCCGCCTTGGATTACTGCAGATCTCCTCGAAGCCAATTCAGACCCAGGGAGACCAGATTGACCTCCGTCCGTCCTCCTCTTCCATCTCAACTCGAGGACGATGGTGTAGTCAGGAAGCAAAGGAAATAATAGCACCAGGAATCTCTGTATTTATGCACAAGGCAATTGCCATTAAGTGAGCAATTGCTCCGACGCTTGGAAAAGACCAGATACTCAGAGGCTCAAGGGTTACTTACGTCCTATGTGGGGGTGGAAGGTTCTTTATGACGAAAACTTAGCCATAAAATCCGCGTAATATCCGCTGACAGTGGGGAAAACAACGAACTCGACAGAAAAGCGGGGAGAGCAGCCCCGCGATTCAGTCTAACGGTCGGCAATGGCGCGGCTCAGCCTAACGGTCAGTGAGGAGGCGCGCGATTCAGCCCAACGGCTAATGACGGCTCGCGCCGGTTTAACGGTCAGTGATGGCTCGCGGGCCACTGCGACAGCCAATGGCAGGGCGCGGGGCAGCGTCGCGGTCAGTGATTGGCTCCCCAGTTGCTCGCGCTGAGGCGGCAGAATGAGGTGGACGACACCAATGGGAGCGGTGTCTCTCTCCCGCTCAGGATCTCGCGCTGGTCGTTAAGTCACGTCGAGTTGTCCTGTGCGGAACCGGAGGTCCTGTCACCCGCCCTGACCGTGAGCCCTGGAAACCACACGGAGCGGCGCCGCCCAGCGGAGCAGCAGCAGCAGCAGCAGCATCCCCTGCAGGAGCGGTGTGAGAGACCCAAAGCAGTTGATTTCGTGAGACATCATCATCAGTTTGGGGTGTCTCTCCGATAGGCCAATGCAGCTGTGGCTCAGCTGCGAATGAAGTATCCTTGCAGTCCGGTCGGGGGAGGATCACTCGACTCACAAGTGATTTTTTTTTGATGCCTAAAACCTTCAATTCTGCCTTTGGGTTACTGCAGATCTCCTCCAAGTCTCCGCGACCCCATCACCCTCAGCCACACTTGGCTCCACTCGCTCCCCCTCACTCAAAGGATACAGTTCAGGATCCTGGTCCTCACCTTCAAAGCCCTCCATGGCCTCGCTCCTCTCTACCTCGCCGACCTCGTAACCCCCTACCAACCTGCCCGCTCCCTCCAGTCAGCGGGCTCTGGCCTGTCCATGTCTCCCGCCCGACCTGCCCTACCATGGGCGGCCGGGCTTTCCGCCTCTCTGCCCTACCGTTTGGACCTCCCTCCCACAGTCCCTTCACCTTGCTCCCTCTCTTGCCTCCTTTAAGGCACGACTCCAGACCCGCCTTTTTGACCGTGCCTTCAGTGGGCCTCCTACCTCTGGCTTCGCAATTCAAATTTATACGGTGATATACATCAAATGCAAGAATGCTTCTATTCGCTTTTTTGGATGTTACTGAATAATGGGAGAGACAATGGTCACTCGCAATTTATAAGTTGACTTTATACAATTAAATACACACACACAATATATATATACACACACACAGTATAAGTATATATCAGCATTCCAACATATCAGCTGAATCTGAAGCGGTGAGTGAATGTAACAGTACAGCTTTTTCTCAAAGAAGCAGCTCTGCTTACAAACCGGAATTTTTTAAAAAAAGTTACAGTAAATAATGTTTTATAGACAATATTTGGTTTATCCTACAGCATATAATTATTATTTATTACTTTCTCATTTTTACATTCATTAGCTTAGTAGTGAGAGCACTCGCCTCGCAAGCAAGAGGACCCGAGTTTGATTCCCAGGCAGGGCAAAATGTTGCGCATGTTTCTTTAATCGACACTCCTCTTTACCTAGCAGTAAATAGGAACCTGGTTGTTAGTCGATTGGTGGATCGCTTTTCTTTTAAAAAAACTATTTGGTCACTGAACCCATGATTGTTTGTAGGACATTGTTGTGCGCAATTGGCTGCCGCATTTCGCCCACAAAATATGCAGTCAATTCACTTTACAGTATATTCTGTGAAGCGGTTTGAGACGTCTCAAAGACATGATTAGGCGCAATATCAAATGCAAGGATTATGATATATTATCATTAGTATAAATTTTCTTTTAATTGGCTACCCAAGGTGATAAGCTGTAAAGTCCTTTGGCCACTGGTTTCAATAATGATTCATAAACAACAAGTAATGTAATAGTTTATTGGATATTCATTTTACCATTCCTATGTTACACTGCATTTCATTCTGAAAAATAATCATGAATAGTAGATTTATTATTTGAACTGATGTATTAACTTTTGTCATTTTAATATTTTATTCTCAAATGTGACAATGTTTTATGTGAAATTATGCTAAAATTAAAAAGATTATGTGAGAATTGGCAAATAAAAGATATTGAAATGTAAATGTGCAAAAACAGGTCCTGGGCACTTTTTGCAAGTGACATCCCAGATACATTTTGCTAGCAAGCTCTGTAGTCCTGTTGACTTTCAAAGGAAATATACAAACTCTGAATGACAAAGATTTTTTAATTGATGACAGTCTTGCAAACATTGCATTGTGAAAATTTAATAACCAAGTAGATGATGACAAACTTTGAAATAAGAACTGTTTATTAATATAATAAGCTAAAGTGATCAAGATGGTAGTTAGCGTTAAGTGTAAAAGCAACCTCCCCCATTAATGTAGTGACTACTATAAAAACTGATTTGGCCAAAATATATTTTGGCATAGTTGCCTCAAAGGTGAGGTCTTCCACCATATCCTCTGCAGTTTTGTAATGGCGAAAGATAACCCTGGCAAGCAGCTGGAGTGACCAGCCTTATGATTTCTGCCAAAGATCTCCCAGAATTGTTCACTGTACATCCCATATCTCACAGAGCAAGGGTGTAAGTTTCTGATCTTTCATCTTCCATGACATCAGCACCTCTGAATGGTTATGATTGAGGGTTCTGAGCTGCGTAAGTCGACCCAGCAGTCGAGCAAAGTGCTGTGGACTCTCTGGGTGATGAATCTTGGAGTACTTGTATAAAATCTCCAAAAGAGGCTCCTGCAGCCTTTCTACGTGGACTTTATTCTTTACATAGGGACGATCTACAAAAAAAAACTGTAAGCTGTCAACAGCCAATTTTAAAATATTTCAAGTACAATATACTAGTTATTTGTGAGTTGAACTGATTCCTTGTAAAACCCCAAAACATTTTGCCATGATAGAATTCCAGAAAGTAGATTTTAAAACATTTTGCTTCATGGTGAGTGTCTAAATCATTGTAAATTGTGCCAACATTGAAAGGAAAATCAGCATCAGCTGCAAAATATAATAGTGCCAGACCCACTGCCTGAATTCTTCTGCTCCTCATAAAACACAAGTTTTATTTAAGTTATTTTCCAAATAGTTACAGATGCCTTGATTCATCTCATTCATTATTTAATTTGGCACTTTGAACAATCATGTTCCTGAGAATCTTGCCAGCATCACACACAATTCTGTGTTGGAGCCAAATACCGAGATAGTCGGCATGTGAATATGCAGCATTCTATCGTACACTCAAAACTACCTTGTGGTGTTGAAGAGCCAATTTTAGAAAATTAGCCACAACCAGGAAAAGTTTTGGAAGTAGGACTTAGTACATTGGTCTAGGCTGTAAATAAGTGGTTTGCATGACAATATGGAACATTCTTGAAGAGTGTGGTCGTAGGGATTTTTAGCATGTAAAATGTTAAATGATTGGTGTAGGCACACAACACTCAGCTGGGCGGATAATTATAAAGATGGGTTCTGTGGAATTTAATTACCAAAATTGACTTTTTACGTTGAACTCAGCCTAAAGAGCTAATTTTTAATCTTATGGTATTGAAAACAAAAATTGTTGCAAACTTATCAACATACAATGATAAATGTCTTAATGCAGGTTCTGCACTGTCTATCTACTTGATTGGACTATCTTGTGTAGCCAGATTACTGAATGGTATTTACCTGAGAAAAGAATCGTAGTTGCAGAAAGTATGGCATATTCAGAATCTGTCACGTTCAGCTCCCCCATACTTCTATAGAAATCAAACATTGGTGTTATGAATTCTTCAGCTACACCTGGTTACACAGAATAAGAAGTAACATTAATCTTCTAGTGTTACAAATGTTTTTGCACACATCGTTAATAACACAACTGGAATTTACTGTTGTAAATAGGCATTTAATCTAGCAGTTCTACAGATACCCCATCATTAACTGGATTTAAGAGTAATTGCTGTGAAGCGATTTGAGACTTTTCAATATGAGACGGCATTGTATTAAATGCAAGGATTATTACCTCAAAATTCCAATGTTTCTGCTCTCTTCATGAGCAGATCTCCCATTCAACAACCAATATTTTCAATACATGTATAATATAAACCTGCTACGAGATTGTAGTCTGTGCCCCCACCTTTGACAGGGCTGTAAGTGACCACCTTTGACAGGGCTCTAAGTGACGTGCACACTTTGAGATTCTATGTTATTATTAAGAACGATAGCTTTAAGAATATACTGAAAAAATTTCTGCACAATCTTAATTTTTTAAATATTGAAAAATTTCAGGCCAGTGGAACTCTCAAGCTTTCACATTTCTGTAAATGTGAGCTTGCCCAATTTGCTTCAGGATGACAAGGTAAGATAATCTGCTGTTCATCAAACAATTAAGAAAATAAAATAATAATTTGGTTACTTAATCCATGATTGTTTGCGGGCACTGCTGTGTACAATTGGCTACCGCATATTGTCTATAAAACATAGTCAATTCTCTTTACAGTATATTCTGTGAAGCGCTTTGAGACATCTAGAAGATGTGATACGGCACTATATCAAATGCAAGGATTATTATTATTATCTACTGTGCTCGGTGTTATAGAACAGTAAAAATACTGGAATAGAGAGTACCTAATGTGGGATTTGGAACTATAATTGATACTTCATCCATATGAGATGGGTCCATCATTACTGTCCCAGAATGATCTTCAAAACATTGGCTGTGACAGCACTCCAAGATCGATGAATAGTGATCACTGTCTGCAAAACAAAAGTCAGCTGTGTGATTGAACAAAAGTCAGCCATGTTGTGTGATTGTAGTGCAGTTTGATTAATACAAAAAGATTCTTTAAAAAAATATATTATTCTAAGGGTTCCTTAATACTGTATTTCTTTGCTGGCTTCCTGCACCCACATAGGCCTCAAGAGGGCACCGTAAACCACCATTGTGCCACTATTTAACATTATTAACATTAAAATATGCAGTTTTGATGCGACAGGAAATTACAGGAACACTACTGTTCTATTACGTCACTATGAAATGTGGAACAACAGAACCATGGCATTTCATTGGATAGATGTAATGAATTACAACAACCGTTTTTTGTGGGATATGCAGGATAATGAATTTGCTAGGAGGTCATTCGTGTGTTACTCACCATGACCAAGTCGGAGAGGACTCGGTGTGAAGCGCTGGTTGTACAGCTGTGCTGACCGTAGAAACATGGCTTCCACAGTGGAACCTTTCAGCAATGCAATCTGGTCTTCATGATCTAATGTCTGGAATCCTTAAACAACATACGTGCTAGTCAATCCCAGAACCTTACACACAGCATCTTATTTACGATGCCAAATAACTGAGCAAATCAATACCACCCACAACAAAGCATTTCAAACACCTTTACAGGTGAGTACTGTATTTAATAATAACAATAATCCTTGCATTTGATATAGCGCCTTATCACGTCTTCGAGATGTCTCAAAGCGCTTCACAGAAAAACTGTAAAGTGAATTCACTGTATATTTTGTGGGCGAAACGCAGCGACCAATTGCACACAGCAGTGTCCCACAAACAGTCATGGATTGAAGTGACCAATTTTTTTTAATGGAATTATTACCCCCGGAAAAGTGATCCGCCAACAACTAACAACCAGGTTCCTCTTGTGGCTAGGTAAACAGAGGCCTGTGGAGTACAGAAACTTGTCCAACATTTCGCCCTGCTGGGAATCGAACCCAAGGTGAGTGCTCTAACCACTGAGCTAGAGGACTCCACAATATGAACAATATATCAAAGTGATATTGGTAGTGATCACTATTTCCAACAAAAATGTGACAAGTGTGACTCAGTACTGCTGTTGAATACTTCAGTTTACTTGCATCCCACATTCAGAGTTTTCTCAGATGGATGCCCGTGCCTCTCACCTGGCAAACGTTTAGTAAATTCCACGAGTACCTCAACGTGGAGTGTAGCAGTCTCGGAGAGCCGGAGAAAACTCTCCTCGGGGTTTGCCAGTTCCAGCAGCTGAATTATCAAGAGAAAAAGTTGACAAAAATTGAACAACTAAAGGAGGTTTTTTAACATTTTAAAAAGCGTGCTATAACTAATATTCTAAACAATAATAATAATAATAATCCTTGCATTTGATATAGCGCTTTTCACGTCGGGAGGACGTCCCAAAGCGCTTCACAGAACACTCTGTAAAGTGAATTGACTGTATATTTGTGGGCGAACGCGGCAGCCAATTGCGCACAGCAATGTCCCACAAACAGTCGTAGATTGAATATGACCAATTTATTATTGTTTTGGGTTTTGGAGGGATTATTATTAGGCTCTGTGTGGAGTAAGGAAACTTGCCCAAGGTTTCGCCCTCTGCCTGGAAATGAACTCAGGTCTCTCACTTGCAAAGCGAGTGCTCTAACCACTGAGCTACAGGACTCCACGATAATAATAATAATAATCCTTTGATATAACTCCTATAATGTTGGAAAGTCTTACACTCATTCCAAGTGTTTCACAGTCATTACAGTTAGTGACTATGTATTTGTACATGAATAGAGCAGTGAATTTCCACACAGCAATGTCCCACAAACAGCCAGGAATTGAATAATTTAACGGGAGGATTATTGGACAGGGCATGGGGGGAAACTCCCTCCTCTTTTCGAATACTACCATGAGTAATTGCATTCCTCTAGACACACATATGGAACTTTACTTTCACAGTCCCATCTGAAGGATGGTACTGGCAATGCAGTGTTCCCTCAGACACAAGAGCATCAGTCTAGATGTCTGAAAATGTTTTCCTGTCTCTGTTACAGTGGATAGTACAGATCCTCTATAACCAGGGTGGTCCAATGTTTGGCCGCTGAGGGTCGGATGCCCTATTTGAGAAACGCATAAGAAATATTTTTGTGTTTCCGATCCAGAAACATAACAACATGTATGCGTTATTGAGGAAGCGGTGGGCCAGGTGAAATGGAGTTGTGGGGGGGGGGGCAGATGAAATCAGCCCACGGGCCACCAGTTGGACCACCTTGCTGTATACCATGCCACTCAAATGCTTAGTAGAGAACTTAGAACACGAGCACCCCATTAATTCAGTGAAAATAAATCAAAAAGCAATTAATGCTAACAAATTTTGGTTCTTTTGAAGTAACTGATATGTAAATAAGACGCTCAAATGCTTGCGTTCCCTTAAACCAGCTTTTGGTACTTACAAATGTTCTTGCTGCTTCTTGGGGAATTCGATATTTGCGATGAGCTTCTACTATGTAATCGAGGAGTTGTTGCTGCTCTGCTGTGAACTCCACTCTCTCTTGGATCTGTGCAGGAAACAGAAAATGACACCCTTGAGGACAAAGAGCTGACTATCTTCCTGTTCACTTGAGCTCTGTGAAGCGGTGGGGAGTTGGCATTGGTTTCCAAGGCATGTATGTGTTGATGTGGCTGCTTATGCTTTCTATATTTTTAAGGCAACGCCTTAAAACATTTGCATTGATTTCATCCTGATGTGAAAGGTGAGATACCACATTCAAGGATTATTATTCATTTGTTTTTGGGGAGCCAGATAGGCCTGAATTCCAGTGCTGGAATACTACTAGGTCAGTATTGGGAGGTGCCACACTTATATAGGTCTCTGCTTTCCTAGCTCAAGTTTGTAGTGGACATGGTGTGAGGGGAAAGTGTTTGGATATCCGTCCTCATTTGTTTACCAGCACACAATGCATTGAATGTCAGCAATCGCATTGTATTGTAATGTCTTCTCACTCACAAACACTTTGTCACAATCACAAGACCCATTTAAATAGAGAAACAGACTATTATCTCTGTGAAGAGTTAAAATCAAGATAGATACATATTGTGATATCTTTAACGAACCAAATGGAAACACTCTTACCCTTCCAGCTCTGGTTGTGGATGAGACTTGTTTGCTATCAGGTCCATCTTCCTCCATCTTTATGCTGCAGAGCAGGTCCATTCCCTGCTTTGTGTTTTTACGCAGTCGTTTAGATTTACACTGGATTTCCGTCAGTAAGCCTGTAAGAATTTATTGAATATGAACATTAAAGATCCCATTTGAAATGAGAAGAGCATTACTTCTGGTTTCTTGACCAACAAACTCCAATTAAAACAAATTATGTTGTCACTTCAACAAAAGACTTTTTAAAAAAAGGAAATCTTTACTTCTGTATCTGAAAAGGATACAATATTTAGATGACCCTCTGCTTACAAGGGCAGAACGGAAGAATGCTCTGTCTGGAACCACCAAACAAAACCACTTGGAATTGAGCTTGCAGGATTGAGGACAATCAACACGTTAAAGCCTTAACTAAAGAACTAGAAATACTGGTCATCAAATCAACCATACTTTTTACTACTGCAGGAGCTGACTGACTTCATAAGTCTATCTCAGAACCAGCACAAGCACAAGGAGATCATGATAACATCAGCCCCAAGGAGAATAGACTACTTCAATGAAAGAGAAGAATACAAACAAACTCACAATTGAAAATAAACACCAACGGAGTTTGAAGATAATAGCAGGGTTTCTGCACAATATATTTGATTACTAATCTTTACTTACACTCCGCCAGCATTCCCACCGCCTTGCACTTGTTCAGCCGGCATTCCTGACACTTCCTTCGCATATACATGTCCATCTCACAGTTCCCACCGCTCTTGCACTTATACACAGCATTCTTGGTGATGCTCCGGCGGAAAAATCCTGTTTGGAAAATGGGACACTCAATCACTTAATTACAAAATGCTTCAAATAAGTACAGAATTCTTATTTATTGTAAACCTTTAGTCGATTTCCCTCCGACCTTTTAGATTCCCACCCCTGTTCTGTACATAGTACATGCACCAGCATTCTCCAAATCCAAAGCAAGGATTATTATTATAATAAAGCACCCTGCCAGTATGTGCAATGGTTAGCAACAGAAAACCTCAAATCAAAAGACCTTGGAGCATTTCCATGAAATTCACTTTAACTGGTTGCCTGGAACAGTCCTGTGCTGGCTCCAGTGTAACAGATGGAAATGCCATAGTGCTATTGGACTCAGACCAGCAGGTTTGTGACTCTAAGTAATTTCAATCTGTCCAGGTGAAGATGGAGAACAGGTGGATTTCATACTAAAGGTTCCACTGGATCATAAAGTTGTGCCATTATTATGTACCCATACACAGCATCTCTTTGAGTGTGAGAAGGAGTGAGACTGTTGTTGTGATTCTATTTCATAACTGAAATTGTGAATATATGTTAACCCATGTAGTAAAACAAATTATTCTAATCAATGGTTAAGAAATGCTTATAATGATTAGAAACTATTTTGATTAATGGTTTAAAATGATGATATAACTAGAACAATCTCAAGATGACTTGTTTCTGATTGTTGAAGATGGTTGTCCATAAAAAAATCATCTTTTAATTAGTGTTGTGTTAACGGTAAGGTAGTTGAAGATGTTTTCCCATAACAAATTCACGTTTTAATCATTGTTGTGTTAAAGTGTTCTATAACAAATATGCTGATATAATAACAATTCTGCAGATTGTATGTTATTATTCTTTTCATGTGAGATAATTGCTTCATGGACATGAGAAAAGAAAGATTGTTTATTCTTATTCTGCCTGTGGAAAAATGATTATAAACTATACTTTGTTCAACTTAGGTCATAGCATATCAGATGCTGTCCACACAAGAGCCATCGTTCATGTGACAATATGAAATGGTGAAGCAAATATGTTGTCTTCTGGATTAACATCTGCCAGACTTTAGACTATGCCATCATTTCATAAACTTTTGTTAACTCCAGCAATTTCAGTAAGAAGGAAACAGCAGAAATTCCAGAACTTCTGAAATCATTCTAAACTTAACAGGCGGAAAAGAATAGCAACGTATAACAACTGTTGAGAAGAATAACAACGTATAACAACTGTCAAATAAAGTGCACAACTCAGCTGTCCATCATCATCTTTGACTTTGTGATCAAAATACTCAAGCAAGAGGTTTCAGGTCTGAATCAAGACACTTTCCATTGATGCAAGACTTTTGCTTGCTGTTCTGGAGTTCTATCAACTGATTCCATCGAAGAAGCAAGATTCGTATGATTTACGGACTAAGCAATTATTGTTGTATTTACTTTGATGCGGACATGTGTCTATGCTATTGACCTGTCTGTTGTATTGTGATATTTGAACTAACAAACATTGCATTTCATATTAAGTAAAGAAATTTTCAAACATAAGTTGCTGAGTGCCTTTGGTTCCTCTGTTCTCAGGTCCTTTATTAAAAGTGGGCTGGATAGAATAAGTGGGTTCTATTCTGTTCATTGCCCTAAACCCAAAACTGTTATCACCGTGGATAAATGCAACACTAGTATTATATACATAGCCAGTGTGTGTGCAACACCATTAGTTCATCTTCCTCATGATGCCAAACTAAGTAACCATTCTAAATCCAAATTTCTAGTGCTATTCAAACAAAAATAACCTAAAAAAGATTAACATTAATCATAATTCCCAGCAACTCACTTATAAAAGGAGTCTCAAGGGTCAAATCCCTGCTTTAAAGGCACATTGGTGATTAGAGGGACTTTCAGAAGATCCTACTTCAATTTAAAAAAATGCCAGACCAAAGCATTTCCCATTGGACCACAAAACCTTTTTCTATTTAAACCACTTTAGGAACAGAGCCTTTTAATAATATCTCAGTTGGTGTTAAGATAGATTAACAGTTATCAAAAATGCTGAATCATGAAACGTCAGTTTCACATCAGCTTCAGAGGGCAAATGGTAACAGCTTGTTTGCCACTGGTTGGTGAAGGAGCATAAACTCCAAATGATTGTAGAAGCATAAAGAGGAAGAATCTTTGTGACAATAGTGTTTATTAGTGTTTCAATACATTACCATAAAAGGTGACTGAAACAGAGTCAATTATTGTAATTTCAAATGACTTAAACATCCACTTGAAGAATGAAACTATAAAAGGATATGGGGATAAGGGAATTGAGATTAAAGTACTGTAGTAAACCCAGTGGGGAGCTACCACAGCTCAGGCACTGTGGGCCAAATGGTTTCCTTCTACGTGGAAATGTTTACAATAGAAGAATTGTTGTTGGTCTGAGATACGTACACACATATGCACTCACACATATGAATATTCATTACAAAGTACACAAATGTATAATTGTATGTGGAGCAAAGTTCAGTCCTTACCTTTGCATCCTTCGCAGGTAAGCGCATTATAGTGATACCCGGAGGCTTTATCACCACACACCACACAGAGCTCTTCCTCCCCTTTTATTCTCAGAGACGAATGATTCAGTCTGGGCTTTTTAACTATAGGTATCCCGTCATCAGCATCATTCGGAAGCAGGCACTGTGGTTTGCTCAATTCATATGCACCAGGCGAATAGTGTCCTTCTGGAGAATACTGAGGGTAGTAATTGTGAGCAGAATAGTGAGCTTGTGGGGGTTGGGGTGGTGGCATTGGAGAGAATTGCATACTAGGATACTGGCCATATGGAGTCATCTGCAACTCTGGGTCTTGGAGAGGATAGCCAATCTGCTCCGTCAGAACCTCTACATTTCAAACAAAACAACAATTACTACTTAGCAGCAAATAATCCGCTCTGGAGAGGTTAGACACTAGTATGTAATTATATTTGTGCATAATTCTATCTCAATTACATCCTAAAAAGAAAAGGCAAAATACTGCAGATGCTGGAAATCTGAAATAATAATAATAATAATAATAAACCTTGCATTTGATATAGCGCTTTTCACGTCAGGACGACGTCCCAAAGCGCTTCACAGAACACACTGTAAAGTGAATTGACTGTATATTTGTGGGCGAACGCGGCAGCCAATTGCGCACAGCAATGTCCCACAAACAGTCGTAGATTGAAAATGACCAATTTATTATTGTTTTTGGTTTTGGAGGGATTATTATTAGGCTCTGTGTGGAGTAAGGAAACTTGCCCAAGGTTTCGCCCTGACCTGCCTGGAAATAAACTCAGGTCTCTCGCTTGCAAAGCGCGTGCTCTAACCACTGAGCTACAGGACTCCATGGGACGGGTGGTGGTTCTGGAAGGGTGAGATCAGATGGGTCAAAGGACCTTCTTTACCCAAATCAATCGTGGGATCGTGTGACCTATATTAGGGTCACTCAGTTTTTCTACTCATGGCAAAAGTCATGCCTGAAAATCAAGCTATTTTTCTTTTCAGATGCAGATTGACCTGTTGTGGATTTCCAGCATATCTAGCTTTATTAAATATATTTTCATAACAAAATGTACTGCATTAAATAATTATCTAAGATACCACATCTGATATTAAAACTGTATTAGGGCACACGATAAAATAAGTTTTTGCAATAAACCAGTAGTTCAGGTAATTTTCTCTGCATTACTAACAGAAATGCTAACAGAAGTGGTTGGGAACACTCAGCAGGTCAGGCAACATCTATGGAGAGAGGAAAGTGAGTTCACGTTTCATGCTGAGTGTTCCCAGCGACTTCTGTTTCTATCTTAAAAGAATCTCGTTCAAATCATATTGCAGTAGAATTATAATAATGTGAACCGTTTCTCATTTGCCTGAAAGGGTGGTGGAAGCCAATTCAATAACAGCTTTTAAGGGAGAAGTAGATAATTATTTGGGGAAGACAAGTTTGCAGAGCTCTTTTCAAAGAGCTGGCACAGACACGATGGGCCGGATGGCCTCCTTCTAAGCTGCATAATTCTATGATCCTATGATTTCACTCTGTGTTTATTCATTGTTCTGAAATAACTTCACAGTTTTATTTTATTTTAGAACCTGTTGTCTAATACCACTCTTGTTTACACATGTTTTATATACAGGATATGGCTTATTAAATATATTACAAAATGGCATCTGCTTTTAGCTTCTCTCCCTGTCCTCCAGTGTGCACTGAGCTGATCTACGGCTGTACTGTGGCTGCTTCAGGCCTGGATGGAACGTGTTTTTATAATTGGTCTGAGAGCTGGTTAAGCCTTTTGGTTGTATAAATAAATAATGGTTCAAAGATTAGATTATTGCTCTTCAAAATTAGTTCCCAGCTTTGGAAAACAGTGCTGTAAATATCAGATTCAATAGAATCACATTAGCTTTGGGGCTGTAGAGCTCAACTCTCATGGGGGAAGGGGGGTGGGGGTTGTCACTGTGTTGGTTGAACACCCCTGAAGAGATGTAGAAGCCACTTTGTGTGATTCTGGTGAGTTGTTAAAGCTCCCCAGGCACTGATTAAACATGGCAATCTGCAGTCAAACTTCAATGCCCAGTGTTTATGCAATGGAAAGATTCTGTGAGGAAATCCATTCACAAACCCTTTGCAGTAACAGCTGTTTGATGACAGTCTGGAGAACTCACTCAGCTGAGTGTTTTTAAAGGCACTAATTTTACATTAGACTTTGGGAATGGTATTGATACTGTATAAATAAACAGGACCCCTTGTCCTCATCTTCAAAGCAGATTACATTTCTAGTTTACATCAGCTTGCCAAAACCCTACTGGCATAAAATGCTGAGTTAATGTTGAGAAGAATGATTAACTGAAACTATTTCAAGGAATTTGATAAATATAATAAAGTGCTAGAAAAAAATTGTTGAGATTGGGAGTCAGGACCCCTTTCAATGATGAACACTTACTGTTAAATAATCCTTGTATTTGATACAGTGCCTTATCACGTTATTGAGACGTCTCAACAAGTATAAACTGTAAAGTGAATTGACTATATATTTTTGAGCCGAAATTATTACTGTACTGTACTATTATTGAGATCCTTGTAAAAGTCAAATACATGGTGCGCATTTTGTTTTGCCTAAGGTTTTCTTGTGCCAACCTAGTTCCCACAATGGAATCTAAAATACAGATTCCCTCTGTTAGAATCTCCTACTTATTAAGGAATCCCATTCCAAATCGTGCATTTTACACCTCCCCGATGCCAATGTCCCTGTAGCAGTACAGTGTAAGCCTTGCTTGGACTAGTTACTAAATTAAAGGCATGACAGATGAAAATTAATAATAGTCATTATCCCAGAGATTTCTAGATGTTTTGTCATCCCAATGAATTATATTGATTCACCTGCTTATGCTTTCTATTCAGAATCTATGAGAAGAATAAATAATTGCTATCATAACAAACCACATACAACCTAAAGACAACTTCTAGACAGAATTAATTCTGTATTCTCATTTAAATCCATTTGAAATGCAATCAGATTTTTTGATATTCCTGCCCCTTCCATTAATACATCCAGGTTATCTTGCGGAGTTGTTAAGTGGGAGAGATATGGGTGGATAAACAGCAACCCAAGTAATTACTTGGCTAACTATCCAAACATACATTGCAATCATGCAGGAAATGCAACCTCCACACACACACATATACCCAAACATTTCCAGTGCTGGGAAAGTACACAAATATTGCTCATGATGACTAAGATTTGGCCCTGTGCCTCCTACTTGGGAGTCCGATCTGGGGACATTGTGGATATTGGACCAATTTCCTAACTGATATTTCACCATTTAGGCTTTTGCACACCACAGGAAAACTATACTTGATATATGTTCTGCCCAGGGACAAGTCTCTTTAATGTCCTTCCGGTCAGTCCACTTTTAGAAAAGGCTAGGGCTCCAACTCGCGAGCACTGGGCTGCATATGATCATGAAAAGTGGTGTCTTTTCAGTATTTACACCTGTGAATAAATATATCAAATGCAAGGATTATTATTATTATTATATTTTGTACAGTTTTATTGTTCAGAAAATGTTCCCCTGACCATTTCGGTTGCATTTCATCCTATTTTACATTTTGTTGCATTGCAACATTCTTGTCCTAGGATTTATCAAACTACAATATATTAAAATGGTAATTATAATAATCATAATTCTTGCATTTGATACAATACAAAATTACATTTGTATAGCGCCTTTCACGTCGGGAGAACGTCCCAAGGCGATGGACAGTCAGGGACGTCCAAAGGCGCTTGATACAGCATCTTATTACCTCATTCAGATATCTCAAAGCGTTTCACAGAATAAACTGTAAAGTGTACAGTTATAAATGAAAAGTCAATTGACTCTGTATTTTGTGTGCAAAACATTTTAATAAAAGACCAATTAAGAGACCTGTAACTGAAAATAAGTTTCCTTCCAATTGAATATTCTACATCATCCATCACCAAAGTTTGAGTTAATTAGTAACATTTGATTCCTTAAATCCTATGAGTAACTGGTGTTAGACATAAGTTTGTTAGAAACTTCAATGTCTAAAGGAACTTCTACATCCACTTCAGAGAAACTAACAGTGTGATCGTGGTCAATAATATCATGGCCCATACTAATGATTGTGGCTTTTCTCGCAGATTTACCATGATTTTAAGTTAACTGTCAGCCAATCTTGGAACACCTCTCTGAGTTTTTTCTCTGTGGTGTTTACCAATGTATTTACTAGAGGGTCAGCCTGGCTCAATTGGTAATTGTATACATACTGTCTTTTCAGAGTCAGAAGGCTGTGGGTTCAGGATCCACATTGAGACTTGGAACTCATATAGTCTAGACCAAGGTGGTCCAACTGGTGACCCAGAGGTCAATTTCATCCCCCTCCATTTTATTTGGCCCACCCGCTCCCTCCATAACTAGTAAATGTTATGTTATGTCCTGAAAGGGAAGCACAAAAATATTGCTTGTGTGGCCCAGGGACATTTCTCAAAAAGGGCATCCAGCCCTCAGCAGCCAAAAGGTTGGGACCACCCTGATGACATTCCAGTGCAGTGCTGGGAATGTGCTGCATTGTTGGAGGTTCCATCCTCCAGCTGAGACATTAAACCAAGATCTTTTCTGCCTGTTGAAGTGAATGTCCCTAAACCAAGTTATAAAGTTTTTGACTGGGCATTATTATACAAGCAACGAAATTCATGTTCAACAGCAAGATGAGCTGTGTTGGTGATGGATGAACCATGTTCGCTCATTTAGGTGGAGCAGTTATATAAATAGTGTGAGCGTCCTGTATATATGTGCTACAGCTGTTTCAAAATAAGCTTGTGACACATGTATATATATATATATCTATATATATATATATACTAGTAACAGCTTTTATGGGGTGTGTAATGTACGTACACAACCAAACTATTTTACATGAGTTATGCCTGTGTCTAGTTGCCATATTATATATATATCATTGGTTTGCAGGGATGCATGTTAATCATTAATAAATATTGTGCGATTTTGCGAAATGCAAAGGCCTCCCCTGGGGGTGGTGGTGATATCGTAATTCAGTTTCTGCAACTTGTTTTCAGAATTGACTCAATTTTCCACCAACTGTACGAATTCAATATTGTTGATCAGAAAAATTCAAGTGAAGGTTGGGTGTATTTGCTTTGCACCAGTCCTAGGGGTGGCACTGTTGTGTAAGGAAAGAGTGTAGAACAAGACTTTGCTATATTAAAGGGTGCCAACTGTGAGTAATCTGGGCAAAACAGCAAGGCTATTCACCAAGTTCATTAAGATTGATCAATTCTAATACAGGAATTTTGTAGTTTGTGTAAGAACGTAACACAGGATGAAATGATCAAAGGCCATTTGGGCATTCCTCAACTTGCCCTTACAATAACAGGGGCCATCCTAATGCCCACAGAAGTCCCAAATCTATGAATGCCATGGATTACTTATCCGTCGCAGCCAATTGCTATTCTTGGAACAACAACAACAACAACTTGGATTTATATATCACCCTCCACACCGGACGGCGTCTCAGAACGCTTCATAGTAACGGTTCCCGGGACCGAGCCAGAGGAGGGGGAAAAGCCAGAGGGAGGGGGAGGAAGGTGACCAAAGGCGCGGTCAAAAAGAAGGTCTTCAGCCGAGACCTGAAAATAGGAAGAGAGGGGGCGAGGCAAAGGGAGTGAGGAAGGGAATTCCAGAGCCTCGGGGCATAGTGGCTGAAAGCACGGCCGCCAAGGGTGGAGCGGAGGATACGGGGGACGAGGAGGAGGCCAGACCCGGAGGAACGAAAGCAACGGGCACTGTTGTGAGGAGAGAGGAGGTCAGAGAAATCGGGGGGTGCAGAGGAGTGGAGGGATTTGAAGACAAGAGTGAGGATCTAGAAGTCGATCCTCTCTGGCACAGGCAGCCAGTGCAGTCTGGCCAGGACTGGGGCAATCGGGGAGCGGAGTTTGGTGCGGGTGGCAGAGTTTTGAATAATCTGGATTTTATAGATGGTAGTGGAGGGGAGGCCGGCGAGGAGGGTGTTTGAATAGTCCAGCCGAGAGGTGACAAAGGCATGGACCAGGGTTTCAGCGGCTTTTTGGGAGAGGTATTGACGGAGACGGGCGATGCGTCAGAGGTGGAAGAAAGCGGTGCTGATCAGGGACCAGATGTGGGGCAGGAAGGATAATTGGGGGTCGATCCTGATGCCAAGGTTGTGTAACGGTCCGGGGAGTTTTAGGGGAAGGTTGGGTAGGTGGAGGAGGTGAGAGCCTTGTGATTTTTTGGGGTACCCGCAGGTGACTGGGTGAGAGCGGGAGGAGAGGCCATTTGGGCAGATTACTGCTGGCGGTTCGTGAGGTAGGACTCGAACCAGGCGAGTGCGGTCCCACTGAGGTGAATGACGGAGGAAAGGCGGTGGAGGAGGATGGCGTGATTGACTGTGTCAAACATGGCGGAGAGGTCCAGGAGGACAAGGAGGCAGAGAGAGCCCTGGTCACAGATAGAGAGGATGTCGTTTGTGACTTTCATAAGCGCAGTCTTTGTACTGTGGGCGGAAACCGGACTGGAGGGGTTCGAAGAGGGAGTGGGAGGAGAGGTGTGCACGGGGTTGATTGGCAACAACGCAATCTAGGACTTTTACGAGGAAGGGCAGGTTAGAAATAGGGCAGTAGTGACTGAGGTTTGAGGGATCTGAGGAGGGGGGTGATGACAGCAGTTTTGAGGGAGGCAGGGACTGATCCAGAGGAGAGGGACTCATTGATGACATCAGCCAGTAGTGGGCAGAGGAGGGGGAGCTGGGTGACCAGCAAGTTGGTGGGGAGGGGGTCGAGGCAGCAGGTGGTGGGTTTCATTGAAGTGATGGTGGGTGAGAGAGAGGAGGGAGAGATGGGGAGGAAGGAATGTAGGATGAAGGTGGTGGTAGGAGCTGATGATGAGGAGGGTGAGGGGGACAGAGAGGGCGTGGTGGTGGGTGACAAGAGGCAGGCAGATGAGGCTGCCTGGCGGATGTGGATTTTGGATGAAAGGAAGTCCATGACCTCCTCGCACTTGGCATTGGATGTAAAGATTGAGGAGGCCTGAGGGGGGGCACGGAGGAGGTAGTGGGTGGTGGAAAAAAGGATTTTAGGATTATTTTTAGCTTCCAAGATGATGTTGGAGTAAAGGGCCGTTTTTGAGCTTGTCAAAGAACGGCGGTAGCTGTGGAGATACTCAAGCCACAGTTGGTGGTGAACTGTCGGGAACCTCAAATTATATCACATTTGATGTCACTTTTTCCCATCAACTGTAAACAGTGTTAATCCCTGACTGCCAAGCACCTTGGGATGTCTCCCAACGTGAAAGGCATTGTATAAATGTAATTTGATGTTTTTCTTGTTGTTTTTATAAATCTTTAGCTCTAAATCTGTGTGCTTAAATCAGTGTGTGCAAATCTAAACTTTTCAAATAAAGACATGCAGTTTTTCATATGTGGAGGCGTTGGATTAAAAAATGCATCAAGTTGGTGTAAATGTTAAATGCATTTTTAACTGAGAATTATCTTTTAAAAATTGAGAAAGTAACAAATTCTGTGCAAGTTACACAACAGGTAATGTAAAAAATGGCATCCAGCCCATCAAACCTGCTCCTTCCTCAGGCTGCGTGGAATTAATGGATAGATTGATCACCCTCTGCGCTTTCAAAACCTTTATTTTATATTTAATTAAGGTGTTGGACTTTGTACGTACCATAAAGCTGGGGTGGTTCTCCAAGGCAGTATCCATCTGAGAGAGCTAAGTGGCTGTGTCCTGCCATGTTGACCTCTGACCCTGCCCAGTGTCTCATTCAGTCACTTTTTATTGTTCAAACGTAAAGAAAAATCCTTTAGAGGAACTGAAAGTAAAAGAAGAAAACCTTAGTTACAACCAACTTCGCCCCATAAATAACTTGGACTATTTTCTTAATATTTCAGGTGGTGCAAAATTTGACCGATTCTCAAATTTAGTCTTAATTTAGGAGGTAGTTTCTTGCATTTCCCCCCAAAAATAGGTTTCAGAATTATGACTGAATTTAAGAATTTTCCAAAGTTTGCATGCTCTGAAAAGTTAAGAAAATGAGTCTGTCTGTCTGTCTGTCTGTCTGTCTGTCTGTCTGTCTAGCTGCAGGAAGATATTCTGCCCCCACACCCCAGCTCGAAATCCACTTCTGAGCCAGGTCCAATCTAGTGTCAATCCAGAACCAGAATAAACACTGCAATTTGGTGGTTCATCTAAAGATCTGATGTCTCAATGACTGAACTCAACTTTCCAGAGACTGCGAGTTTCTGAGAGTCAGATTTCTGAGATGTGATTTTTTGATCTTTGGCATTTTGAGGAAACACAGATAAAATAATCAAAAATAAAATGTACTTTTGCAAGTTGTTAAAGATTAACATTGCCAGATGCTTTAAACTCCTGTTATGTACAGAGCGACAGGAAGTCCTGCCAAAAAATTCCACTCGTTGAGGAGGGATGATCCAGTGAGCTGTGAAAGTACAGGAATGAGATACTGACCAAGTTGAGGTTCAGCTCATTCACCTGTGAGAGAGAACAAAGTTCAAGAATTTCCTAACCCACTGCCACACCTTCCCTTCCTTTGTGGAGTCTTGTAGCGTAATGGTTAGCGCACTCACTTTGCAAGCGAGAGGACCTGGGTTTGATTCCCTGGCCGGGCTAAACCTTAGGCAAGTTTCCTTACTCCACACTCCTCTATTTACCTATCAGTAAGTAGGAACCTGGTTGTTGTCCCGATGTGAAAAGCGCTATAGAAATGTAATTTTGTTGTTGTGGTGGTAGATTGGCAGATGGCTTTCCGGGGATTAATAATCCCTCTAAAAAAATGTGGTCTCTCAATCCATGACTGTTTGTGGGAAAATGTTGGGCCCAATTGGCTTCCAAGTTTTGCCCACAAACAACAACAACAACATTACATGTGTATCACATTTTTCACATTGGGAGGATGTCCCAACGCACTGGACAGACAGAGTTACAGACCCAAGCTGAGGATCAGGGTGCGGGAGTGGGGAAGGCAGTGGGGGAAGCAGGGGGATCGAAAGCACGGTCGAAGAAGAGGGTCTTGAGATGGATCTTGAAGGTGGCGAGGGAGGGGGCGAGACGGAGGGACCGCAGGATGGAGTTCCAGAGGGTGGGGGCGGAGTGGCAGAAGGCCCGCCCGCCAATAGTGGGGCAAGCAAGGTGGGGGACGTGAAGCAGGCCGGAGCCCACTGAGTGGAGGGAGCGAACAGGTTGGTAGGGGGTTAGGAGGTCGGAGAGGTAGTGGGGAGCAAGACCGGGGAGGGCTTTGAAGATGAGTCAATCCGCTTTACAATATATTCTGTGAAGCGTTTCAAGACATCTCAACAACCTGATAAGACGCAATATCAAATGCAAGGATTTCTATTATTCCTCCACCCAAAAAGAAGTTTGAGGAATCTGGAATGTTTAAGAAAAGCAACAACACTAAACATTGACAGAAACAAAAATCTTACCAGAGCAGGAAGTGAACTTTAACTTAGCCCTCCCTTAGAACTGAGCTACAGATGACTTTTAATTCATATGTCAATCAGATCAAACACAGCCAGAGATAAAATCTTGGCTTAAAAATATATTTAAGTAGCAACTTGTATGATACGTGGCCTGAGCCACTTCTCACTGAAAGCATCCTTGAAGCTGAGCCACTCTTGAGTTCAGATCTGACAGTCAGTGGATTTGTGCCCGATTACTTTCTATTTACTTTCAGGAGCCAAGAGGAGAATACTCTGTCTGAATAAAGCAGATTTGTGCAATGTGGATACAGCAGAACACTCAACCACCCACTGGAGTGAAAGGTTTGCGTCACCCAGAAGAAAATGCTTTATATCAAGTGGCAGCAACAATGACAGCGAGGTTGTTAAATAGTTAATAGTAGAGCCCAAACAATATTTTACTGAAGTGATTTATTCATACTCTCTAAATGCTGTAGTTATACCGTAAGTTTGTCGGCATTGAATATATTAAATATAGAAAAGTTAGAGCTTACAGCAACAATTTGACTGTTTAAAAAGATGCTACAATAAACCCTAAAACTGTAATAATAATAATAATAAATAATAATCCTTGCATTTGATAGAGTGCCTTATCACATCGTTGAGATGCCTCAAAGCGCTTCACAGGATAAAGTGTAAAATGGATTGACTGTGTATTTTGTGGACAAAACTTGCATTTCCATAGCACTTTTCAAGTGAAAATAAATGCCTCAGTTAATAATAATGATAACATAGCAGCTTATCATATCGTTGAGATGTCTCAAAGCACTTTACAAGATATACTGTGTGTTTTGTGGGTGAAACTATGCGTTCCTATACATTCATCCATGTATCTTCCCTCGTCTGCCTCGTCCTTCCTAGCACAAAGGAGACTTGGCCAAATAGCAGCAAGACATGAAAGGAAGAACTTTCTAGAGCAACATATGTTGAAATTTCTGCTGTGTTGGCCTACATAAACGGTCATAAACTTGATTGTAATTACTTCTGAAGCACTGCATCGAGTTTTCTCCCAGTAACCTAATCTCTCCACAAATAACAATAGCTAACACCAGCCTCCACCCCACCCCCCCCTAATGTTGACAGCTTTTTGAAAACAGTTAGATATTCAGATTCAAGATTACAAGACATTTGCTAGAGTTGTTTATTTTTCTGTTTTGGTTTTGAAACCAATTCTTCAAGATCATTCAAGAAGGAGTTTATATCCCTCGCAATGTGAGAGAGGCTGGCTTCACCCAATACCAAAGCATCACAGCCTACAGAGAGTGTGGCTTCACCTGACCCAAGGTACTATCTCCCCCAAGACATCTTCTCTAATTGTGCTCAAGTATGTTACCATTCAAAGCGCCACAAGGTAAAACAGAAGGCACAGCAAGACTGTGCCTGATCTAGGCCTCTAACTATCCCATATGCCCACAAAATACACACAGCCACATCAATTTGCGGTATATCCCTAGACACTGCTAGGAATATAGCAGTGTCTAGGGATATACTGGCTGATGTGTTTCGCCCACAAAAGTGCACAGTCAATCCACTTTACAGTATATCCTCTGAAGCGCTTTGAGACGTCTCAACAACGTGATCACGCGCTATATCAAATGCAAGGATTATTATTATTATGTGTATATTACCAGACCCAAGATCAATATTTTTCTTGTTTTTAAAATTTGATTTTTCCTTATTTTTGCTGATTTCTTCTTGTCTTCCTTTTGTTCTTTTTTTCTTCCTCAATTTCACTCGCTGTTCATGGCTAGTGGTGATTCGCTGCAGTATATACCTTCACAACATGATTATAAATCATGTACAATATTATTATTTGTATTCAGATTATCAACCCTTTCCCTGATTATGTCACTAATTTATTTAAAAGAAGTATAATTAACTGGCTTTTTGTTTTCTACATACATTGGAGTTTTGGGAGAAGACAAGAATATATATTTATATACATTCACCAAAAAAGATGAATTGGTCAATTTTTCAATTGTCCTTTGTCAAACCTTGCTGTTGCGATTGCCTCTAAAACAAGTCAGAGTAACTCACTGGACAAAATGCTTCAAGATACTTTGGCACAGTAAGGAAGTTAGTACTGTACACACAGATATACAAACAAAATCACAAGAGAAGTTCAGATGAAGAAAGCCCTTTGGCCCATTTTGAACAATAAGTGATGGTCATATCACCAGGGGACCTGTCTCTTAGAGACCCTGAACTTGGGAGAGGGCTAACCTAACACACCCACTGACAAAGGATTGATGAAGTATCCTTAGGTTAATGACTGTTTGTACTGCCAATAATTCATCTCCTTCACACATATCCCAGCTCGATTCACTCTCCGTTGAGTTCATCAGGTCTCACACTGTAAGCAAAACAATTATCAGAAATAGGCACAAAAACTAAAGCGTCTTACTGTGATAGATTCTTAATAGATTTTCTTAAAAGGCATCCATTCAGATGGTGTCTCCATCTTTAAATGGGGTCCTAATAATAATCCTTGCAATTGAAGTCATAATCCTTCTAATAATAATAATTCTATAAAAAATATAAGTGGTGAAAATTCTCTATAAAAGGAGACAGGGGTTTTAGATTATCAAGTTACACTCACACAGTGAAAGTGAAGAGAAAGCATATACGGAACTCCCAACTCCCAGAAGTGCTTCACCGCTTGTGCTCATCCTGATAATAATAATGATCCTTATAATAATTCTATAAAAAATATAAATGGGGATAGAAAAAATAGGGATCTAATAAATACAGTAAACTCCTGATAACTTGCCACTCCAAGAGACAAGGGCTTACTGGAGTGGCTAGTTAGGCTTAGTCCTCCGGGACCACAAGGGGGCGCTGTGCTTCTGCAGAGGTTCAGCACCACACTCAGAGGCATCGCAGAGGCCTCTGGTCTACTGGAGGGCCGAGCCATGGCCTTCTGCCCTATCCTGTCACAGGAGCTGGGGAGGGAAGACATGGCACAGCCCTCCAATAGACTAGGAGTCTGTGTGATGCATGTGAGCCCAACCTCTGCCAAGTGATAGGGCATCTGTAACACGAGGCCATCTTATAGGACGAGTTACCTAATCAATTTTACATTGTAAGCACTTACAAGAATTTGTAGAATGCAACTAGTTACGTGTTAAGCGTATTGACAAATAAAACGGATTCCCTTATTAACATTTTGCATAGGGAGCAGCCGCGATATTGACAACAGGGCTATTTAAGCATAAGCGACCAGTTAAGCTAGTGTCTTGTTATCAGGAGTTTACTATAGCTCTTATACAGAGTCAGCACAGGCCCAACATCATATGGTTCTACATCCATATTGTTTACTCCAGTAAAACCT